AGAGAGAGAGGGAGAGAGAGAGAGAGAGCGCGAGCGGGGAGGGTTGGGGGCAAGAGAGGGGGAGAGAACTAAATAAAGTATAATTATATAATGCGTAAGGGGTGCACATTCAGATCCAGAGAAAAGAGTAAGCAGGGCACGAGGCGTATGGCAATATGCAGCAGTGTGTGGGCAGATGTGCATACATCTTACAAAGTGTCAGTGGCCCAGTGCCATTGCTGGGCACGGAGGTGCCGGAAGACAGACACTTTGAAACTTTGCAGCCGTTTCCGGTCAGGTGGCTGGCTGAGGACGGCGGGTGGCAGGGCATTCCATACAGGGACAGCACAGGCGGGGAAAGCTCTACGGCAACTTTCCCGGCTATTGACAGGTAGCCCTGTCTCAAGCTGGTAGTTATGCATGTCGAGACGTACTTCGGAGCTCGCGCTTCCTGCCGACTGACTTGACACTTGAGTGACTCACGGCTGCGTCTGGAGCACGCGAGAAGCCCGTCGAAGAAAGCACCAGTCCCTGCTCAGTATACAGCGTTTCAGGGAATTCACCCCTCATCAGTTGAGCTTGAGTACGCTATTGAAATGTCTGCTCCGAGAGCGCTGCGTTATGGCGTGCTGGAGAGCAGTGTGTAGAGAGCACTTCATTATGTAGTGCTGGAGAGCAGTGTGTAGAGAGCACTTCATTATGTAGTGCTGGAGAGCAGTGTGTAGAGAGCACTTCATTATGTAGTGCTGGAGAGCAGTGTGTAGAGAGCACTTCATTATGTAGTGCTGGAGAGCAGTGTGTAGAGAGCACTTCATTATGTAGTGCTGGAGAGCAGTGTGTAGAGAGCACTTCATTATGTAGTGCTGGAGAGCAGTGTGTAGAGAGCACTTCATTATGTAGTGCTGGAGAGCAGTGTGTAGAGAGCACTTCATTATGTAGTGCTCTCCGAGTTAAAACATCACTAGGAATACGAACGTACAGTGGCGTTCCGTATCCACTGTGAGCACCAGGCAGCAGCAGCGTGAGTCAGTGTGGCACATGGAGTTGTGAGAACGGACGCTGAAGACCATTTGCCATTCCCAACACTGTCACCTCCAACCATCTCCAAATCTCCAACCTCTCGAGGGACAACAGTACGAGCTAAGATGTTGCGACATCGGCCGCAATTAGTAAAGAAAGTGTGTGCTCCAGACGCACTCTTGAGTCACTCAAGTGCCAAGTCAGTCGGCAGGAAGCGCGAGCTCCGACGTACGGAGCAGACACTTCGATGCTCTAACCAGCGATGCTCTAGCCACTGAGCGATGGTTTAACGCTTCCTTTGTGTTTGTACTTTTCTTGTCCTGGGTGACCTGTGTGTTGGTCATATTTTAGGAATGTGTGCCAGAAATTGTAGACTTGAAGAAGAAAGTGTTCAGTGAGCTCGACAAACATGTTGACGAAGGTGTTGTGATGGCCAGCAGCAGCAGCTGCATCGTTCCCAGTTCCTTTACCGAGAGCTTGCGCCATCGCAGCCAGTGCATCGTTGCACATCCGGTAAGTAAACAATGTACTACAAGTACAGATTTATTTGTGCAGTCAACCTTGCGAACAGCAACCTCGGGTAAAACAACTATAATGTACTTGCAAGTAAAGATACTATTTTCATACCATATTTTCTTAAAGAAAAAAGGACCAAGAAACTACAAGTTACTCTATAATGTCCACTAACACCACCAGTTACTAAACAATCAGCTCATGCAATAACATTGCACGACACTGACCGACGGTACTGACGTTCTACAACTAACTGGCTAACAGCTCTAGCACATCTAGGATGTGTACTCCAACAGCCTTCCAACTTGGAAGGTTCTAAGTTATAGCAAGAGTACATAACCCCCAAGAGTGTGCAACTCGACTATGGGTGCTGTCCCGACAGAATTTCAAGTTGACTTCATTTCTATTAGGGGTGAAACGGTTCGGGTAAGGAACCGGTTTTGGAACCGCCAGCTGAAAAGAATCGGGTACCCGTAGCGTCAAATTTCGAACCGAAACTCGAAAAATCTCGTTCTTGTACAAATACATGGACACGTCAAGTCTACTCAAGATTTTAAATGTCTTACCTTACGATCCCCATTCTTCCAAAGAGTTCTCTGGTCATTATCTTCTTCGCACTTGGACTCTCCGATGTCTCATTCTTGCTCGTAAAAATGTTTTTTCTAAAAAATAATTGTCACGAGCGCATTTTATCGGTCTGGAGAAAAGAGTGCATGGAACCGATACCCGAACCGTGGGAAACAATGCTGGCATTCGGGTACCCGAACATGAAAAACATGGAACCGTTTCACCCCTAATTTCTATGATGCAATGCGTACCTTACACGGATTATCAGACGAATCCGGAACCTGTGGTGGACCAAAGCCCATCTGATCCTGTACAAATTGTTGCAAAGAAAAACGTGTAAGGCGTTGACACCCGTACGCATGTTCTAAATCACTGGTGCAAGGAGCATTGCATCATAAATAATAACTTGAAATTCTGTCTGGACAGCAGGGTATGTTGGAGTTGCACACTCTTGGGGGTTATGTTCTCTTGGTTATAGAAATAACATGAGTTTTCATATCTAGTAGCCATTTGACTACATACTGCCACCCCACGAATAACAAATAACAACAACTCGCCAATAAACAACATTTTTCTCATTTCCAATCGAGGGTTGTTAGTCACAACGTTTACTGTACAGTAAAGCCTGTGTCTGCCAGACCCTGTACCAAGTGGAATCCTGTATTGACCGGACAAAATTTCATGCACCGAAGTGCTGGGGCCCAACGTACATCCCTGGATCAAGCAGAATCCTGTCGTATCAGGACAATTCTGCTGCACCCAGGGTGTCCAGTTAGGGCAGGTTTTACTGTACTTTTGCCAAAGTGCAAAGACTCCACTGAGCCATCCACTATACCCATACCCTGAAGATGGGTCTTGTCCGAAAATGATTATCTTTTTGTGAAAAGAAGAAGGACAAAATGTTACGAGTTATGACTAACTGTCCACCAACGTAACCAGATCTTATACAGTCAGCGAGTGCGATTTGCATTTTGTTCTTCTTCTTTTCACAATTATTTAATTGGCTCACCATCCGGATTATCTTTCTTCTTTCTTTTTTTGATTGGTGTAGCCCAGAGACCTTTTGGAGAGTGTCGTGAAGATGTATGGGTTTACCGTACTTGTTTGGCATTACAAAGTACATTTGATACCAAGCACCAGCAGAGTGTCTGATGTGGGATGCACTGTGTTTGTCTGTTGTGTGCCAGGTGAACCCACCTCAGTACATCCCCTTGGTGGAGATCGTGCCAGCACCATGGACGGCACCAGAGATTGTGAAGCGCACGCGTGACCTGATGCAGTCCATTGGGCAAGCGCCCGTGACACTCAACAAGGAGGTCAACGGCTTCTTGCTCAATCGCTTGCAGTATGCCCTCATCATGGAGGGTTGGCGATTGGTTCAGGTGCGTGTATTTTGTGTATGTGTTCGTGTGCATGAGCCATGGCATCTTTGTTGGAAGCCTGTTCTATGGCAAAAAGGTGAATGATTCATGTGTACTTCTATGTCCAACCGTAGCAGTATGCAGTGGGTCCTCAGTAGCACAGAGCACATGCAGAAAAAGTTAACAGTTTTTTCTGGTTCAAAACCCAGAGGCAGGCGGAACAGATTGGCTACTATCCATGCACATCGCTTGCCCTGGTCAGATAAAAGTTGATGTGCATTGTGTGCATGTGTACGCATATGTGAGTGAGTTTGTGCGGTGTGTGTGTGTATGTGTGTGTGTGTGTGTGCGCGCGCGCGCATGTGTGTGTGTGTGTGTGCGTGTGCGCGTGTGTGTGCACGGGTTTCCCCGTCCTCTCAGGATGGTGTGTGCACGCCTGAAGATGTTGACACTGCCGTGTCGCAGGGCCTTGGCCTACGCTATTCGTTCATGGGACCTTTTGAAGTCATGCATCTCAATGCCGAAGGTCAGTACAACATGCAACTAACAACTAATAATATACAAGTGCTAGAATCGTAGAATATGTAGAATCGTATAATATGGTACGGGTTACTAGTAGCAGATGAAAGCAGATCTGTAACATCCTGAGCTTGCTGTCTCAGCATTCACCGGGGACAGTGTATAGTTGTTTCACCCCTCTCTTTTTTTTAATATATATCCCTACATGAAAGTCATCAGCCACATGGCTCACGCACCCGCATGCAACACTGCACTCAATGTGAACGTACACTCGCACCCATCACGGTACTGTCTGTGATAGCATCCAGTTTCCTGGAATTGTTGCATTTTGCTATTTTTAAAAGCATCATGTGCATAACACAGAAAAACGCTCCACAAAATGCCAAAATAATATGTGTACACAGTACATTGACCTGCGAATGAGGCCTGGCACGTGTGTGCAATGCACTGTCGTGATTTGTATTGCTGGACTTTAGACCCCCCCCCCCCCAACATACACACCTTTTGACCTTTGACGCCCATCGCCGGAGGCGATGATAGCAATGCTACGGCAGAAGCCATAGCAACTTGTGCTGGGATTGCACCATTCAACAGCTTGCAAGGCTGAAGAATTGACCATCACTATTCAGCCTGGTCTACACCATACAGCTATTTGAAGTGACTTTTCTGGCCAGTGAATCCCTATTTTTGGTCTTTTTTTGGTCTTACACACACACACACACACACACACACACACACACACACACACACACACACACATACACACATACACACACGGTTGCACACATCAAATTATGGCGTTGCACACCTGTACCAATGTTTCGAGACAGTTCTTCTTCTGCGTGTTTGAATATGCTGGACTGTGTGCAGGCATAAAGGACTACTGCGATCGGTACGGTGCAAACATCACGCGTGTTTGTGAGACGCAATGCTCGGCGCGTGAGATGCCCGGTACAAGCACCTGCACGGCAGTGCACGAGGCAATGTGTCGGCAAACTCCCGTCGAAGACTTACCGGCTCGCAGGCAGTGGCGTGACACTCGCCTTGCTGCGCTGGCAGCGCATAAGCAGGAACTAGAGGACAAGGAGAAAAAAGCTTAGGAACTGCCTTCTGTCCTTGTCCTGTGCTCCACCACTTTCCTGATGCCATTATCCCTGAAGTCGTGATCCATCTCTCAAATCTAGTAGTACTTCAAAGTAGTATTTTGTGTGTGTGATGGATGATGCTGTTTTTGCGTTAGCACTTCAGCGTATCTATTCCTGTCCTTCATCTTTCGTACTATTCCTGTCCGTTGTCAATTAAGTTCCGTCAAACGTAGGAAATATTCTAGCTTTTCTCTGTTCTTGTTCTTGATTACGTCCTGCAAGTGACGTGCTGGCACGTATTTGTGGACGATCTTGGATATACAGTTCTCCAAGTACCTTGTACTGCTCTTGGAATGCGTGCAGCGTGTGTCTGTATGGGGCTGCCTGAGCATAAGACTTGATTGATAGTACGGTTGTGATCACGGCAGCAGAAGTGTGTTCCTTTTCCATACTTGGCTTTCAACTGTCCACTATCCGCAAGAGTCCTGGGGTTACTCAATCTATGCACTCTTGCTATCCGGTATATCCAGATCCAGACTTGTTGCGCTGTATTCTTGTGTCTATGGAGAGGGTCCAAGCTAAACTGATGCAAGCGACTATGCTGACATTAGTAGGCACTTCAGTCACGTGACAGGACCTGTCAAAATTTGCTGAGGTGAGAGTGCGTACTTGCGTGGCACCAGTCAAGTGCATGCGCTAAACTGTACAGGTACGCGCTATGCTTCGTTGTACGGGCTGATAGTTGGGCGCATCGTGTTGCTCTGACGTTCAGCTTTCAGTAGATCCCGCATACGTCATAGTGCGTACATTTTTGCGAGTTGTAGATCACGTACACTACCAACAAAGAGTTTTTTCACAAAGAACTGTTGTTTGCTCGCGTTTGAAACGTTGCTTATCGTCTTCAGCGTCGTCTTTCCATTCGGAAACAGCAGAGTTCTTGTTTACCAGGGTTTGCGCATCGCTGCGCAAGGAGACATTATGTACGTAGGCACTGAGAAGTATGCGCTTTAGGCGGAGGAGAACGACGATGCGTCGTCCTACCTGGGCGAATTCTCAAAGCGTACTGAAAGCCAAGTTTTGACACGGTTGCGCTGGAAGGCCTACTGATGTTTACGAACAATCAAAAGGCACAGTGGCTGCTGGAGAAACCCTCTGATGAGGGGATGCTTTGATATACGCAGCCAGGCACGCTTCACCAAAATTTCAAAGCTCACCAGCAGGCATTCGCAATTCATGACTGCTGCATGGAGCAGTTGAAGGATAGGGAGGCAGATATCACACCATGGAAAAAAGCTACCAACAGAGGTCCTGAAGAACTTCTTGCCAACTTTGAATCACTTGAAGTGGCATGACTGTGAGCACGAATGTCCTGTGCAGTAATTCGCGCGCGCGCGCGTACATACCCTCCACGTTGCGGTGTCCGGCGTACAACGAGGAAGTTCTCTGTTGTTTTTGTGCCAGAAGAATGTCTTTATAACTATACGCTTTTGTACCTGCCGGAGCCTGCCAGTATGTCGTTATCAGTTCATTTCACAGCAAACTGAAGCTGTTACTATGGCGTTGCTATGGGTTGCTATGGAGTTGCTATAGTGATTGCGGTCACAATTGCCGTATTCTTGCCCATTCTGAACTTTGATCTGTATTGTTTCGATCCATACAGGGTTGTCGGTGTAAGTGAGTGATGTGTGCTTGAAAAAAACACTCTGATGTTTTGTGACTATATCCACTGATGATACTTCGGAGATGCTGTTGGTGCCACAAATTGTATTGATTTCGCCTCATCCAACTGCCTATCTTCAACCCTTCATATCTGAGTGGTATCACTGTGGATTTCAATAAAATTTTCTGTGTGACCTTGTGATACCCACCACCATCGATTGCCGATGATAAACCTGGAAAAAACGCGATTTCAAAAAATGGGGTGAAGTGCCTAACATAAGAGAGGTTCCGGGGTACGATTTTCCGTGCCAAAATCCGTATGGGCGGTACGGATTTTTTCCAGGCCTGCTCCATACGATTTTTCGGCACGAGAATCCGTGTAGACTGGCTTTCATACGAACCATGCTTCGTATGGAGATTTTGCGTCATCGGGTGCAGAAAGGTTTTTCGCGTACAAATTTGGTACGAGAAACATCGATTTTTCGCGGGAAGTTTTGATTTCGGTACAAATTTTCAAAATAAAAAGGCATAGCGCGGGAATGTGACGTGTTTGCGATCGTAACCTAGGCAATGACGGCAAACACATAAGTAATTAGTTCCGTACCCCGGAACTTTTCACTGCTCGAAAACGACGTATAAAAAATCCGTAGAGCCCCCACGGATTTTGGCACGAAAAATCGTACTCCGGAACCTCCCTACTAGACTGTAGCCTGGTTTTCAGTCCGCTATCGGGCGGCTGCACTCCAGCTCTACTTTGCACTTCTCTTAACTTCTTTTTCCTTTGACTTGATCATTGGTATTACCAAGAGTCCATAAAAAACAAAAAAAAAAAAAAAAAAAAAAAGACTGTAGCCTGGTGAATTACTTTTCAGCGGGTGTACACAGCATACGCAGTCACACAAAAACACAGAAATCCTAAAACAGGATGCAACTCCTGCAGGCAGTACTGAGTATCATTGTTATCAGTCTTGTGTGCGTGAGTCAACAGCTTTGTCAACAGTTATTGTGTTTACCCCTCAAGCTCATCCAAACTTGGGTGATTCCCGGTCTGTGAAACACGAAAATTTGAGCTCTACGCAAGCCGCGGCTGACCTCACCAGGGTGACGTAGTTCACGAACTGCACTGTTTCAGATCTGATCATGTGATATGCGCAGTTGCACACTCTGGTTTATGTACTCTTGCCGGTACCAAGAGGCGAAAAGGATGTGTGAGCATGAGCATAGGGGCTAGCATGCTATCAAAAGCACATAAACATTTATGTACTCTTGGTACTACATTGATGTGTTATGTGCAAAACATGGTACTGCTATTTGCCAGTTTCGACAGCCAACATCTCGCTATCAAACCAACATAATCCGGAGATAGGTTCGGTAACGTTACTTCGAAGTAATTTTAAATTTGACGTTAACATTATAGTCTTACAGTATCTACAACTCCATTATTATGCTATCAACCAGAAAGGCTTTGTTCTAAGCTGAGTTCAGTGGTGTTTAGCCCAGTTGCACACTGCAGTGTAGCAACACAGAGAACTAGATGGGTACAAACTACAAACCCTAACTGCATGTGCAATGCACACAGGACCCAACCCACAGACAGCAGAATGAAGTCAGAAAAAAGACTTTAAGTACAAGCAGAACATGTACATTACAGCATTACGCATGACACGTCTAAAGTAGCTGGTACAAAGTAGAGGGTTACAGAACCAAGAGTGTTGGACAGCCGGGAAAGATAAATGAAATAGTGTCGGGGCGGCGCGTCAGTCCTCATCCTCCTCGTCTTCCGATGACTCTGCAAATTGATAGAAGCGCATAAATAGAAGCAAAGGAGCGGTTAGATATCCATCTACTACAGTATTGACAGATACTGGCACCCAGACCATGGAAAGCCAGCAATTGTACAAAACCAACAGAAACACTTGTCAAGTGAAATTAAGGACTGGCCAATATGAGTGCAATCGGTGTAGGTCACCCCGTTAGTGCATTCCATTAACGAGAACAACTAAAACTGAAATGAGCTACTATGCCACCAACCGGCTGAAATAGCAACTGACCACATTTTAATAAATTCAGCTCTGATGGTGCACGCGGCACGGGAGTCAAATGTGATGACACCCAGTAACAGCACTCAATTGAGAAGAACTGACCTTCTTCGGCATTTTCGAGCCAATCGATCATAGGCTTGAGCTGGTCAAGAAACACGCTCTTGCCCTTGCTGCTGTGGCCACTCTTGTGCCACTGCAAGATGGCAGACTCACCGATGACATCACCTGCATGCACAAACACCCAAACGAGCCAGCACAAGATTATGTAAGATTGGCAAGGAGGAGGATCTGGTAAACCCAACGCAAGCAGCAAAACAATGAGTGACATACAGAACAGACATAAGTTACATAAAACATGCCTGTACAAGCAGGATGCAAGAAATAAATAAATAAACGACACGGGGATACTTACTCTGGTAGAGCAACATGACCATACGGTGGAAGATCTTCATGAAGCTTACATGCTCATAGCAATACTCCTGCAAATCAACACACACACACACCCAATATACTATCATGATATGAAAGACCCATGAGGTAAAAGGCCAAGGCAACACTACAGCTCCGGACACACAGACAAAAGCTGAGCACAACTCAACAGCCACCATCATAACCAATGAAAAATCATCTGACTACAGCCACCCCATCCAACTGAGAATTACTTTCAGCATACGCAACTCAGATGTGAGACAAATCATCCCCGCTTACTAGAGTGCTGATTGATGTTGAAAGAAACACCTACCTGAATCTTAACCATTAGGCCAAGTTGAGCACGAGGAGTGGAGGAAAAGGAAGCAAGGAGTGAAGCGTTTTTCTGGAAACACACAACAACAATACACTAAATGAAGGCTGCTGAAGCATAGAACGAGCAGCACGAAATGCGAACACTGCAACAGCAAACAAGTGAGCAAATATACTTCGACACACAGCAGCAGGGCAATCTGGAACTGTCAAGGCTACTAAACATTTAGAACATGCAAATTTACTGGATAAGCTTTCCTCACCTTGATATGCTTTAATGCCTGCTCAGCAAGAATATCTTCTTTCTTGCTCCATTCCATGGATGACATCAGCACTTTCCAAATCTACAAGAACCAAAAATAGAAATCCAGCAGCATACGAAAGGTGTGACCCTGAACGGAACAATGGCACACAGGGCAGTGACGATGAACATCATCAACACAAAGTGGAAAACACCAATGAATGTATCACATACCAGTAGGAGAATGTCAGTGTCTTGAAGGTCGTGCTTTTTCTTGAGATCAGCACAAATTTCCTTGATCTGTTGGAAGACAAACATAACAAAGCATGCAAAGTCAGTAAAAGCCCACCAAAGACATGAGAAGCTGCACTTAGATACCCTTGGTGGGGCAAGGACAGTTCAAATGGATAAACATAATCCTTGCATCACAAATACGTACCTCCGAAGAATCAGCTTCAGAGCTGACGAGTTCAATCAGTCGAGTCTCAACAATTTTCTTGTTGCCAGCGGCTTGGTGATTTCTCTAGAGAAAAGGCAAGCAAAGCACAGTCTTAGCAGAAATGCTGAAAGAAACAAGACAGAACTAGAGGTAATTGCTTTTAATGCTAGCTTGCTCCATTGCCAGTAATTAAATTTACTGGCAATGGAGCAAGCTAGCAAACACTATGGTAGACAGAAATGGATGTTCAATACAACTATCATGATGCACAGGCAGAATACTATGATTGACATAATCAAGCAGCTATCCAGAAATGCAATGTGGCCATGTGGAATTCCAGCCAATCACATAGCAGAAACCTGGCTTGGCCAGACTAGTAAACACAGCCATTTGGATTGTTCTCGCACTGGTGATTTCCAGCAAGTCCCACAATCAACTCGTGAGAAGAGACTGCTGGTTTTCAACCGTGCCCAACCAACTGAGATCTAACAAAGTGAACAAGGAAATAGCAAATTAACTGGATGGTCTAGATTCTACACAATGCAGCCTAAAAGAAAAGCCATGTGACAGAAACTAGGCTGTACCAACTGGCCCAAATAGATGAAGTATCGGACGTGGAGACATGAACTTACATACATGTCGACGATCCCACCAAGACCTGCATCTTGAAAGTGTTTTTCAAAGTTCTCCTGGGTGCGACGCGTGGAAGGAAGAACTTCCTGCAAACAGCAACATGAAAAAAATAAAAGCTTATACGACAACCACTTTGACTAAATTTAAATTGTCCTGGATTATATTGCGTCCATGGCACACAAAGGCATAATAGAGAGGTTCCGCATAACGTAATCACGTTAGTAAAAAACGTAGTCGATCTACGGAAAGTCTTACGTAAACTGCATGTGTATATGGGTTCCGCCATACGGAGTTTTCAAATCACGTAGCTGCCCTTGGCAACTCAACTTTACGTAGTGCGGAACCTCTCTAATGATTTAGTATGTCGAGTACAAGACTGTGAAGAGTTCCCACAAACAGCTTACATCAACTCTGGCCAAAAGTAGTTGGAACAGATAAAGAGGTTGAAGTCAACATAGCAATGTCGACAAACCACAGCAGGTAATACACCACACTTACCAGAAGCTTGCCGGAGAAACCACCCTTGCGCAAGTTAGTTGTGAGGCTGTTTATATCCTTCATGGTCACGTACGCCAAGAAAACCTCTGTGATGAACTGAAGAGAAAGACCTGTATCACGCAGCATGACAGCCACACACACACATAGGAGAAACAGATAGCTAAAACAATTATGGGAACTTAGGTGATAACTAGCAGCCAGAATCTTCAATACCAAAGCAGTGAACACATTCCATGAAAAGAAGGCAAAAGAAATAGGCAAGCATACAGTCATCATAGTCTTGGGGCATGTTCGATTGGTAAGGATCGGGATCAGGATCCAGATCTCAGATCCATCGGATCCTTCAGATTCAACTGAACACTTTATATTGGACCTTGACTGTTGCCATGTTGACAATGGCGCTCACAAATCACCCCAAAAGGCTGAACGTCGTACTCATCGCCTCCGTCGTACAAAAAGTCAACAAGCTCTATCTCCATCCACGTGTGCGTATCACAATGTGTACAAATATGATTTTTACCCGCCATAAACGCACTAAGGTCACATTTGGATCCGTTGGATCCGGTCAACCCTGTTCCCCGAGGTGGGTTGACCGGATCCAAATCCGAAGGATCCGGATCCCGATTCGACCAATCGAAAGGGTGCGAATCCAGTGGATCCGGATCCCGATCCTACCAATCGAACATGCCCTTGGACTAACCTTCCTTGACAAGGTGTTCACCAAGCAGATTGTTCAGGCTGGTTGATTGCACCAAACCTGTGATCGTCAAACCAACACAAGATCAAGCACATCACACATAGCTCAGGAATAGCTGAAGTCGCGGTGATGATAGACCAGGCAAAGTACAAAACGCATCACAATGACACTCGTAACCAGAGACCAGGCAAGAAACTGACCCATGCCAATCAAGACGCCGGTAATCATAGCAAGACGACTCCGTTCATCTTCAGAGAAGCCCTTGAGAAATTTCAGAATCTGCACCAGGATCAGACCAAAGGAAGTTGAAACAATCATTAAACATACACAACTTGTGCACATCGGTACCAGCATTTGCAGTTAATTTGGAAGTAGTCTTGTCTTGCAATATAAACACCGTTAAATTTCCACCAAAGTGCCACACCTTGATTAAGAGCAAAGGAAAGAAAGCGTCCATGGCCGAGTGCAACAGAGATCACACGATGCAGCAGAGCCACTCATGATACCAGCTCACTGAGCTGCGCGAGGAATTGATTTCCTTGCTCAAGCGCAAGAGCACAAATAATAAAAGAATAATTATATGTCTGCATAATTGGCTAAGTGTATATGTCAGTACATGTTTGTCCGCCCCACCCCCAAACACGACCACAAGTGTGCCCAGGTGATAGGTGCTCTCAAGTTACTTTATGGTAAAATATTCACTCAAAAAATGTGTTACCTTTTCAAGGTCATCGACAAATGGCACTTGAAGATATTTGTATCGCCTTAGCAACAGATCAAAGACCTGTAGATCGAGCACACACAAAATTGAAAATGTCAGCTAGAAACATGGAAAGGAAAACTCAACGCCAGACAGCAATGTTTGAAATAACGGTAAAGACAAGCATCAGCTATCTTTGTTTCACGTATCCGAAGGAAAAAGTGGCATAAGGAAACAAGGAGAAATACAAGACTGTAACAGAAACAATATCACCGTTTCATGGGCAATCCTGTTGGTTCAAAGGCAGCGCCTGTATGCGAACATTAAACGAAAAGTCTTCTAAAGGCACAATGATAAATGCACTTGGAAGCTGAAACATGTAGCAGATCAATAGTGACGCAATGACCCAGCTTGTACCCTAGGTCATGACTTACACATGATTAACTCCACACGACGGCCACGCAGCGTTAGTAGCCCCCCCCCCCCCCCATCACTCAATTCATTGAAATCCTCTTTCTGTGAAGGAGACTGTGTTGAACGTGATATGGATTCAAACAAATCAAACGTACACAGCTTTTTAAACTAGGGGGACTAGACTTACACAATGGTAGACAGTCAAAATTTAATACTTGACCCAGCACTGAGTTGCCTGGAGTGGTATCCACTCGCCCTACAAGTGGATCCTGCTTTTTTTGGAAGTGAAAATGCAAATCTATGCTTCATTACTCCCAACTCCCACAGTACTAGGGGAAAGGCTCACAGTAGTGCTTCCCAGCATGTGCAGCCGACATACCTGCCCAAACTCTCTCATCTTTGCGGTGTCAGCTTCGGTCTGGAAGACACAGAGGTCTGCCTTGACCGGCTTGTCCTGGTCAGCTCCGTCTTGGACGATGCTGCCACCCGGGGCTGTGAGTATGACAGATATAACAGAATATAATGTAAGACAGTTTACTGGGCACACAACAGAGATACAGCCAAGTAGGTAAAAGTTTTGTAGGGCCTCTGAGCAAATGCCAAGTGAAAAGAAATGACACCACCATTGAAGTAAGTTGGGATCGATCGAATACTCTTTGAGAATTATAACATTTCTTGTGGAAACAAAATTTTGACACCTTTCTTTTCGCGTTCGGATTGCAGCGGGAAGGGAACACTAGCAGATCGAAACGATTATACTGGTTACTGTTTATTCTTCCAGCTGCCTCAAACTGATGAAGTCAATTTGGTAAAGGTGCAGTTTAGGGTCCCAAATTATTTCGCACTTTCCCACTATTAATAATAAAGGTCGAAACAATACAATAGGGAGGTTCCGGAGTACGATTTTTCGTGCCAAAATCCGTGGAGGCTCTACGGATTTTTTATACGTCGTTTTCGAGCAGTGAAAAGTTCCGGGGTACGGAACTTATGTGTTTGCCGTCATTGCCTAGGTTACGATCGCAAACACGTCACATTCCCGCGCTATGCCTTTTTATTTTGAAAATTTGTACCGAAATCAAAACTTCCCGCGAAAAATCGATGTTTCTCGTACCAAATTTGTACGCGAAAAATCTTTCTGCACCCGATGACGCAAAATCTCCATACGAAGCATGGTTCGTATGAAAGCCAGTCTACACGGATTCTCGTGCCGAAAAATCGTATGGAGCACGCCTGGAAAAAATCCATAGCGCCCATACGGATTTTGGCACGGAAAATCGTACCCCGGAACCTCTCTATTACCAGAACGGTCCACAGAGATAAAAATACGCAAAGGGAAAAATCATATTGCTGAAGTTTTCAAGAATGAAAATCAATAATACAGTGTAGTTGAATAGTGAATACCGGTATGCACATGTACTTTTTTTAAACATGCGGGGTTGAATATAGGGTACACAACAGCACAACTTACCAAGCATGCCTCCGGCAAAGAGGATGTCGAACAGAACCTCCGCATATCGACGGTAGTTCAACGAGTTTCCACTCGTGTCCAAGAACTTGGTCAGCTGTAAGAGGCAAAACAACAACGCATTATTTCCAAAAATGCACGTCAACTTGATTTATAGACCATGCTTTTCAAAACACTTACCGAATCAAGATCGGTACAATCATTCACACCAGCGATAATAGCGTCTCTGAAAACCAAGGGTTCGTATTTCTCCTTTTCATCTGGAAGAAGACAGAAGAAAGTGAGACGACAGGAAAGTCCAGAAGTACTTAGTTTTCCGGCGCATGTCTTGGACAAAGACCGGCATAATGTCAGACAACCAACACATACCACGTTTCCTTGTACGCAGCCGCTGGCCTGTCAGCGTAGGTTTTTGTACCTTCTGACTCATAAAACAGTTCTGCAACGCGGAAAGAGAACAAAGACAACTTCTCCAAAAACTGAACTACCAAGGCGCCCGAGTTCTCCAACAAACTCCAGTCTAGATGTTCAACTGTACCTGTGAGAAACAGTGTACTTGCTCTGGTGTTGGCAGCTAAGCCTCGCGTTAGTCAAAGAGCGCGGGTTAGCAAACGGCCTTCTTCTTTGTTCCGATCAAAATCAGTGTGGCAATGAACAACAGCTGCTTGCTGATCAGAGCCTACACAGTGTACAAAATGCCAGCCAAGCACATTTCCTCCAACTCCACGGCCCCACTTGCACTGGCACGCACGATCTGCATCAGGGCGCGGCGCGGTATGCAGGGTTGAATGCATGTTCTACTGTGTGTGACTTCGTGGGTTGACGGAAAAAAGGAAAAGAAAAATGGCGGATAGATGGGTTTAGACAAAACGATCGGAGTTTGGAGTCTTCCACAGCGAAAGAGGTTTAGCTTGCGATACGGAAACGCACAGTTCAAAAAAATCCTGCTGCGAAATTTGAATCCACCGTCTCGAATCGAATGTTTAACACAAAACGCAATGGTTTATGGCGTAAGATAACATAAACTCGCGCTCGAAACCATTGAAAACCGGTATCACCCCCCTCGTTTTCTGGCGCGATACGTCACGAGTTCGTTGATGAGCTTTTTTTTTCAAGCCTCCCGTCCACCATGTCCATGGTCCACATGGTCCAGGGAGTCGTAAAATACGACTCCCTGCTCCCGTCAGATCATGATCGCGAGCTCGATCCCAGGCCTCACGTCAGAAATCAGGCAACAAGGCTCGGTTACTGCACGTTTCGTGTACATGTGGTACACATGGTACAACTACAGACTTTCAGTGGCGTGGGTTCACGCACGTACTTGTCTTGGAAGGATCAGAGCTGCTTGAACTCTTGTCTTTTATTTCTTGAAGATTTAGCCCAAGCTCTGAAACTGGAAATGTGCTTTGTTACAATGTAGTTTTGGTACATCGAATTCCAAGTCTTCACTTTGACTTTTTTCCGACTTCACCAAGTCCCAAGTGCATATCGCCTTTTCAATTATTTACATGTCCTGCCTGAGCTGATCTGCTGAGTGTCACCGTCGTTACATCGTTGCAAAAAAGTGAAGCTATATCCTCCTATTTGTACATGCGCATGCGCGTATGTTTCTTCTCAAGCTTGAAAATTGAAAAATGGCTGGTCGTAACGATGAAGACCTTGGGATGTTCAGCAACTTGTACCAATCCCTCAGTAAGAATTTCAAATTGCTGCGAGCGATTTGAAGCGATCAGTAACATTTTTTTTAAAATTATTTCTATTCTCGTTAGCTGATAGAGGGCCAAACAAGCGGCGCATCAAACCACTGGAAGGAAATCTACTCCAAATGACTTTCGGAATGGCGAGCTCAGACGAGGATGACTCTGATTTTGTTGCTCAAGAACACAAAGGTAGGCGCCAGCTTTGGCGAACAGTGATTAATATTTCTTTCAGAAATATTCAAATTTAATTACGTGAAAATAATCACCTGGAGCGATTTGTCGATTGACATGTTTGCGATGCATGTCACCTTAGCGGTCGGTTCCGTCTCTTGGGTACTCTATGCCTATGGTGTTCGAGTGGCATCGCTATCTACAAATTGATAAAATGTCATAGTCATTATGGACGCTTTTCGGGCCACATGCGGAAATCATGTCTTTCATGTACATAGAATCATTGTGAGTGTGGTTTAGTGTAGTTAGAGAACCCCTCAGGAAATATTGACTGAGTCTCATTTCCTGTTGCAAGATTTGCTGACGCCATTGACACAAGACAATTCACAACTCGCTGGATGGAACTTACTTGGCCATGCACAACACAGTGTGATGATATTTGACACAGGTGGATCTGGAGGAAATCATGCATGGCCGTACGTACACTAAATAAGCTCGCACATCCGAACTAATACCTGCTATAACCGGGTCTGTATGTTTTAGTTAGATGCCCCACCGTCCCTGCCCATTGTAGTTCGCCAGCAATTGTTTTTATTTCCTTTAGTTTTGTCAAAGGCATATGACGTCACAGGGTAACGTGGTACGTCTCGCAAAGCCATAGTCCATGGTCTGTATTGCATGTTCAGTCCTACTGTAGTGTCTGCCAGCCTGCTCGTGTCTGAGGCACTTTGGACTTACACCAGAAAGTGATACAGGCTGACAGAACTAGCGGGAGGAAAACAAGCTCTTGGGCTTAAAACTCTTCACTTCATAATTCCACAAAGCCATGAGGAAGAATGATGGGTTTATATAGGCCAGGGGACAGAGCAGCTGGGAGTGAGGGCAAAAGAAAGCAGGAGAACAGCAGGACAAGAAACAGTGTGGGGGAAAGAATAGACCTAAGTGGCGAGCAACGGGTGGGGCAACAGGAATGACATCTAAAACTGTGTAGCGAAAGGGGAATCTTACTTGTAGGGCTCGTTATTGGATGGGAAGGATGCCGGGAAACACGCTATTCAAAGAAGAGAAGCTGAATAGAGCGAGGGAATCTTATACATGATAGGGAGGTTCCGGAGTACGATTTTTCGTGCCAAAATCCGTGGAGGCGCTACGGATATTTTATACGTCATTTTCGAGCAGTGAAAAGTTCCGGGGTACGGAACGTATGTGTTTGCCGTCATTGCCTAGGTTACGATCGCAAACACGTCACATTCCTCTGGGGCATCCTAATAAAGATATTATTATTCCCGCGCTATGCCTTTCTATTTTGAAAATTTGTACCGAAATCGAAACTTCCCGCGGAAAGTCGATGTTTCTCGTACCAAATTTGTACGCGAAAAATCTTTCTGCACCCGATGACGCAAAATCTCCATACGAAACGTGGTTCGTATGAAAACCAGTCGACACGGATTCTCCGTGCCGAAAAATCGTATGGAGCACGTCTGGAAAAAATCCGTAGCGCCCATACGGATTTTGGCACGGAAAATCGTACCCCGGAACCTCTCTGATGATTAAAGGGGAAGTTAAGGCTAAAATCAAAATTTCACCAGTTGTAGTCTTCGGGGTGCTGAGTCGAATGGTCGTGGTCCGAGGAAGCTGAGACGCTCCCTTCCTACTTTAATCCCAATCGAACTCACGCACTTCCACCAAAACTGGGTGACTGCGCCCTACTAGATGGGGATTTGTATGCAAAATGTCACTAAAAGCGCCATTTCGTTCTTATAAAAGCACGGATGACCGCGATTGGCCCATATGTTGTAGTCTTTTGGACGCTGAGTCGACTGGTTTTGGTCCGAAAAGGCTGCGATGCAGCGTTCCTCCTTTATTCCCAATCGAACATGGTTGAACAAGCGGTCACGTGCTCCTGCGTACACCAGTCACCTGGTCACCGTGCCTGCAGGGTACAACTTACTAGCCTGTTTGACCTTTTTTGTAGGGCTGAAACGATTATACCGAATAATCGAGTACTCGTTTGACAACTCTAACGATCGAGCAATCGTTTAGATTACCGATTACGATTATTTTGCGTTTTTAAATTTGTGTCCAGAAAGTACTGTAAACCCTCGTTTTATGAAGTTTGAATCAGTTTCCGCTGGCAATATGCAGTTGCCAGGGGTATGGTTCATGTTCTGAGGTTAAATTGACTTCAAAACTGCCATGTTTCGGAGCTACCCTTTCACTAATGCAGATTTGTTGGTATTATGAAGGCATAGTTTGTGGAAACAGAGTAATGTTTGCACAGAATTATGACACTATTTGCTAACGATTATAATCGATTACTCGATCGTTAAGCTAACGAGTAATCGATACATGAAAATCCACGATCGTTTCAGCCCTACTTTTTTGGGTGCAGTCCTGTCACTCGAGTTGAACTCGAGTTGAACCTTGATGTGAAAGTTGTCGCCTGCTGGCGTGGTGACCAGGTGATTTGGGCACCCAGGAGCACGTGACCGCTTGTTCAACCATGTTCGATTGGGAATAAAGGAGGAACGCTGCATCGCAGCCTTTTCGGACCAAAACCAGTCGACTCAGCGTCCAAAAGACTACAACATATGGGCCAATCGCGGTCATCCGTGCTTTTATAAGAACGAAATGGCGCTTTTAGTGACATTTTGCATACAAATCCCCATCTAGTAGGACACAATCACCCAGTTTCGGTGGAAGTGCGCGAGTTCGATTGGGATTCAAGTAGGAAGCATCTCAGCTTTCTCGGACCAAGACCATTCGACTCAGCACCCCGAAGACTACAACTGGTGAAATTTTGATTGTTGCCTTAACTTCCCCTTTAACCCTTTGAGGCCCATAGTACGGATATATCCGTACCAGTGTACAGTGCATACTTTTCAAAGCGCAACCTGGCGTAACTCGGCCGTCCCTTGACCAAATCGGACAATCGAAAGGGCTATTGACATTAGAATTGTCTCAGCTATCGGCTCGAAAAAACCTGAAAGCGATCCGAGTTCGGAGAGCGGAGATACGAGACTCGAACTAAATTCGCTCAGCAGAGTCAACTCGAGCGCGTGCATTTTGAACTCGTTTTTAGGGGTTTTCCCTGACTCGCGGCCCACGCAGCTACAGATAGTTCACGTCATCGCAAAGGCATGTTTCTCAGCTCTCCAGTAAAAAAATTTGAGCGATCTGCGATGCAATTTGTTGAAATGGCAGAGAATTTGAGTTGGGCGCTCGCAATGCTGGCTTTGGAGCGCCGTATCGCGCTGCGGCGCTGGTTCTGTGGATCGAGTGATGTATTGCTGGCTATCACTGTATTCCTCTGGCCAAGAGCTTTCCAGAAAGCCCAAGATCACCAAAATCGGCCAAAGGACACCAAAGTTACGACCAGATAAGTACCCGGGCTCGCGTATGCAGTGCATTTCTTGAAATAATTGTGGGCCCTAAAGGGTTAACCCTTTAAGAGCCGCCCCATACTTGAATGCGTCGTTTTGTTAACGACGCATTCAAATGCAAAACTTCAAAAGATCGTAACTCAGTCCAATCTCGCTCAAATCCAGTGATCGAAATATCCAGGGCGAAGAGAAAACTCTGACCTGTCGGGAGAAACAATCCGCGAAACGCTGCGAGCAACGGTTCCTGAGATAAATCACTCGTAAGTTGAGCCGCGATCGCGGCAATTTCGAAAGAGCGCAGTGCGACTTTAGTATTGAGAATTTTGAGACTTTTCGTCACGCTGGTTTACTCGAATTTGCACGGGTTTCACTTTTGATATTGTCAAGAGTACACAGCGAAAAAATTGGAACTCCACGATCGAGTAAAATGAAATATCTGGAGCGGGACGCAATTGGACGCATTTGGGGCATTTTTCGTACTGTCGCTGCGATCTAGCGCTGGATAGAGGGTGTGCTGGCTATCATGATCGACCTCATTCTCTTCCTCTCGCGGAGACCTTTCCAGGAAGCCCGAGATTGTGAAGATTGAGTGAGTAGAACTGAAGCTATGATCCAAGGAACACGAAAAAATGCAGAATTTTGAAATTTTCCTGTGGCTCTTAAAGGGTTAAGAGGGCCGGGGGTGCGCAATGGCGTATGAAATAGGACTACAGTCTAGTACAGGAATCAATGTAATGCAGAGTACAGCATGAATGGGTGTTATCGGTCATGCCGTGCCGGGTATGCGCATAAGGCTAAGTGGTGGCGTGGGAGAAGCACTCACTCTGTAGATGTGTACGTGTTCATGAACTACAATGTAACTAGGAGGTTGTGTGATAGTGACAGTCAGCGATACTACATTCGCCCCTCCTCCGTTGAGACACGTCCTCGTGTCTACGGGACGGATGTTTGTGAAGACAACATCCCAACTGCTGGCCAAACTGGTTGACCGCATGGAACGGTTAGAGGCCCGCGTGGACGGACCAGCACCTGCTCCACCGACGTCTACACCGTTCCCCACTCGTGGCATCACCTGTTGGCACTGCGGCAAGCTGGGACACACCCAACGCGCGTGCCGCACGCGCATGCGCCAGGGAAACCGCCGCCCGCTGCCCCAGTGAGTCCCGGCTTAGCAGCGGCTCCCGACGCCTGGACTCATGTTAGTGAGTATGTTAGCCGTAACAATATGCCTGCCATGCCTGTACTAATACTCTGCCTTGCAATTGCGTTCATCGCCCGTCTTCTGTGGATGGCTGATAGCTATTTCCTCCCTCTGTTAATCTGCACTGCGCTCTTCCTCGCTTTCTCTTGCAAGTGTATCACGTTACCCCCATGCACACAGTCTCTATTTTCTCCCCCGGCCGTCGCTTCTGCTGCTCGTGCCGTTCCTCCTCTCTATGTCCCGGTGCTTTTACAGGACATGCATACTCACGCATCCGTGGATACTGGGTCATCCGTAACAATTGTCAGTCACAACCTCTGGCAAGATCTGCCAACGCCTCTTCCTGCTATGCAACGCTCCGCGCTCAACATGATCTCTAGCCTGGGCTGTTGTTCACTGTCAGTCCTCAAACATTCCGTGGATACAGTGCACCCCAGACGAAATTAGCGAGGTGACCCGGTGGTCGACGGATGCGATACGGCCTTACTGGTGTATTGGCAGCAGGCATCAATGGTTGTGGAATGGCCGGCATGGGCCGAGGCTCAGGGAATGACTCAATGCTATCGTCAACTTCATCTTGATATAGGCGATCGGTCGCATACGATGGTGAGTCCGGTGGTCGAGCGCGGGAGCCAGCGGCCATTGTGCGGCGTGTGGCAGGAGGGCCCCACTCACGGCAGGCTGGAGCGGCGGAGTGAGACGGCAGATCGCCCGCCGCCTCATTAGACGTGTCGTGTTCTGCCATCTCAGGGATGGTGGCCAAGCGCTCAGGACGAACGTGGCAGCGTTTTAGACGGTTCACATGGACCACCTGGAAGCACTTACGAGGACCAGACGTAGTGTGGATGCGGTACACAACATCCGAGAGGCGGTCTCGTACCGTGAATGGTCCACGCCACAGTTTGGACAGTTTCGGTGCTGTACCGACCGGGACGGCGGGGACCAGCAACCAAACGAGGTCACCAGGGGCGAAGTGCACCGGAACGGCGCCAAACGCGGTTGGGGCCGTTGCTTTCCGTTCATCGGTCGAGGAGAGTAGGACAGACTGTTCACAGTGTCATGCAAGACCCGTAGTCTACCATGTAGATATCTACCATGTACCGGATGCCAAGAGTAGAGTCCAGGCTAGGCGGACACACACAACACAACACAGTATTCTGGTTCAGCCAGGCCGTGGTTCTGACCCGGTACGGTATCGTCACAAGCGTAAATTATTTTTACCATGAGAGTTGAGAGATAGCATTTTGACGCATGCAAAACATAGCATGGAAAATGCAACCGCGTAAACGGTAAAGACTATTATGTAGTCAGCGAAGTATTATAAGCGTAGTTATTGCAGCCAGCAGGCGTACAGAGTAGTGGCCAGAGCAGTGGGCAAAACGTGAGTTGCACAAGTTCTGCGGGCATTTCCGCTTCCTCCAGCGCCAGTGGGTCACTGGCTGACCGGTCGGCGATATCCGTCGTGCCCGTGTCCTTCGGCTCGGCCTCTGTGGCTGGACGGGCGTCAGCGTTGTCGTTCCCGCGCCGTGCCAACGGGCTCCTACTCCTAGAGCGATTCCTCGACGCAGCTCTGGAGTTGTTTCGCTGGCCAGGGCGCGGACGATGAGGGCGACCAGGTTGTGCGCCATGCCCCAGGTGCGGTGACCGAGTACATACGCCTGGGCGTGGGTTCGAATCCCACTTCTGACACCAGTGTAGTGTCTGCCAGCCTGCTCGTGTCTGAGGTACTTTGGACTTACACCAGAAAGTGATACAGGCTGACAGCACTAGCAGGAGGAAAACAAGCTCTTGGGCTTAAAACTCTTCACTTCATAATTCCACAAAGCCATGAAAAAGAATGATGGGTTTATATAGGCCAGGGAACAGAGCAGCTGGGAGTGAGGGCAAAAGAAAGCAGGACAAGAAACAGTGTGGGAGAAAGAATAGACCTAAGTGGCGAGCAACGGGTGGGGCAACAGGAATGGCATCTAAAACTGTGTAGCGAAAGGGGAATCTTACTTGTAGGGCTCATTATTGGGTGGGAAGGATGCCGGGAAACACGCTATTCAAAGAAGAGAAGCTGAATAGAGCGAGGGAATCTTATACATGATGATTAAGAGGGCCGGGGATGCGCAATGGCGTATGAAATAGGACTACAGTCTACAGTCCATTCAGAAAAAAATGAACTTCTAGCTTTTGGCCATAAATGGGTCAAACGTTGAGTTTTTTTAGAATTTTTTTCTGCAATCCTATATGGAATCCTCTTCCAATTATGTTTCTGAAGTTTTTTTGTCCAAAAAGCAAGCCATAGCAAGAATAGGATTTCGGCCAGGTTTTGCCCCAAAAGCACTGAATTGGGAAAAACCATCAAAATCCAGGCCGTTTGACCCCGCCTGCAACAGTGCATTCTGCGGTTCGAACCCCAGTTCAGGCACCCTTTTTGGACCCTTTTTCAAATTTCAAAGTTCGCAGCACTGCACTGTGTACGATGAAATCACGAAAAATCGCCAAATACGGGAGCTCGCCAGAGCCAGGACCCATCTTTTTATGAATGGACTGTAGTACAGGAATCAATGTAATGCAGAGGACAGCATGAATGGGTGTTATCGGTCATGCCGTGCCGGGTATGCGCATAAGGCTAAGTGGTGGCGTGGGAGAAGCACTCACTCTGTAGATGTGTACATGTTCATGAACTACAATGTAACTAGGAGGTTGTGTGATAGTGACAGTCAGGGATACTACACTACCAGGGGGGGGGGGGATCTCTGTCTCTGTTTCTCTCTCTCTCTCTCTCTCTCTCTCTCTCTCTCTCTCTCTCTCTCTCTCTCTCTCTCTCTCTCTCTCTCTCTCTCTCTCTCTCTCTCTCTCTCTCTCTCTCTCTCTCTCTCCATCACTTTGTGTAACTCTGTTCGCATTTCGGACCAGGTGATTCGGAAGACGAACAGAGTGGAGAGGATACCCAGTCATCACAAGACGTCACCAGCAGCCAAGATGCATCTGGTGAGTGCTGGGCCTCCTGTAACTTCTCTCCTATGCACTCTTTGTAACCCATGCTTGTACTTTATGCCCACGGCCAACCGCTGACACAGTCTGAAGCACACAATACAAACATAGGTTTGCTTCTGCTTTAATTAGGGATCATTTATTTAATTCCCATTGTGATGTCACAACGATGACTAGTCTTCGGGGGAACTGAATGCGGAACACTTTGAACAGATATGCAGGACCTTCGGAAGATCAAACTATGTGTATGAAATGCGACATTTTCCTGGAGTGTTTGTCTGGGTGTGCTGTACAGGGTTGAAATATTATAATCACGGTCTTCATTATTAGCTCGTGACAGAGGAGGTATTGGAGCTATACTGTAAAAGCAGAAATTTTCGGTGGTGTTTTATTTTCGGTAACTTCGGTGCCGACAATTTTTACCTAAAATAAAACGCTCCGAAAATGTCGGTACTAGTACTACAGTCGACTCCACTTATAACGAACTCGCATGTGGCGAATTTCGTGATATAGCGAACCATTGTCCATGTCCCTGTTTGAACCCATACGAAATTGACCCTTTAGGCCATGGTAAAAAATATCTTTGATTCTCAAGTACGCGCGCACCGATTTTTGGCGGCGCACCGACGATTTTTTTTATTTCTATGCATGCATATGCGCGCATGAAAACGGTCAATGCGAAAGGCATGAATCAGGGAGTAGTAAAATACCGGTATTTTTCTACTCCCTGGCCTGAATAATAAAATAAATTAAAACAATTATATGAACCTGTGATGTACATATGTGTGACCCTATCTTCGGAAATAAAAAAATTACGCATAAGCCCGATTTGTGTAAGCAAAAAGAACATGTTTTAGCACTTAGGTTATTTTCGTGAGTTTGCACCCCGTGTTCATGAGTTGTTTCTGCACTGTTCATGCCCGTTTGTCACACTTACTCTTTATTTTAGTTCTCACTTTTTGTAAAACTTACCACAAGTTACCCGTCATGTGTCACACTTCTTTGGATTTTTAACCTTTGTTTTTCCCTTGATCTCTTTAGTTCCGTATTTCCACTGATGATCGGAACGTGAAAATCGATTTTGGAAACACACAAAACCAAACCTTGAACAAATTGTCATGTTGCGTGGTGATGTCTGCGGCATTCATACTTTTCATTGCTATTAATAAAAAAATTGCGGGAAATAAAGTAAAAAATCGCTCGCTCGCACCGATTTTCACAGGCTCATGACCTGAGAATCAACTTTATTTTTTTACCATGGCCTTATAGCAAACAGATTTCTTTTATAACGAACCGAATCTTGTAGGGCTGCATGTACACCAAGTGCACGCGTATTGGTTGTATAGTGTGTGTGTATTTATGAAATTGACCCTTTAGGCCATGGTAAAAAATATCTTTGATTCTCAAGTACGCGCGCACCGATTTTTGGCGGCGCACCGACGATTTTTTTTATTTCTATGCATGCATATGCGCGCATGAAAACGGTCAATGCGAAAGGCATGAATCAGGGAGTAGTAAAATACCGGTATTTTTCTACTCCCTGGCCTGAATAATAAAATAAATTAAAACAATTATATGAACCTGTGATGTACATATGTGTGACCCTATCTTCGGAAATAAAAAAATTACGCATAAGCCCGATTTGTGTAAGCAAAAAGAACATGTTTTAGCACTTAGGTTATTTTCGTGAGTTTGCACCCCGTGTTCATGAGTTGTTTCTGCACTGTTCATGCCCGTTTGTCACACTTACTCTTTATTTTAGTTCTCACTTTTTGTAAAACTTACCACAAGTTACCCGTCATGTGTCACACTTCTTTGGATTTTTAACCTTTGTTTTTCCCTTGATCTCTTTAGTTCCGTATTTCCACTGATGATCGGAACGTGAAAATCGATTTTGGAAACACACAAAACCAAACCTTGAACAAATTGTCATGTTGCGTGGTGATGTCTGCGGCATTCATACTTTTCATTGCTATTAATAAAAAAATTGCGGGAAATAAAGTAAAAAATCGCTCGCTCGCACCGATTTTCACAGGCTCATGACCTGAGAATCAACTTTATTTTTTTACCATGGCCTTATAGCAAACAGTTTTCTTTTATAACGAACCGAATCTTGTAGGGCTGCATGTACACCAAGTGCACGCGTATTGGTTGTATAGTGTGTGTGTATTTATGATAAACGAACTTCGGTTATAAAGAACAAATTCTCCTGCACAATGGTGTTCGTTTTAGCAGGAGTCGAATGTAGTACACTTACCTGGAAAACGGGTTTACTGAAAAATTCCCTCCACCGAACCGCCGATTTTGGAGAAAATATTACACTACCGGAAATTTCTGCTTTTACAGTAAGCAGTGCACCGCTTGTAATAGGGAAAATGCCGTATGTTTGCACAGACTATATAGAAAAAGTAAATTGTGAACACAGGATCAATACAGGGTCAACGACTAGAATGGGGTCTGATACGTCGGCTCCAAAAGTCGTGTGTTGTTTTGATGTGACATGATAATTGTGGAGACTTACACAGAACTGATAGTATAGAGGTTATACAAATGATTGCATGTTGATGAGTCAGCGGAACCGCTTATGGGCGCTATCAAGAGTCCATAACCCCCGATTGTGCAATGCCGCATAAATGTCTGTCACGACTCGTTTTCAACATTACGTCATTTTCATGTAGCTGCGCGTGCAGGCCGCGACATTCGCTACATGAAAATGTACATGAAAATGACGTAATGTTGAAAACGAGTCGTGACAAGACCCTATCGCGTGTTGCACGCTCTGGGGGTTATGGACTCTTGGCGCTATGTATACAGCGTGAGTCAACGGAGCAGCTTATGGGAACTAAGCGTGAATCAGCGGTTTCCATGGTTTCTCTTGAGCTAGTGCATCGCGCTGTGTCGTGACTTTGCCAATGCATCTCAACTGATGATGTAATGAGTGACGTAATGACATGACCTTTAGGATACAGTATACAGTCAGTGTTGTTTGATGAAAGTTGTGCATCGTGACTTAGGTAGCACTGGGTACGCTGCATAACCCTGGCCCGGCGAGCACTGGGCTGCGCAATGCTGGTGCAAGGCGCTGGCTTACTCACGCGCATGGGCTATATTGAGTATATGCCCAGCCCATGCATCCCGAAAAGGAGATTTGGGTGTACAGTAAAACCTGGTTTAAGCGACCACCCCACGGTGCAAGCAAAAGCGGTCGTTAAAGCCAGGTGGTCTTTAGAACCAGGTCCCATACATTCGTGGTATATCGAATTATGCATACATGTGCATGATTGTACTTCGATGTACTCATATTGACCGGTGTGGAGCATAGAATACTCCCGTGCAGGCAAAGCACACCTCACTGGAGTGCATGCAGCGCATTCTGCACTGTCACTTGTCACTTCAGTTGACTGCATCCACTTGCTTCAGAACGCACTTCAACCCTGTTGCGGTCAACCCTGCCAGCCAAGATGGCACTTTTGGTTAGTTTTGGTCGCTGTGTGCAGGTCCAATATGGCACTTGGTACACAAAAAGTCGGTCGCTGGTCGCGCAAGGCAGGTGGTCGCTGTATCCGGTGCAGTTTCTGTATAGAACTGTCGGTGCATGGGAAAACGGTGGTTAAGAGCAGGTGGTTGCTAAAGACAGAGGTCGCTTACACCAGGGTTTACTGTATATTGTGATTGCTTGCATTGGGCCAGTAGTGTACCTGAAGATGATGAGTCGCCGAAATGTTGTGATACCCAGAAGAATTGATTTTGGCGTCAAGTATGCGGTGGGGTTGGGTGTTTGCATAATTATACATTTTTCAGCAAATGAAGGAATGTTGAAGGAATTCTTGTTCGAAGTAACATTATTCATCCTCTTCAATTGTATCTAACCTCATGTCTTTTTTCTGCCTCTTACTCGTATGTTTGTGCATTGCAGGCCCGGTGAGTCGTAGCAAGGCCAACACAGGCAAGATGATCAGTCTTAGTGATCTGAGCGACTTTGAAGAGGCTGATGCGCACTCTGATAACGATGCTGACTCGGAGCAGGAGAGCAGCAGCGACGAAGATGACGAATCACCCACCGCATCATCAAAGGTAGGGATAGCCAGCAGTGCTGCGGCTGGCAAGGGCATTCTCGAACACGACTTCAACAGCGACAGCGACACGAGTTTTAATCCAGGACAGAGCTCTGAGGATGACGCCGACTCTGACCAGGACGGGGAGCGTTCAGTGGAGAGGCGCAGTGTACACCGTCGCTCTGCCGCTGTCAAGGCATCCAGTGCCATCACGCTTGGGGACATGATCTCGGCCATGACCAAGCAGGTGAGAGTGGAACCTTCTCTCAAATTGACTTTGAACTTGCTGTATTGTGGAACGGTGTGGACACTTTCCCGACACCGTACAGTCGTCTTTGTGTTGGGACAAACTCGGGCTCTGGCGCGGTAGTCAAAGCCTGTGCCTGGAAGTATCACGGTTTGAATACCGTACATTGTAGTTCTCTGTCTTGGCACATTGTCATCTACGGGTATATGTGACCACTGTCGTTTTCATATTCATTGTGTATGATTTCCACCAAGAGTTTTTGAGGTCAGGTTGAGTTTTTAGAGCTCCGTAGTCTTTGTAGATTTCCAGTAGCCCAGCCGGCACCAGGCCGGTCTGGAGCATAGTAGCGGGTAGTAGTAGTTGGTAGGCATGGACTCTGACGCGTCGGAGGCCCAGGGGACCCAGGACTTAGCTTTGCTGGGATTCGACGACCTGCGGAAACTGGCTACAAAACACAGCATAGAGGGCGTGAGTAAGCTGTCCCGTGCTGAGCTGGTGGAGAGCCTCCGGGCATTTGGTGTGGATGCACGAGCCGGAACGTATGTATCCAGGCTAGAGAATGCATTATTATCTTTGACGACCTGTATTGAAAACCTGAGCATTGAAATAGTGGCACTGAAGGTTGGCCAAAAAGCCGAAATTTCAGCCCTCCACGCCGAAATTGAAGTTCTGAAGAGAGAAATTGGCAGTTCGGAATTCAAAAAGGTTACACCCGCACCTGACGCACCCGTACTTAGCGTACCCGTAGCAGAAGTCTCTCCTGAGCTGGATGCAGCAGCACAGGCACGGAATACGCACTCTGCAGTCAACCCGTACTCGTACAGTGCAAAAGTAGTATCTGCACGTCCCAAAGCTCACTTCCCATCGCATTCTCCCATGACACAGCCAGCTACCTTCAATACGGGGACACATACTGATCAAGCCCTCCGGACAAACGTCATTTCATACTACCAGCGCCCACCCCGCAAACATGAGCAACTGCGCAGTGCCCATCGTACCAAATGCAAAGCTGTTCATGTTGGAAGAATTCACCCTGGTTGCTCTGCTTCCTCCATCGCAAAATGGTGCGAAAACAAGCAAGTGACTGTACTGAAATGCTCCGTCTCTGAGACAAAGTACTTTGGCCTAGCGTACGCGCACGTAGTCGTCACAGAAGATGACTGGGAAGCTGTGCAAAACACTGACTTTTGGCCTGACGGAGTGACAGCTCGAGAATGGCGATTCAAGGCTGACAGAATAAGTACAGCTGACAACACAACCGTCGATCAGTCTGCACAATAATGAACCTCAACCCCCCGATACTTCCTCACTGTTCCCCAAACATTACTACTAACAGCACACTTAATCCATTAGCTCAGCCTTTTTACCCGCTTTCACAGCCAACCGCAGGATCACAGCCTATAATGTGCATCAATGCCAGGTCCATTAAGAACAAGACTGCCGAGCTGGCTCACATTTGTTCCACAGTTAAACCCCTCATTGTTTGCATAACGGAAACATGGCTCTCTCCACAGTCGTCTTTCACGGTCCCTGGATATGACTGTTTTCGCCGAGATCGTCCGCCAGATGAAAACAGGTCAGCTACCGATGCCACCCATGCATATGGCGGCGTCTGTATCATGGTACGGTCTGGGATGTTTCCAAAGGTCACCCATCGATCTGACCTCAGTATCCCTCTCCTGGAAGCCACATGGGTGGAAATAGCCCTGTCATCTGCTAACATACATTTCCCAGAGGCGCCTCATGTGAAGAAGTTGGTTATTGGTGCAGTATATCGACCCCCAGCCCTTACTCCATCAAGTATCAACACCTTCTGCAATTCCCTCCAGCACTGTCTAAGTACTCTTAAGAACCGAACAACATCTATCATGTTGATGGGAGACTTTAATGCTAAGTCATGTCATTGGCATGGAACTACCACGGATGCCGCTGGTCGTCAGCTTCACAGTCTATTCGGCATGTTCTCTCTCACGCAGCTCGTAAATTTTCCAACACATGAGTCATTGTCTGGCATGGGGGCAGCTCTCGACCTAGTTGTCACTGATATACCGGACTCTATATCCTGCCTCCGTGCTACAGCACCACTTGGTCAATCCGATCATTCTATCGTGGTTGGCCACATCCGTACTGTACCCTGCCCAGAAATGCCCACATACCGTTCTCGTGATGCCCGTTCGACTCCCCTGGATGTCCCTGATTTTAGTGTATTTTCTTTGGATTCTCTAGACAGCAACACTGTCGCGAGTATGAATACTGCCATGTCCCACATACATTGGCCAGCAGCTTTGAGCCTGGAGAGGCGCGACCCTGACATATCTGTGGACAACTTTTACTCTATCTTCCATAACATCTGTGCAAGATTTCTGCCCAGGCAGAAGCCGCCGGCTGTCAAGCGTATCCATATGAACCCCCCCTGGCTGACCAGTACCCTCCGACATCAAATAAAGAAAAAACGAGATTCGTATAGTGTTTACCGAAAGTTTCCCTCGGCTGACAACTTCGCTATTTACAGACGAGAGCGAAACGTTACTCGCAATATGTCTCGAACTGCCCATCGACTGTACATCTCATCCCTAAGTGCATCCACGGCAAGACCCGCATCACCAAGTTTATTCCAGTTTGTCCGGAAGCTTCGATCTCCCCAAGGCAACAGCAGAACGACTGTAACTCAGCTCTCAGTCGCTGGTACTCTATATTCTGACCCTGTGGATGTGGCAGATGCTTTGAACGAACAGTTTATTGGTTTTGGAACACAAGATGATCCTTCATGGAATGTGCCAGACTTCAAGCCACCCGACGCCCCATCACGTGGAAGAACTACACCTACGTTGCAAGATGTCACCACCACGCCTTCTGCTGTGGCAAAGCAAATCCGCAACCTTAAGACCCGAAAGGCTGCGGGAGCGGACGGTATTTCTCATGAACTCCTGAAACTATTTTGTTCCAGTATTGCATACCCTCTCAGCCTCATCTTTAACCTCACTTTTGCAACTGGTGCTTTCCCTGCTATTTGGAAACACGCAATTGTAACTCCGGTCTTTAAGAACAAGGGAAGTAAGCTCGATGCATCGAATTACCGCCCGATTTCGTTATTGTCAACAATCTCCAAGCTGTGTGAACGTATTATGTACAACCACTTATACACTTACCTGTCTCCTGTTCTACATCCGTCCCAGTCTGGATTCCGAAAAGGCGACTCTACGTCCTGGCAGCTTCTCAGACTTGTTCAATCGATGTCTTCTGTTCGTGAGAACGGCCATTACAGCATGCTATGTTTCTTTGATCTAAGCAAGGCCTTCGACACCGTATGGACACGCGGGCTCCTATACAAGCTGTCGCGCCATGGAATCCATGGTACTTGCTTCACGTGGCTCAGTACTTACCTGACGGGCAGACAGCAAAGGGTGCGTGTCGGCTCTGCTCTGTCTGCCAAAGGGCATGTACGGTCTGGAGTTCCCCAGGGATCAATCCTGGGGCCTCTCCTCTTCCTTATGTATGTAAACGATCTGGCAGAAATGGATCACACATCACTATATGCTGATGATACAGCACTACTTGTGACAGCACCCACTCTCCCCGAGGCTAGTGCCAAGTTACAGTCTAACATAGATGGCGTTATTCATTGGATGGAAAAATGGAAATTGCAACCCAACTCTTCGAAAACTGCTGTAATGTGTATCCCCCCCAGTTGTTCCTGTGACCTATCTTCATTAGTAACCAGTCCCTTCACCTTTCCAGGCACCACAACCCCGCTCTGCATCGTTGAAAAACACAAGCATCTTGGCGTCATTATTGACCAACACTTAACCTGGAAATCCCAGATCGAAAATTTAGACAGCCGTGTTAGCTCAGTAATGGGATTTCTCTCATCACACATCACCCACCTCCACACCGACTGTCGCCATGTTATCTACACATCTTACATTCTGCCTATTTTTGATTACTGCTGCATAATTTGGGCTGGCATTTCTAAAACACTGATTGCTCGACTCGAAGTTATGCATAGGCGTCTTTTGAAAATATTATTTCGGCTTCCTCGCCTGACTCCAAGCGCAGACTTATACCGCCTTGCTTCTGCTGTGCCGCTCTCGGTCCGCGTGCGTTTTTTGGCATGCCAGACAATTCATAAAATTAAGCTGGGCATTGCTCCTCTTCATGCTCTCTCCTGCCTAAGCTGGTTTGCTCAATCTCAAGACATGCGCACCAGAAACTCTCTCCGCTTCCCTATTGCGCGGTCTGCCTCTATGCAAACATCTCCTCTCTTCCTTGCTTACCGCCATTGGTCTCTCCTCCCACAACATCTAAAATCCTGCCAATGTTACAATACATTCACACAGCTACTGCAGAATGCAACATACTAGTTGATATCCAGCCCTGCCCTAGCTTCTTTTGCTTTTCAGTTCCCCTTTCATTCTTTTTCTTCCCCCCCCCCTCTAGCTGTATTACCGCCATGGCTGGCTATCGCCCACATCACCATTTCATTGGCTAGTGCCACGTGATTGTGAATAAATAAATAAATAAAATAAATAAATGTATAGGCCACGTCCACAATTTCTTACTGACACCATCCATACACATTTTCTGGATAAAATGGGTGCTTTCAGAGACTAGCTGTAGTTTTGTGCTTTGTAAATAAAATTAAAAAAACAGTGCAACACCACCCACTTCATTCTACAGGTCTGTACGCACTTTGTACACACTTCATCATTGTGTGCCTGGCCTTTTGTGTGTTATGGTTATGATCTTAGTATTTGTGAGGAAGCGAGTACTGCTCATGCTCATTGAATATACAAGTGTAACAAGAGGTCTGTCTCTTGGTCATTGCACTCTACTGTTGTAATCCATTGTGTTTACTATACCTTTGTGGTCATGTAGGCATCGACATCCGATGCAGGATCTCAGCCACTTGTGTGCTCCGTGTGCTTGGACACAGAATCCAAACCGTGAGTGCTACCCCTGGTGCAGCTGTATCTGTGTCTAGATCTGCGTCGTCTTTCATACATGCTATTTTTGGTGCAGTGCGCTGTTTGTAGTTACTGTTGCATTGCAGTTTTCTTGAGGGTTTCAGTGTGCAGTTCTACTGCATTGCAGTTTTCTTGAGAGTTTCGTGGCAGTTCCAATATTGGGCCTACTAGTGTGTGTGTTCTTGTCTGCACTCGTTCGATGACTTAGCTGTGGTGTTAGTGTCACCGTCAAGTCACGTATATAATCCAGGCGTGTCCCTGTACCAGCGGATAAGAGGGCTAGGCTTCTATAGAAATTTGGTTTGTATTTATAATTTTTTTAGTGTTTGTTTGTCAGGAAACTGTATTGCGCATGCCCCCAATGTTGTTTGTTCTTCTGAAGGAGCACTGGAGATGCGTCTGAAGATGACAATGATGGAGAGATGTATCAATGTGACAAATGTGGTGTTGCTGTTCATGAAGGTATGGTTTGTGTTACCCTCTGCTCATGCTACTGCTGCTGTTGGTGTGTTCTGCACATACCGTACTATAGAAGCTAGGTGTGCAGTGATGGAAGCAGTGTTTTGTGTGTATATAAAGTATATGTGTGTGTGTGTGTGTGTGTGTGCGTGCGTGCGTGCGTGCGTGCGTGCGTGTGTGCTAGTTTTGCACTGCTGGTGTGGCCCATAGGCATAGACCGTTTGATCTGAGCTTGTCACTATTCAAGAAGTGTTCAGTCCCAATCTTGAACTTGTCACAAAAGTATGTTTGAGCATGGGGGCTTAGTATGCTGGTGTGTACATGTGTGTGCATGTGCGTGCATGTGCGTGCATGCATGTGCCTGCGTGTGTGTGTGTGTGTTATGCGTAATTAGGCTGTTTTGGCCTGGGAGCGGATAGCAGCAGCGAGGAATCATCCGATGACGGTGATAAGGATGGCCCTTCGCCACGGCTGGAAGCTTGGTTTTGTGATGTTTGCCGAGCTGGTGCCAGGCCAGTAAGTACATTATGCAAGTGGTAGTGCATGTACATACTCTACCAACTCTAGTCATGACTGTGAAATGAATATTCTGTTTTGCATGAACTTGCATCTACCCCTGACCGATGGCATCAAGCAGAGTATCCGGATACTCTTGTTGAATTAGACATGCAGAACTCCTATTGCTTCTGGCACATGCAAATGGTCTATGGATCTTCTGCATGCTAGTACTTGGTTTTCTGGCACTATTTTGCTACCGGGGGTCTTCAGGTCCACTTGATTCAAGTTTAGTCTCTCTGAATAATTCCTTTTTGTATCGCTGTCTGCCTCCTCGTGGACTCTTGAAGTTTTTCTAGTTGATACCTGACACCTCACACTGTAGGTTTCTTCTCTATTCTGCCCCTATTACTTCCTTCCATTGCACTTGCACATGCCTGCTCTCTTACAAGGTCTAAGCCACAGCGATAGAGATGATGTTCCTCATGCCCTACTGCCCCCTGCACAATGTTGTATTTGACACCCCACCATTGTCTTCATGCACGTGCTGTGTATGTGTGTGTGTGTGTGTGTGTGTGTGTGTGTGTGTGTGTGTGCGTGTGTGTGCACATGTGTGTGTGTGTGTGCGCGCATGTGTGTGTGTGTGCGCACGTGTGTGTGTGTGTGTGTGTGTGTGTGTGCGCGCGCGTGTGTGTGTGTGTGTTGTTGCTGTTTGTGCAGTTCTGTGCGCTGTGTCTGAGTGGAGGACCCGGTGTTTACAAGCCCACTGCTGATGGACGGTAAGTTCTGATTGCTGCATGTGACTGTCCCAATCCAATCACATTCATACTATCTCTCGTATCCAAGCAGTCCGGGACCTGGCACTGCCCGTAACTTTGACTCGTCCGCAGCTCTTAATTATTTTTGCACCTCAATGGAAAAGGGCCAGAACTGGCGTATGACATCACTATTCCACTAAAATTGGCAAAAAGGTAACACTGTTTCCACTTAAACTCACCCACAGGGCAATTTCCTGCTGTCCGTGTGGGTATGTCTTATCTTGGCTGGACTGCATGTGACATGTTAGTGAAGTGCCTGGCTGTGTCATTAGTTTGCATGTGAGTTATTGTCAGGAGAGCAACTCCAGCATATAGTACAGTAAAACCTTCCTTCAGTGGCCACTTTGAGAGACCGCCTATGACCGACGTGTTTGTGTGTGCTTGCGTGTGTGTGTGTGTGTGTGTGTGTGTGCGTGCGCGCGTGCATGTGCAGCTGGGTTCACACAGTCTGTACGCTGTACACACCTGGTGTAGTCTACGGCCGTATGAAGTACCTGAGTCCAGTCAAGCTTTCTAGGATTGCCCGCAGCCGATGGAACGCCAAGGTACGCCCACGTATTGCCACATAGAGAAAACCACGGATCACAGAGCACTAAGCTGTGTTGCTGCCAATAGTCTCAGGCCCTTGGGTAACTAGTGCAGGCTGTCGTAATAAAACGACTCATCCATGTGCCATTCCCGAGCATGGTACATGCATGGTGCGACGGCACAATGACAGCTGTCGCAAATCACACTGAGTATTCCACGTGTTTGTTGGTGATTCCTGGTTAGCTGCTAGCTTTTCCCTACTCGAAGATGTTGCCGCCGCGAAATCTGGGGGTTTGTGTTCGTCCTGGCGAAAACCGTGTTTTGATCCGTTGAGGGAGACGAGAGATACAGTGCGAAGACGTACGATCTGTCCGAGAATCGGCGAAGAAGAAAGCTTCGCAGACGACCCGTAGTGGTTGGGAACAGAATGGAACATATACCAGTCGATGCCTGTCATGGTAGGGATGACTGCTACGAAGTTTTAGCCCCATGCTCCCCAGCGCTTTTTAGCGCCCGGCGATAATTGCCAAATTTCATCGATTTTCCATGTGGATCAAAGCATAGTCTTCTCCAGTTGAGCTGAGTCTGGACGCTACAATGTCGAGACGCGAAAAGAGAACATGCATGAACAAACAGGAGCATCACATGCAGCTGCATTCTGCCTTGACGAAGAGAACAACACCAGCACAACGCATTTGGAAGACATTTCGAAGAAGACGAAGAACTACATATCTGCGTTCAAAAAAGCCTCTACTGTGCAGTATGCATGCGTGCATGCGCGAAGCACGGGGTCCGCGGATCAACATCGTTCAAAAATCATTGTGCCACACGGGTTGTATGATTTGTGTGCGATCATGGCCTTTCTTCTTGACAAACAAAACTGAAGTTTCAAATCGCCATAGCGTCCTTGTCATGACTCCAAATCAGCTGAAACTCTGCAGGAGGAATGGAAATGCCATGCTGAATTGATTGGTACCATTTTCGAAGGGTTTCCTTGAAAAATACAATTTAGCCTGCACTGGCTACCTTGGGTAATCATCAGATAGCTAAAACAACTATTGAGACGTAGAGTAAGATTCAGTGGCTTACCAGAAGATGATCTTATCAACATGTACATGTAGAGAGAGGGGGGGGGGGGGGGGGAGAGAACTGAGTACGGACAGGGAAACTTAGTGGCTTGTCAGTAGTCTTTGTCAGAGTTGTTTGGCAAGCCCTCTCGTATGGTTCCAAAAGATTACCGTAATTCAAATGCTGGCGCGACTTGTCAGTGCGTCAACTGCCTGTCACCAAAACACCAGCTGCCGCCACAGTTGCCATGATTGGTCGACCCATCTTCTCCAGCTGCCGCGTGGTCTGCCTTCAACTTCGGGTCACGACATCTGTTTACAAGCTTCTTCTTGTACGTTGTGTAAAAGTCTTTTTCTTCTGTGTAACTTGTGTCTACTCGTGCTGTCTATGCTGTGCTGTCCCTGTGTTAGGCATGTGACCTATGTGCGGGCACTGAGACAGCGTCGCTTGGCGTCTGCATACAGTGTGATGCCGGCCTATGCCGTAGCAAATTCCACGTCACTTGGTAAGTGCCCCCCCCCCCTGCCTGCTGCCAACGGATGTGCTTGTATGAGCATGTATGCCTGAGAGAAAGGGAACGGTGGCGTGGAGCAATGTCACTGATAGGGGAGACGAGATCCTGAAATTCGTATGAACCAACATTGTATGTACAATCGCTGACTTCTTCTTCTTGCCCATGTTCAGTGCGCAGAAATTTGGCTTGCTGTGTGAAGCACCGAGCAATGAGGTAATGTTATCAATATATCGACACAGTCATGTAGATGTTGATGCTGAGTAGTCTTTGAGACTTCTCTAGACACTACTCTATAGTACATCCACAAATACTCATGGAGTCATGGCTTTGTCAATCCTAGTTTTGGGCCGAACTTGAGCTTGAAACCAATTTATTGACTTCGTAATTTGGGTTTTGGACGTGCAAAATTTCAAATTGGGTCATGCTGATTCTGGTTGATTTCTATTAAACCTGGCTGAAATTCTGACTTCCTCATGCTGTACTGCACTGTGTAAAGAACATGAAAGCACCTTAGCAGCAAACCTGTATGAAGAGAAAGTGTATGGTCAGATTTCTTTTTCCGACTGCTAGAATATGTAGAGGAGTACAGAAGCTTACGATTGCATTTCTTTTTGTTGTTGGAGGAACACAAACTAGCACGCAAAGCATGGAAGACTCTAGGTAATCCGATGAGATCTTTCACACCATTACTTTTCAAAATCGGTACATTGGTGACACAGCATGTGATCAGCGTCACTTTCGCTTGACCACCTAGAAAGCTACTTCGTAGATATGAGGACTTGTTTTCTGCTGCTCCTACTACCAAGAGGGCCAGATATGGGCCAGATGCGCGGCGCGCTGCCTTCATTACATCATTCAGCTGCAGTCCGCGCACTGCGGAAAATCAAACACCGCACTTTTCCTCTGGTTTGAAATGAACTTTTGTACGGAACTGGAGTTCACACGCCAGAATTTAGAGATCGCGTAGGTACTGGAACGAATCGAGCAAAAACAGATGGGCTCGTACGAGAAATTGTGAGTTTGAATGCATGCTTTCAGAGCGTGATGAAGGCAAGTTACGTAATGAAGGCAGCGCGCCGCGCACTGACCCATAACCACAGTTGCATACTCTTGTTTATGCACTCTCGTTACTACCAATGTACGGATTTAAAAAGTGATGATGCGAAAGGCCTCATCGGGTTTCTGTGCTGTTTGTGCGTATACATTTCTGAGTGCTCCGTAGTTGTTACTTGCAATGCCTGACATGTGTACATATGGCACTTGAATAATGGCATATGCTGGAGCAATGTTGACCGCTTAGTGCTGCTTATCTGCACTGATCACTCAGTAGCTACAGTGCAGTGCTGTGGATTCGTTCTGGTTTGTTACCTTCTCTTTAGTTTCTTCTTTCTGCTTTTTGGTGCGCTACTAGGTTGTTGCCGATCCATTCTTTGCACTCTGCCATCAGCACTGTGACAAATCTGAGTCGAAAGCTAAGGTAGGAAGTCCTGCTTTGTGGTATCCATTGAACAAACACTACATGCTGCAATGCTTATGTACGTGCTATAATTTGCATTGGGTTGTATAGCCAACTGGGCGTCTCATGTTCTGTGGCTGACAGCCCGGCTTTTGCTATCAGATCCAGACTCTTCTCTTTGTGCTACGCTGACGAGTCAACGAAGGCCAAACAATGTTGTTAGCATGCTGAGTCTCCTCAGTTATGTCCCCTCCTAACACTTGCTGCTGTTGTCTCAATTCTTGCAGATGTTGCGCTTCCAGATTGCTCTGAAGCAATGCGAAAACTTCAAGCCTGAGCTTGAACCAGTAAGTACATCTGCTTATGAAGTTATGAGAGCTCCAGATGTTGCCGGCGTGTGCTATCACAGAAGTTTTTTTCAGATTTCTTGACGTTGTTTGCTCATTGAACTTTCTTATTTTACATCATTTGATTTATGTCTTTGTTAGAGAGTGACGCGTGGCCTGCCCTGCTGTGGACGTGTGGTCTGCCTTTGTTGTGGACAGTAGAATGTCTCTTATCTGGACCTTCCGTACCTGACACCTCCCTCAACTTGCACCTTGCGGGCAGATAACTGTCACCAGATCTTGAAAAATTCCATTTTGTACCTGTCATCTGAACTGAACGTCAAAATCCTCAATTCTGATTGTACTGCAAGTATACGTGTGTGGTAACGCTCTTGGTTCAATACACCCACTTGTATAGAGTGGTGTGTCATATGCATTATGGTTGTACTGTGTTTCCGAGGTACCGGCGATTTTGAGGTACCCGGGTGAGAGAGAGAGAGAGAGAGAGAGAGAGATAGAGAGAGAGAGAGAGAGAGAGAGAGAGAGAGAGAGAGAGAGAGAGAGAGAGAGAGAGAGAGAGAGAGAGAGAGAGAGAGAGAGAGAGAGAGAGAGAGAGAGAGAGAGAGAGAGGCTCCACTGTGTCATGTTCCGTCCATCGCCACCACACGCATGCTAAGTTGTGTGTGCGATTGTTGCCTGTCTTGTGTTGATTGTAGGCTACCATCAACGCCAGCCTTGACAAAGCACAGAAGCGCTTTGCACGCGTTGCGCCGCTCCGTCTCTACAGGCAGACTGAAACATGTGAGTCAGTGCTGCAGTGCATGAACAGACTAGTAAATACCTGTAGCGAGCAGAATCTCATTTGTTGAATGGCAGTGCTGGCTTGGAATGATTTCCTGGCAACTGCAGCCGTTCCACACAGTCTTGTTTTTTATTATCTTCAAATTCTGTGTATTTGCAGCTCAAAGTTTCCAGAAGCCCTCTCCGAAAGTATTACAGTGGTCCCTCTATAATCCGGCACCATTTGTGCCACGAAAATCTGCTGGATTAGGGAGGGTGCTGGATTAACTAATCTGATTTACTGCTGCAATGTGCATGAAGAGGACATTTTGGCTACTAAAAATTGTGCTGGTTTATCGAGGGTGCTGGATTATAAAGTGCCGGATTAGAGAGGGACGACTGTATCACTTCATCTACTTACAAGTAACTTGCATTGTACATTATGTAGTTGATCAAATCTTTTCTTTCTTTGTCCGTTGGGGTGCAGCCTCTTCATCATCCAGTGAAGGAGCGTCGAAGACGAATGAGGTTTGTTTTGCTTTTACTTCTGTAGAACGTTTGATGCACATTGCTGGTCTGCTGAACGCCGATGTGTCCACATTGCCAAATGAGAATGCTTCTTCATTGGACAGATATCATGACACTTGTTTGGACATTGCTCATTGATTGGTTTGCCATCACAATCTCTCTCTCTCTCTCTCTCACTCTCACTTGTTTGAACAGGACCGTGGCAGTCAGCCGGTTGCGACGGCAGGACCTGTTCAACCAGTTTCACCTCAGCTTTCGAGGACCTATGTTCAGTATCAAGCTGGTGAGTTTCTGTTTGTAGGTACTTCCTCCGCGTCATCGAAATTGTCGCAGTTTGACTTTTGATATAAAACGGGTTTTTTACTCACCAGCACTCGTACCAGAGGCAAGGAATCGGACATAGGCGACGGTCATCAGTATAGGGTGACGGCAAAGTTCTATTTTCTGTTATTGGAAGCTGGAATTTTTGAACTAGACGCAATTTCTTCGCTGATGTCGCTGCGATGGTAATTTCAACTCGCTGAGATCAGTCAGGCGTTGCAGCCTGCACATTTCTCGTGCTTATGGCCATTCACTCAAGCCTCATCACTGTTTTACCTTAGCTGGGGTGAGAATGACTTCGTGGAACAAGTGGCAGCGCTTGGAGAAACATCGAGGGGTCAGCAAACTAAATGCCTTCACCAGCGATAAAATTTGTCGCTCTGGCCGAGACACTCAGTACATGATTGTACCTGCAAGAGCCGTGTAGACTGACTCTACACGTAGTGCTAGTGTCTGTACTACTACTAGTGATGCACACGCAGGTGCCGTACCATGAATGATACCAGTGAATCAGGGCCGGGCCGGCAGTGATGCTGAAAAAGAGTGCGCGCTGGACGTGATAGTACACTTACCTGCATGAGCTGTGACCACACAGCTAAAATAAATGGGCATGCCGCGGCTAAAAAAAGTTCATTTCAAGATCGAGGTGATTCCGCCGACGGTAATCAACCGACCTCGCAACGATCGTGTATTCTTACTTGGCTTCGTTGGTGGTGAAGTAGAAATCATCCAGAGCTAGCAGACGACAAGCATAGCAGCTCTTGTCCTGTGGAGAAAGTCAAAGCGTTTGAGATGAGGCGCGACCAACTTTCAACCTTCCTTGAAATATTTCGGAACTATATTTTTGCGTCCATTGACATCAGCGACGACGAGGACTTCATCTCTGCATGAAAACTCTCAGTCCAACTGTCCTGGAACGTTACTCTAGTCTTCAGACTATCATACTGTGTAATAAGTTTTGAACAGCTTAGCTTATGGAGTTGTCAGTAACAAGTGACAAGTCACTAGTCAAACTGCGACAATTTCGATGACGCGGAGGAAGTAACTAAACGTCTTGCACTGTGTGTTCATTGCACAGCTGTGGTATCTGCATATTAGTGGTAATGCATTTCCCATAGAGTACTATTCCTGCCTGCTATCACTTTAGTGAACAGTGCTCCTTGAGGGTAATGCTGTACCTGTGGATGCTAGGAAGTCAGTCTGACTGGTCATGATCTAAGCTGTGAAATGTTCATGGCATCATTGTCCTCCCTTCCTTTAAAATGTAATGTGCGAGCGCGCCTGAAATCTTTCCCGTGTCTTCAATCCAGTAGCTGCCCCCTCCTGTTTTTTTTCAGTTGACAGGACTAAGATCTGTAGGAAACAGGGTTTCGAGTTTGTATAGCCAGCCTGACGTGTGTGTATGTGTGTGTGTGTGTGTGTGTGTGTTTGGACATTGTGTGTTGCCTGTGTTTCTTGTTGTTGGTTAGTTCGTGATGTGGAGGTGGTGCACCTAGAGACCACACTGCTCGATACAGACAAAACCTGCGTGAATCTGCTTGAGGAGAAGGAAGAGTGGGAGAGTCGCTTTGAAAAGGTGTGTACAAAGGTGTACAAGGGTGCATGCTTGAAGGTGTGTACACAGGTGCATGCTTGGCCGCACTGCGTTGTTGTGCATGAGCCCGAATGCCCTGAGTAGTGCTGTCTATGGTGGTGAGTTTACACAGCACAATTCCGTTGCATTGTTTAATGGGGAATTGCACCCCTGCCTGTGTGACATTGTGTGGCCAGCAGCATTGCTTTCTGTAATGTTCCTGCGTTTAACATCATCAAGTTAGTTCCGGCACTCCATGGGTCAACTTCACTGCACAAGTCCCAGACAACAACTAAGGTGTATTTACATGGAACACAAGGATAAGGATGAGCTACCAGGATGCGTATATGTACACAGTACGAGACTTGTAGTAGGGACAACCGGGAACGGATCGGGTACATTGATCAGCTCATGAGAGTGCAGAGTATATATAGAGTGTTATCGGGACCACAATATCTCCCTTTTATGTTTGAAGAGAGCGGTAACAACTCGGAGAATGCTTAGCCATGCACATACAGACAAGATAGAGCAGAGGCAGACATATACAACACACAGTTCACAATCATCAGTGTCAGGAACTAGAGTGATCATAGCATGAGCAATGTGTTTACAGGCTGAATCTGCTCAGCGGCCGGGATTGACGTATTGATTGGCGCAAGACGGTACAGGAAACAACCGTCCAGCAAACGACCGCACAGCAAAAGAACACTCAGGCAAAACGCACGGCAAAAGAATGCCTTGCACATACTCCTCCACGGAGTCACCTGGGTTTCTGGATACACCTTTCAAACACTGTCCATTGGTGGATTACATTTACACCCGGTCCTGCACTCCAGAGATCAACTTCACTCCACAGGTCCCAGACAACAACAAAGGTGTATTTACATAGAACAAGGAAAGAGAAATATGAACTACCAGGATGCATATATGTACACAGTACAGGAATCGTGGTAGGGCTGATCGATCCAGGAACGGATCGGGTACAACAATCAGCTCATGAGAGTGCAGATTATAGAGAGTGTTATCCATTTATGGGTACCGGTATGTGTAACGGGACCACAACACTTTCGTATTCTTTTTATTCTTCATGGATCTATCTATTTAGGTGTCTGAGCAAGTGCGCGGCTTACGCTCTGAAAACGCCAATCTGCGTGGCCTTGGTACCAGCTTTATTCAAACTGTTGCCACGTTGCATCAGTCGGTGAGTTTTGCTTTGCTGTTGTTGCTGTTGCTGTTGTTGTTGTCTGTTGCTGTTGTTGTTGTTGTTGTTGTTGTTGTTGTTCAGAAGGTCTTCCGATGAGACACACTGATTGTGACGTCATGATGCATTCCATATTATCGCATGTTACATACTAATAAGTTTACTACTCGCTGTGCCTTGCACGCCGCCACTCACTTGGACTATGCATGCCTTTTCCGTGTGATGCGTCGTATGCACCACGTGGCTGCTGTTATTTGAATTTATTTGAATCTCTCGTGCTTATCTTTCTGGATACAACCTAATTGTTTTCCGTTCTGTTCTGGCGGTTTTTTGGTCTTGCCAAGACGTTGTCAGCCAGTCAGTTTTGCTTGTCAGAAAAGTAATGAAAGTTGATGAACACCTCTGAAACTCACTGTCCCAGTCGGCCTCATTTCCAATGGTAGCAGAGGATGGTTTCTCTCAGTAATTAGAGTGATGGACAGTACTTCAGTCGAAGGCGCGTCAGATACCGCTCCAGGTAGTTCGGAAGAAACTGCGGCCACGTCAAAGGACGGACAGGCGACGTGCAGTGGAAACCAGGAACAGCAGGTTCCTGAAAATGGTGCACAACAGGACGTCGTTTCGAACGACGACGAAGTAGAGTCGAGCGAGGAAAATTTGAGAGTTCTCAAGACTGTGGCAAAGAGCCAGTTCACGAATGCTCGTCGTGGGATCTTGAGCAAAATAGCCCACGGCCAACATGTCTCGAGTGCCGAGTTAGATGCACTAACGGGGATACACCAGCGTGCAACGAGCGTCATTGGCGATCTCCTGAGCTTGTTCGCGAGCACCGTGGACAAACAGGAAATCAAGGAACGCAGGAAACTGATTTCCGAGCTGGAGAAACTTGAGGAGCTGTATTCTGATGCTACGGAGAAAGCAGCAAGTGTTTTGTACAGCACTCAACAGCAACAGGAGCCACAGCCGATCATCCGGGATACTGGCCCGGGTTTGCACCACGGTGCTGGATTCTCCCCGCTCCCTCTTCCATCTAGCGAGAACACAGTGCCTGGTAGTTCAAGCATCGGCAGCAGCAGCATGAGGACGGAGAAACGAGTCGTGGATGGTAACTCACCAGGCAACGCCAGTGCTGTGAGCGTATTGAGTGTGGGGTCTGCTACGTCAGCGGGGACTCCGGGAGCACGAGCTGTGCAATTTACCCAACATGCCACAGCAGGTGAAAGGACCGCACCATTGCTCACTGGCGCAAGAAGTCTGAGGCATGCAGCCAGGTCCTTCGTTCCGAGTTACATGGACTCGGGTATTGCACCGCAGTGGAGTGAGCATTCCAACACTGCGTTCCAGCCGCCAACTGCCACAGCGTCACCTCGGGCAGCGCACAGCACACCGGTTGTTGCAGAAACCAATCAGTATCAGAATGCTTGGGCGCATCTCCAGAAGATTACTATCCCAGTTTTTGACGGAGACAAGCGCTGCTTCCAGTCCTGGTGGGCCGCATTCTCGACTTGCATTGACACGGCACCAGTCACGGCAGATTGCAAGATGTTGCGTTTGCGCCAGTACCTGCAAGGAGAGCCGTTGCGTGCCATTGACAGCTTCGGATATTCAGCTGCTGCGTACAACGCGGCCAAAGCTTTGCTGCTGCGGAAGTATGGCGGTGAACGGCGGCGTATTGCAATCTATCTCGAGGAGATCGAGGCCATGCGACCAGTCCGGCATGGCAAGGCGAAAGACCTTGAGCAGTTCTCTGAGGTCTTAGCAGTAGCTGTGGTCAACCTGGAAGACGCTGGTCGCGCTGCTGAGCTTGGCGCAGGCTCCTTTTATACTACTCTGCTGCGGAAGCTGGACGAGCAGATTGTTGTACGCTACCATCGATGGCGCTACGATCGGTCTCTGGCGGAGTCGGTGCACGGTCTGCTTGAGTTTTGCACATTGGAGGCAGATTTCCTGGTTACTGCATCCGAAACTGTCAGCGGATTCGGTACCAGCGGCAGGAGCGACTATTCCCGCACAGGTCGAGACCATCGCAGTGAACGGCCTAGGACGCTAGTGACCAGCAGTCAGCCTCAGTCACAGTGTGCATCCTGCAGAGGCCAGCATAGAGCTTGGCAATGCGTTGCCTTCAAAGCGCTAAGCCCCAATAAGCGCTGGAAGCTGGCGAAGGAAAAGGGCCTCTGCTATCGTTGCCTCGACACAGGGCACAGTGGACAGGATTGCTCATGGGGTCGCGAGTGCGGGATCGGCGGCTGCACCAAGGTACACCACCGACTCCTACATGGTCCGACCAAGCAAGCCAGTCCGCCTGCTCGATCTTCGAACGACAGTCAGCAACAACAGTCAGCAGCCTCAGCCTCCGAGGAGGACGAGTCGCGCACAACGCTCTCTACTGCAAGCACTGCTACCCCAGCCGTGGCCATGCGGACAGTGCCAGTCCTGCTGAAGCACAACGGGGCGGAGCTGAGAGTAAATGCGTTGCTAGACGACGCAAGTACGAACTCATACGTCAGCTCGCATGTTGCGAGTGAGCTCGGTCTTGCTGGAGAGCAAGAGGATCTGACGGTAAAAGTGCTCAGCGGCCGCACAGAGGTCTTCCGCACGACCTCAGTTTCCTTGAACCTTTCCAGTATAGACCGCCGCATGTGCATGACAATGCACGCCTACACTGCCGACTCAGTGATCGGAACCAGCGGCACGGTCAACTGGCAGCATAAGAAGCAGCAGTGGGCTCACCTGCTCAACGTTCCTTTCCCAGCACTGGAGAAGCGCCGTCAAATTGACGTTCTGGTCGGCCTGGACTGCGCCGAGCTGCATAGGTCGCTGCAGGAGATCCAGGGTGGCCCCGGCGAGCCGATAGCCCGACTTACACCTCTCGGCTGGACCTGTGTCGGACGCGTCAATCGCAGCAAAGCAACGAATCCCGTCACCCTGTTGGCTGAGGCAGTGCCACAGGACGTCGGGGACAGTCTCGCACAGCTGTGGCAGCTAGAACAATACAATCGGGCTGAGCCACAGCAAGCCATCCTGTCGGCGCAGGAGAAGGAGGTAGTGCACGCTACGAAACAGTCGCTGCAGCTCGTAGACGGACGCTACGAGGTTGGCATTCCATGGTGCGATGGACCACCTACGCTTCCTGACAACTTTCCCCAGGCCATGAAGCGTTTACGTAGTACGGAGATGCGACTGGCGCGCGACTCGGATGCAGCAGCAGCCTACAGCAGCATCATCAAGAGTTATGTCGACAAAGGCTACGTCCGTGAGGTTGCCAAGGACGAGTTGAAGCCTGGTCAGCAGTGGTTCCTGCCCCACTTTGCCATACTTCGACCAGACAAAGCGACAACAAAGACCCGGATCGTATTTGACGCATCGGCGAAGTATGAGGGCACATCTCTCAACGACACGATGCTTCCAGGGCCGAAGCTACAGCGGCAACTTCCTAGCGTTCTGACCCGTTTTCGCCAGAAGCCAGTAGCCATCGTTTGTGACATCGCAGAAATGTATCTGCGCGTCGGACTGCGTCCTGAGGACCGGCAGTATCACCGATTTCTATGGCGTGACCTGGATGACACGGCGGCTCCGCGAGTATATGAATTTCAACGACTGGTTTTCGGAGCTAACGCGTCGCCATTCTTGGCGCAGTTTGTATCCCATGAGCACGCTAGAGCCCATCAGCAGCAGTACCCGTTGGCAGCCGAAACTATGCTTGCTTCAACGTATATGGACGACTCCATGGATTCTGCTATGGATGACGTCGAAGGCGTAATGCTGTACGAGCAGTTGTCGGAATGCTGGCAGGGAGCTGACATGCACGCCCGAAAATGGCTCTCGAACTCCAAAGTAGTCATGGAGAAAGTGCCCAAGGAGGATCGAGCAAGCCAGATCGACCTCGACTCCCCGCAGCTGCCAAGCGTCAAGACACTTGGACTGCTGTGGTCGGCCACGACCGACACCTTTGCGTTCAAGCCAACAGCACCAGGCCAGCAGCGCATCACCAAGCGCTCATTCTTGAGTGCGACAGCTAGTGTCTTCGACCCGCTGGGGTTCGTCTCCCCGTTCATCATGAAGTCACGCATGTTGGTGCAGGACATGTGGCTACAAGGTATGGACTGGGATGACCCGCTCCCTGATGAGCTCAATCAACGCGTAACCGGATGGTATACTGATCTAGCAGCGCTCTCCCGTCTCAGCATCCAGCGCTGTCTGCAAGAAGTGAATGCAGGCAACCCCGTTAGTAAGCAGATCCACGTGTTCGCTGACGCGTCTGAAGGCGCCTACGGCGCGGTGAGCTATCTGCGCTGCACGTATGAAGACGGCCATGTGTCGACCGCTATCATCGCAAGTAGATCCCGTGTCGCTCCCACCGTAACTGTTTCAATTCCCAGGCTAGAGTTGTCAGCTGCTGTAATTGGCATGGAACTAGCAGTTTGGGCATCCGACATCCTCAGTCTACCGGTCCACGACACTGTCATCTGGACAGACAGCCTCAACGTTCTGTACTGGGTTCGGAACCGTGCGCGGAACTTCAAGCCATTCGTTGCAACGCGCGTAGGTGAGATTCAGCAACACACTATTCCCAGTCAATGGCGCCATGTGCCGACGAAGGAGAATCCAGCAGATGTTTTGTCCCGTGGTTCGTCAGCTGGTGCTCTCATCGATGATGCGCTCTGGTGGTTGGGTCCCGACTTCCTCCGCAAAGGCGAGGATGAGTGGCCGACAATGCGTCTCAGTGAGCCAAGATCTACTACTCACCTGGAGCAGAAGAACAACGCAAAGTCTGTCCAAGCACCGGTTGCCTTGGTAGCAGTTACAGCTCCTGACGCCGAGCTACCCTGGTTACTCGACCCGACACGATTCTCGAGTCTCAATCGTCTTCTCCGACAGCGCGCTTGGGTGACGCGCTTCGTGCAGAATTGCCGCGTGCCAACTGAGCTGCGACACACCGGTCCGCTATCCGTAGACGAGCTCGAGAGCAGCAAAACCAGTATCATTGCTGGTGCGCAGGAAGAGGCGCTGGCAGAGGAATATCGTCTTGTGAAAGAAGGCAAGCCCATCCCCACCTCGAGCAAACTCGTTAAGCTGCGACCTATGTTGAATGATGATCAACTGCTATGCGTTGACAGTCGACTGCGAAACGCGCAGATACTCAAACAGCCAGCCAGATGCCCTGTCATCCTGCCACGCGGGCACTGGGTCACTCAGCTAATTGTGAAGGAAGCCCATGAGCAGAGCCATCATGCTGGCGGAGTAAGTCACACGTTGGCTCTCTTGTCGCAGACGTATTGGCTGCTTGCTGGACGAGAGGAGATCAAAGCGTGGAAAAAGAAGTGTGCCCATTGCCAACGACAATCAGCGAAGCCAGGAATGCAGATCATGGCACCGCTACCGACCGTCCGTGTGTCTCTGCCCATGAGAGCGTTCTCCAGAGTAGCAGTGGACTACGCTGGACCCTTCACCACCAAACAAGGTCGCGGAAAGCCGCGCGCGAAGAGGTACCTGTGCTTATTTACGTGTATGCAGTCTCGCGCGGTGCACTTGGAGATGGCCGTTAGTCTGGACGTGGATGGATTCATGAACGCCTTCATGCGGATGACGAGCAGGCGCGGTGTTCCACTACAGGTTGTGTCCGACAATGGGACCAACTTCGTAGGCGCTGCCAATGAACTGCGGAGGTTAGTGGCCGCGATGAATGAAGGCGTGGACCGACGATTAGCGGACAAGGGAATTCGGTGGTCCTTCAATCCCCCCGCTGCTCCTCACTTCGGTGGCGTCCATGAGGCGCTCGTCAAGTCAGCAAAGCGTGCCATCTATGCGATCCTGTCGGGCGCGGAAGTAAATGACGAGGAACTCATGACCGCAGTGACTGGCGCAGAGGCACTACTGAATTCAAGGCCACTGACGTACCAGTCGGCCGACGCGAGAGATCTGCTGCCACTGACGCCCAACCATTTCCTGTATGGACACCAAGGCGAGCCATTTGTTCCCAGAGGAACGGACACCGTGGAGCAAGGCCATCGACAGCGCTGGCGGGTCATCCAGAGTCTGGTGTTGCAGGTGTGGAAGCGCTGGATGACCGAAATGCTCCCCCTGCTTCACCCGCGAGCAAAATGGCGCCAGCCACAGCCCGATCTCGGTATCGATGATGTTGTGCTGATCGTCGACGCTGCTGCACCACGAGGCCAATGGAGGCTCGGCCGGGTAGAGCAGCTGTTCCCCGGAGTCGATGGGCGGGTCAGAGTGGTGCGAGTGAAGGTCGGTGACACTTCACTTGTCCGCCCCATCGTACAGCTGTGCAAGATTGCCGCGGATTGACTCTGTGTGTGAGCAGCACATTTTTGCTCTTATCTCTCCTCATCTCTCTCCACTGCTTTCTGTTCGGTCTATTTCTTTATCGTTTAATTTATTGTGTACTTGATTAAAGCTGGTTTAATCAATGTAGGGGAGGATGTTCAGAAGGTCTTCCGATGAGACACACTGATTGTGACGTCATGATGCATTCCATATTATCGCATGTTACATACTAATAAGTTTACTACTCGCTGTGCCTTGCACGCCGCCACTCACTTGGACTATGCATGCCTTTTCCGTGTGATGCGTCGTATGCACCACGTGGCTGCTGTTATTTGAATTTATTTGAATCTCTCGTGCTTATCTTTCTGGATACAACCTAATTGTTTTCCGTTCTGTTCTGGCGGTTTTTTGGTCTTGCCAAGACGTTGTCAGCCAGTCAGTTTTGCTTGTCAGAAAAGTAATGAAAGTTGATGAACACCTCTGAAACTCACTGTCCCAGTCGGCCTCATTTCCAGTTGTTGTTGTTGTTGTTGTTGTTGTTGTTGTTGTTGTTGTTGTTGTTGGACACTTCCCCCTGTAGTAATGTAGACTTTCAAGCCTGTAATAAATTAGCCTCTAGTAGTGGTGGATTTTGTAGTACATGTATGTGATACGCGATACTCGTATTCTGTGCATGTGCATGTGTGTGTGTGTGTGTGTGTGTGTGTGTGTGTGTGTGTGTGTATGTAATATTGTTGACTTTGCGATTTCTCTCTCTTCTCTTCTCTCTTCTTGTCGTTGTCTCCCGTTTCTGGGAGCGGCGTGGCCCGATAGGGTAGCTGTACATAGTAGTAGTAGTAGTAGTAGTGTATGTGTGTGTGTGTGTGTATGTGTGTGTGTGCATGCGAGCGTGTGTGTGTGTGTGTGTGTGTGTGTGTGTGTGTGTGTGTGTGTGTGTGTGTGTGTGTGTGTGTGTGTGTGTGCACTCTACGGTACTTGACAGCCGTTGCAAGTGCCTGCGTACATCGTTGAAGACGTCATTGGCAAGAAACTGGAGAAGCAGCGCCTACAGGATCAGCAGAAACAGAAGCAGGAGAGTGCCAGAAAGGCCCAGGAAGTGGCTGCAGCTGCTGAAAAGGCTAAGGCAGATGCTGCTCGTTCCACTGTCCGTGCTGCAGCTAAGTCTAGTCGCTCCAAGCCTGGCCGACCACGGAAGAGGGCAAAGCTATTGGTGAAAATTGAAGCTAACGATCTCAAGTATGTACCCTTGTCGCTGCCATGTTTTGTCTGGTTCATTTGGACGGAGGCCACGATCTCTTTGTGTGTGGATGTGGGTGGGTGTGTGTGTGTGTGGGGGGGGGGGGGGTATGTGTGTATGCCTGTATATACGTAGGGCCTATTACGTATGATCATGTGAACATTTTCCAATCTTGCACCAATTCACTGCTCCTCCGTACACTTCTCTCAACAAGTATTCAGCTAGATTGAACTTCAAGCGTAAAGCAGTGGACCAAGGCTTGCGGTTCCAGCTCTCCTTGGCAATGTGCTGTGTTTTTCATTTGAGCAGTGCAACTGTATGTGTGCCTGTATCTGCTTTGTACATGTATACACTATGTATTCCATTTGGTGTGTGGGTGTGTGGGCGTGTGTGTGTGTGTGTAGGTGCTGCCGATGCAGCCTGGCCACGGACAGTAACAATATAATTGATTGTGACCGATGTCACCTGGCTTACCACATCTATTGTCTTGATCCACCACTCAAGCGGAAACCCCAGAAGACAAACATTTGTGGATGGTATGTTTGAGCTGCATGTTCTGGTGCTTCTTCCGCCTGGCTCTTCTCTCTCTCTCTCTCTCTCTCTCTCTCTCTCTCTCTCTCTCTCTCTCTCTCTCTCTCTCTCTCTCTCTCTCTCTCTCTCTCTCTCTCTCTCTCTCTCTCTCTCTCTCTCTCTCTCTCTCTCTCAGTGTCTCTCTCCCGATCTCTCTCTCTCTCTCTCTCTCTCTCTCTCTCTCTCTCTCAGTGTCTCCCTCCCGATCTCTCTCTCTCTCTCTCTCTCTCTCTCTCTCTCTCTCTCTCTCTCTCTCTCTCTCTCTCTCTCTCTCTCTCAGTGTCTCTCTCTCTCTCTCTCTCTCTCTCTCTCAGTGTCTCTCTCCCTATCTATCTCTTTCCTGCGTTCTCTTACTCGTACATGGCCTTGGTTTGGCCAAATTTGTGTCTTTCCTTGCATGGTCACCAACCATACACACCAGCATGGTATGTTCCCCGTCGCATCGATTACATTGTTGCGAATGCTGGCTTGCTGTTAATGCTGGCTTGCTGTTAATGCTGGCTTGCTGTTAATGCTGGCTTGCTGTTAATGCTGGCTTGCTGTTAATGCAGGCTTGCTGTTAATGCAGGCTTGCTGTTGATGCAGGCTTGCTGTTAGTGCAGGCTTGCTGTTAATGCAGGCTTGCTGTTAATGCAGGCTTGCTGTTAATGCAGGCTTGCTGTTAATGCAGGCTTGCTGTTAATGCAGGCTTGCTGTTAATGCAGGCTTGCTGTTAATGCAGGCTTGCTGTTAATGCAGGCTTGCTGTTAATGCTGGCTTGCTGTTAATGCAGGCTTGCTGTTAATGCTGGCTTGCTGTTAATGCTGGCTTGCTGTTAATGCTGGCTTGCTGTTAATGCTGGCTTGCTGTTAATGCTGGCTTGCTGTTAATGCTGGCTTGCTGTTAATGCTGGCTTGCTGTTAATGATTACATTGTTGCAAATGCTGGCTTGCTGTTAATGATTACATTGTTGCAAATGCAGGCTTGCTGTTAATGATAGGCCTTCCTAGAATCTCTAGACTCTTTCAAATGAGCCGTCAGATGCGAAAACCGACCTTATGGGAAACACTGCACAGTGCAGAAAAATGCACTTGAAAGTTGGCGAGTTTACGCACTGGTGCGCATGGACAACCAAGCTACAAACCTTCGTATTTCAGTCAAATATCGGTCTTTCGGGACAATCCAAGTATGTAAATCGAAGAGAAAACTCCAAGGAATCCAATGCAGCAAGCCCGATCGCGGCACGATGCTGCGTTCCCCAGCTGCGAAGCCTGCAGGATACGTCACGGCACTTTGCACTTCTACGTGCAAATCAAACGATCCAGACCCGGGGTTTCCCCCTTTTCAAGCGACCTACGATCTCGGCAACAGGCTCAGTCGTCTTGGAAGCTCTCAGTGTATCTTCACGAAAAAAATTGGGCGTCCTGGGATAATGGAGATGGAAATGGCGAGCGATTTTCGTGTGACGGTGCAAGTCCAGCGCTGAAGCGTTGTCTGCAGCTTGTTGCGCTGGTGCTGTGCTTTATTTGCTATCGGATTTGGGCCCAACGGGTTGCTCGTCGCCAGAGCTTTCCAGAAAGCCCAAGTTTGTGGAAATCGGTCAAAGGAAACAGGAAATATTCTACAAAGTAGGTGAAACAATTGTTGGTATTGCACCCAAAATTGAGATGCAATTTGAAACGGTCTCCTATTGTAGAGGCTATAACTTTACTTCCCTTGGTCCAAATCAACTCTAGTTTTTTGCATACGACTCCTGATGCTCCTGGCTTTCAGATAGTATCACTAACACAAATATGATTTTTTTCCCATAAGGTCTGTTTTCGCATCTGACGGCTCAAATAACTTGCATTATGCTTCGTGTTTTCGTCACCTTTGCAACTGTTGTAGGTGGTGGTAGTGCTGCTGTCCTTTCAACTCGTTACTCTCCCTGATAAAATTTGTGTTGCTTGTTGTTGTTTGAAATCTTTATTCTCACGATGGCCTGTGGTGTTGTTGTTGTTTCAAATCTTTATTCTCACGATATGGTTGTTGTTGTTGCTGTTGTTGTTGTTGTTGTTGTTGTTGTTGTTGTTGTCGTTGTCGTTGTCGTTGTTGTGTTTGCAGGCAGTGCCTAGACTGTGACACCAGCGATAGTGACTTCTATTGGCGTCCAACAACACAGAAAGATCAACAGCAGCAGCAGGAGGATGGTAGTGATGATGCGGCGGGTGCATCTAGTGTGACCAAGCGAGGCCGGAGAGTGCTGCAGCCTGCCAAGCTTTGTGTTTCACCAACTGCTCCGGTTAGTGCTGTGCTTGGTAGACAGTGCTCTCTGCATCTACATCTCTCTCTCTCTCTCTCTCTGTCTCTCTCTCTCTCTCTCTCTCTCTCTCTCTCTCTCTCTCTCTCTCTCCTCATACTTTTTGATCTGAGCGCACTTTCAGTTTGCTTCCGACCTCGAGGCTTTTAGCGGCAATAAACCCCGCAGAGCAGATGCTGTGCAGGTTGCTGGCTAAGCAGGCTTGGATCTGGTATTGATCGCTTCAACTTGGAAATACCTTTCCAGCATTGGCTCTTTCTATTTGTAAAGTAAAAAGCATTGAACGATTGGCAAGTAGATAATACTCATGCTGTCTTTTGAATTGAATGTGTACTTCAAGTACATGGGCATTTAGATTTTGGCAAGCTCCTTCATATGTGATTTATTGGTTCAATCATCTGCTGGTATCCTTGTTTTTGTTCCGTGGACGTTTAGATTTTGGCAAGCTCCTTCATATGTGGTTTGTTGGTTCAATCATCTGCTGGTATCCTTGTTTTTGTTCCTGTTGCTTGTGTAAAGAAACCAAGAGGTCCAGGTCAGCAGCAGCAGCAGCAGAGACGTCGGCGACGCCGGTCCAGTGTTCTATCTAGCGATGGCAGCGCTGTGGCACCGCCACCCAAGAAGAGAAAGGTCCGACAGCCCGCTGCACCCAAGGCAGTGAGAGTGGTGAGTTGTGTGGTTGAGCATGTAGCAGTGTGGGTAGGGTGGGTAAGGTTTGTAGCAGTGGTAGGATTGTTCAGCCCAGAGCAGGTGCATTTGGATGCAGGTGTCCGAAACAGAGCTGAGCTGCTTTCTTGTTACTTGTGCAGTAACTGTTCAGCTGTAAGCACTCTCGCACTGTGCTGTGCCGGTATGAAATACTTTTCCTTGAGTATTCTACTATTCTGCCAATTTCTTCAGTGATGAACGCACAGTATCATTGTCTCTGAATCTATGCTGTCACTCTCTATGTGTGTATTTTTTCTGTAGAAGAAAGAAACAGATGAGAGAACTGTGTGTCATGTCTGCAAAGAGCCGGGATCTAACTCTACACTCGTGAGGTATGTATAAACGTCATATCTGGGAGCATGAGCACTGTGTGTGGGATTGTATTGGGGACCTATTTGCTGGTAACGTTAGGCATGGTGTTTTGTTCGTCTTTTATAGTTTCTACCTATTTTCACTGTGGTCACCGACTGGTGTGTGTGTGTGTGTGTACGTGAGCGTGCGTGCGTGTATGCGCGTGCGCGCGCGTGTGTGTGTGTACGCGTGTGTGTGAACGCATGCGTGTGTGTGTACGAGCGTGTGTGTGTGCTTGTGTGCTTGCGCGTGTGTGCTTGTGTATGTGTCTGTGTGTGTACATGGTGAACGCGTGTAGGTGCGACGAATGCAAGAATTGCTTCCACTTTCCTTGTTTGGATCCCCCGAGAAAGGTGAGAACACAGAGAGTGTGTACATGTATGACCTTGGGCGTCTCTTAGGGGGTGGCTATATGTGCAGCTCCAGCCCGGGCTGGTCGACAGGCGGGCTAGCCCGCCTGCAAGCGGGATCTCGGCCTTGTACACAAATCCACACAAAACCTGTTGTGCATTTACATGTCAAGCGGGCTGGCCCGGCGAGGCGGGATCCCGCCCCGAAGCACCCGGGATCCCGGCGAGGCGGGCCAGAAAAAGCACATATAAACAGACTAGCCCGGGCCACTTTTCAGAGGAGTTGTAATATAATGGTGTCGACACTGCATTCATACCACAAAATAAGTAGTTTTACCTTTTAATAGTGGTCGGATGCGGATAATAGTTTCTAAACGAAGGTAAGTACATGTACATTGTTCGCAAGTATCTACACAACCACGCACATCCAGTCAAATAGGACAGTTGTCATAAAGTTTCCGACCGTTCTCGTCTCTTCTCTTCAACGATCATACAGGGAATGGCTTAAGTTGGAAAGACTTCAAAAATAATAATAAAGCGTAAAGACAATGGGAAGTTATGAAGATGTTTCTCGGCCATTTCTCAAATTTAACCCTTTCAGTGCCAAGGGGGTCAGAAAAATTCAAATTCTTCTGAGTTGAGCCGAACTCAAATTTTTCATAGCTCAGCTGTATATCCACGGATCTTTACAAACGATGGCTCTCTGGAAAGATATCATGGCCAGGCAGACAGCTGTGAAGAGAAAATGCAGCGAAAATAGTCTTCCTCGCGAGGACGCCTGAGCGAAGTCCGTTTTCTGCATTTTCGTAGCATCTGCACTTTCTCACGCGCGCGATCGATCGCAGTGCAGTCAACTTTCAACGCACGAAATTCGGACAAAGTTGGCCTGAAATCTCGATATTTTGATACCCAATACGCATGGGTTGCTGCGAAAGAAATAGAGAAACCCGCGATGCGCATACGTCATGTTTTCTACACGCGACAATTGTTTGTCTGCGCGCGTGCGCTTCAGGCTTCGCCCTGGCGATATCTATCCTCACAGACACAAAACGATGTGATGAGTCGATAGCCAAGGTCTTCCTGAACACGTAGAGTGGTCGTTTGTAAGGCTGTGTTTACATGAGAAATTTCAACCCGGGTCAAGTTCAGCCCGGGTTGAAAGTCTGTACGATAGACAAAATAGGTGAGCGTTTACATGAAGACAGTTGACCCGGGTCAAATACTGATATGCCACCAACAGTCCACTTCTAGAGTCATGTATGGTCACTTGAATCCGTTCGCGCGAAATTTGCATATGCAGTGCTGTTCAAACCTGGCGCGAGATACGCACAGAAGTACGTTACGCCAAGGTTTAATTTATACAAAAGAGAAAGACCAAGGAACTACAAGTTATGCTATACTGTCCACTAACACCACCAGTTACTAAACAATCAGCTCATGCAATAACATTGCACGACTTCCCCTCCTTATGTTATTTCTATAACTTAGAACCTTCCAAGTTGGAAGGCTGTTGGAGTGCGCATCCAAGATGTGCTAGAGCTGTTAGCCAGTTAGTTGTAGAATGTCAGTACCGTCGGTCAGTGTCGTGCAATGTTATCGCATGAGCTGATTGTTCATTAACTGGTGGTGTTAGTGGACAGTATAGCCTAACTTGTAGTTCCTTGGTCTTTCTCTTTTGTATAAAAAAAACAATAATAAATCATTCGCGGCAAGAGGTATTATTAGGTGATAAGACCTATTATTAGCGATGTTATGGGGCCATCCAAGGTTACCAATAATATTTTCAGAACGAAAAGATTTCGTTTGGGGGTGGGTGGGTTTCATGGAGTTTCTTTTTGAAAATAATTATTGAATGCAGATGGAGACTGCCTAGTTACTTTTGGTTGTCGAAAATTGACATCAATATTTTATTGGAATTCGTTTTACCTGCAGAAAAGGTGGGTGGGTGGGTGGGGGCTGAAAAATACTAAAGCTTTTCATTTTGTAAAAACAATCGGTAACCCCGGACGGTCCCTAACTGAATTTGGAAACTTGTGTAATTGTCTACAGAAAAGAAACTGTGAACACGTTTAAAAAAAGGAATCCTATTATAGCAACAAGTACAGGTATATAACGAGTGAACTAATCACTGGTGGCTAGAGTCACTCGTGAGATTGCGAAACTGTTGTGGGCCATCCAGGCATGGCGGATTCCACTGGGCCATGTCTGGAGCTGGAGGCTGAGACGCTGATGCATATGACAATGGGGACTGAGCATTATTGCCATACATCTGGTAGTTTGGCATGGGAGCTGGCTGCGGCTGTTGCATCATGGCATGCGCTAGCATCTCCATTGATTTGGGCATCCCTTGCGCGAGCGCACTCATTGTCGTCTGCATCCCTGCCATGGCAGTTTGAAAGGATGCAGACGACTCCTTAATGGCCTCTGCCATACCCTTCTTTGTCTCTCGGTCCTCCTTAGCCTCTTCTATGAAAAGTTGGTCCCTTTTGGACGCTGGTAACTGCTTCTCCAAATGTTTCCGCTTGTTGTCTACCAGACGAGGTATCTGATTTGGCGTGTCAGCGGTTGGCAGTTTAGCAGAACGATCCTTGCTGCCAACTTCAGTGTCTGACTCGTATTCATCGAGGACATCCAGGGTATCTGATGGACCACTTTCACGTGTCTCGGGTTGCGCCTCGGAGCTGCCATCTGGTGCGAGCAAACTGTCCGTATCCACGCCCGATGCTAGAGGCTCGGTGCATGGAGACCCTGCGTAAATCTCCTTCAGCATGTCATAATGCTCATGCACTATCTTGCCACTCCCACTGCGACTGCCACTGGCAACGGCGTGGCTGAAAGACTGCCGGATTTCTTTAATCTTCTCTTGGACACGACAGGATCCCTTCTTGATGAGGTCCGTGTCCTTCTTTATTTGCGCTTTGGCTTCGGCTATTACACTGGTCTCTGCGGGAAAATCAGGAAGGGTAGTGCATGAGATCGGACCGAGCAACTCTTCTTTGCTCCTATGAATTTTGGCAAGGTGCTTCCGAACAGTTTCATATTGCACTGGTTTGTCGCCGTTGAAATCAAGCTGCTTCAATTCCATGGTGCTCTTATATGCACGCAAACATCCGATGAGGTCTTCGACAAGGTCAGGAGACCAGCGAAAACCTTCCTCTTCCTCTTCGTAGCGCCATATGTATCGTCATAATCAGCCATGACTAGAGAAGTTCACTTGAAGGAAAACCGTAACCCGTTGAGGTGGTCCTACAGCCGTTGCATGTGATCTTCTGCCTCGTTGACATCAGTTATACCTCATCACAAAGTATGTCTTCCCCACCTATTTCCGTCTAGGGATATGGAGAAGCATATGGTAAGGGGTATATGGCTCATATATCACATAATATATGAAAGTCCATATTGGGAACTACTAGAAGAAGGCGCTAAATTCTTCCCGCCATATGCCTCATCACAAAGTATTTCTGCCCCTCATATTCCCGTCTATAAGTACATGATTGTACAATATGGTTTAAGGTGTACAATGTATAATTATGGCTCATACATGTATGAAAGTTCAAATTGGGGACGAGTTGAAGAAGGCGCTGAATTCTACCCGCCATAAACCTCATCACAAAGTGTCTTTGCCCCACATATTTCCATCGAGAAGTATATGGCTCATACATGAACATGAAAGTCCAAATTGGGAAGTACTAGAAGAGGGCGCTGAATTCTTCCTGCCATATACTTCACCACAATGTATCTCTGCCCCACATACAGTCAGACCTCGCATAACCGCACACATCCGTTTTCCACAAAAATATCCAGATAGGCGAGGGAACCGGATAATCGAACACACATATTGCATGTATTCATGGCATATGCTGTAAATCGGTAACCAACGATTTTCTTCCGGATGGCGAGGGATCCGGATAAAAGAGGACCGGATAAGCGAGGTCTGACTGTACCTGTATTTCCGCGTAGAAGTAAATATGTATAATGGTTCATACTGTACTCGTAAATGAAAGTCCAAATTGGGAAGTTGGGTTTCGTTGTGTTTAGTTGCGTCTTCTATCCCTTTATCACGATAATGTTCTCACAACAGCAATGTAAAAAGTGCTTCAGCCCCCGGATGAATGTCTAGTGCAGAAAACTACTCTGTTAAACTCATGTAAACTCGCGCAGGGCCGACGGCCAGCCTGACCGTGCACATGTAAACACCTTTGGCGGGCTGGCCCGCTCGCTCCAGCCCGAGTGTACTCACGACGGGCTGGCGTGTGCTCAGCGCATATAAACTCACTGCGGGCTGGCGACCAGCCCGGCCGTCCACCTGTGAACACCCTGGGCGGGCTGGCCCGCTCGCTCCAGCCCAGGCTGGAGTTGCACATATAATAGGCCCCTAAGCCTCTCAAACCCTGTATTCCACTAGGCTTGCTGGTGACAGGCCAAGGTTGTATTTACTTCGAAGGACATGAAAGATGTTGAACCAGATTGAAGCTCTTTACAGTACAAGCTAAGTGTTAGGCCATCTTCTGCCCAGCTGTTTCGCTGTTACTAGCAGTTCTATTGAAAAGAACTTTTAAAATGATTGCCTGGTGTATTTGAGACTATGTTCATGTTGTGTTTTGCTTTGGTAGAGCTGCCCAAAGAGTCGAGGCTACTCGTGGCGCTGCTCCAGCTGTGACTCAAGTGATTCTGTAAGTTGTAGCCATTATGCACACACACACACACACACACACACACACACACACACACACACACACACACACACACACACACACACACACACACACACCACCACCACCACCACACACACACACACACACACACACACACACACACACACACTTTGACCTTGACCTTGACCTTGACCTTGACCTTGATCTTGCCCATTGCGTACGCAATGATAGCGAATGTCGGAAAGTTCAAGTGAGAACACGAGCGCAGAACTTGGCATGTCGTTTCAGACACATACACACACACACACACACACACACACACACACACACACACACACTACTACTACTACTACTACTACTACTACTACTGAAATGTGTTTTTATTGAAAGCACAAAGCAATGAAGATGTGAATGCAAGGAGGGCAATGAATTCAAAAGGCGAACAGCAAAATTGTAACAAAATAGAAAGGTAACAAATATTAATGGCAACAGCAATGTTTATACATGAAAAAGGGGAAAGAAAAGGAAAGAAAAACATCCAAACCAGAATTGCTTGAACACCGCCAGAAATGAAACCGAGATTCATACAGAAGAAAAAACTTCAGGACACCGGAAAACAAACTTTAGATCACATTTTGACATTATGCGAGATGATGACAAAGAAAAACTATGCCCTAGAGAGCACACGGCAGTCATTCACAAAGCTCGCCGAGCGCTTAGAGCGATAGGAGGACCTAGAGCCACGTAAACAGGTGATACACCAGCGAAGTAGGCAGAATGACAAACGGCATCGCAAATGATTGACAACAACAGAATACACCAAATCAGCATTTTTCTCTAGAATACGGCTAACCAATGCCTTCAAAAACACGGAACACTCCTTCCCTATCATGCCGTTGGTCGCAAATACCAGAGGGGTGAATGTGCCCCGATCGATCTGATTCACTCGCTCTGCGTAATGCCGCTTTTTTTCCCGCTCATTGCGCTCCAATTGGCTCATGGCTTTTTCACGAGACAGCAAAGTGGCCCTGGGATGCGTTACCCGGATATCGAAGAAGGCCTCCTGCTGCCGCGTCCAAAAGCCACGAGCCCTGACGTCAAGCCGCGCTTCCTGGGATCGGTTAGATGTTGACCATGCCAATGTCTCACCACCAAATGGGAGAAGGTTGGGCTCGATTGCCACATCGGGACTTACACTTCTGAGTAGTTCAGCGATGAGATCACGTATCTCATTATGCCTTGCGGTGGGATAGCCACCACAAGGGCACACCATGGCATGGTCAGTCGACAAGTTAGCTCCGCATACACAGTTCGTTGGAAGACCATCAAGCGGTAGACCGTACCGAAGCGCCACAGCATCTCGAAAATCTGATTTGTTAAGTGTTGTGCCATGGGCGGACCTTGGTTCAACAGTCAGCCAGGAGGACACGCCCTTCTCACCAGCTATCTCCACCAAGAATCGCTGGTCTGGCGTCAGGTGATCATGTACTGTGGCCAGGATCTCTATGTCCCTAGCGTCTCTCTTCTTCTTGCCTTCTCTTAAACGCTGGCGAGTCTCCATCACAGCCTCGCTAACGCTAGCATCGCGTGACGGAATTTCCATTGAAGCTGATGGTGGCCGGTGCGGAAGCCATGATGAGGTTAGAGACTCATCAGCGGTTTCATTGTTGACTGTGTGACGCGTCGGACGCAGTGAGAGCCAAATCTCTGACGCATCACCTCCATCCAGAGAACGAACATCACCGCGCTCCCGGTCAGCAGAGACAATATCCACCGACCCAGAATTCAGCGGCATAGCTTCCACGTTGTTGATGTTAGTTACTGAGTTCCGCTCCACTGCCTCTTCGGACGATTCCTCATCCGCCAATTCGACCTCGGCCAACTCCTCAGCTGCATCCGGCCGGCTCGCAGCCGTTCGCGTGCTATCGGCAGCAAGCTGTGGCACGGCTGCCTCAATTATTGGGCGCACGGCTTCGGTACACTGCGAATACTCACCCTCACATAATGGTGCAACTGGGGGGATGCCTAGCCCGCCACGGCGGCATGGAAGTCCCATAAGCTGACGAAGGGGATCGTCACTGCTTAGAGACACACCAGCAATGGCAGGCAGCAGGGAATTATTTATTGCATCATCCAATCTAGTAAATAGGTCGGGAGAGCAATTTACGGCCCGAAGGCAATAACGCCAGCGCGAAATAATGCTGCGCACAAGCACAGTATATGCAGCATGTGGCTGAGTAGTGGCGAGTTCGGAAAGGTGCTCGACTTGGCGAACCCACTTATCAACCTTGCCGGATACAAATGTGTGCAGGAATCTCTCAGACCCAAGGGCGCCACCAAGATAAATGCAACCATCCGTAACAATTCTCACCCCAGTCCCAGCGAATAATTCCTGCGCTGCGTGCTCGAGAGATGGCTTCACGAGAAGAACTGTCTTCTCCGGATTGGGGTGGTACCCATAGTCGGGTCCCAGCTGCAATAACTTAGACCAGTAAAGGGATGCGGCTTGAAGGGTGCCAGCAGCGGAATCATCATCAGCGTACCACAGCTGGGTGGTGTTTGGACATTCGTGTGAAAGTTTGTTTATGAGAGGCATAACAGCAACAGCGTAAATGGCCATCGCAAGGGGGTCACCCTGGCACGTCCCCTCACGGGAAAGAAGTTCGCCCCCACCCGCCACGAAGAGGCGGCATGGCGCGCCATACGTGTTCTTGAACACCTGACCTAAAGCAGGACAGAGAGCGGGAACATTGTGCAGGGCAGCATTCCTATTTAGAGAATTGAATGCATTAGATGCATCTATTAGCAGCACGGCTTCGGTTTCAGGAAGACCAAAAACCCCTGCCATTGCCTGAACGGCAGCCTCGCAAGCAGCTGGCATGCCAACGCAAAGTTGGCGCGGGGCAGTCGCAGCTCTGACGTCGCTTTCGATCACCTTCATTATCGCTCGCCCTATAATCCTCCTAAACACCTCCCCAACAGCTATGGGTCTAACACCTGGGGATTTATCAAGGGGGATCAGGCGAGCGGCAGTGAATGCCTCCATGAAACTCGGCTCGATATTCGCAGTACACAATACGCGTGCCGAATCCGCCAATGCAGTGCAAAGTCGGTTGGAAGCTGGGCCGAAGCACGTTAGCATCCTGGTCCAGGCCTCCGAGTCTAGTCCGGACGGACCAGCGGCGCCCTTCATGGACCTGCTCACAAACTTGATGAGGCTTGGCGTGATGCGCTCGAAGAGTATTGGGTTCACCCGCTGTGAGTCGGTCGGCGCCACCAATGAGCCAGGAACCGCCGGTGAGGGAGACGGGTGCTTGTCATGCAGTACCTCACGCACAGTCTTGTCACCACCGGCCGAGTCCTCCATCCCCAGCACTGAGCCAGGTGAGTCATCACCTACCATCCTCGCTGCAGAGTGAACCTTCCCTGCGAATACTCGTCGACTGAAGGTTGTATCGTTCACTGTATCAGGCAGTTTCTGGCGACGCTTCCCAGCGGGTAGGTGCGCTTGAATACACCTGGCTTCGTCCAGGATGTCCTCAAGCCTGCCACATGACCACGATTTCATACGTCGCGTGATGTGGGTTGCATTCTCAGCAGCCCGGGACTCCGGGTGAGGTCGCTGTAATAGTAGCTGGCACGCAACCGTTACCGCTGTCCAAGAGATGGGACGAAGTGGCGAGTCAGCGGCAAACGCTGATATTAAGCGGGCCAATTCATTCACAAACGAAGACCCGGCTGAACCATACGGAATCATTACCAGATTCCTCTCCCACTGCACACATTCGTTGTATACGTCTTGGAAGCAAGCTTGTATGTCATCCGCCGAACTGTTCCATATGTTTTCGTCGAAACTATGCTGAGAATCGTCCAGACCGGCCAAGAGCAATGTTGTATCTCCTCCTGGCAATAATGACTGTTCAGGCGATGTCCCACTGATAAGAACGCTTGATTCAGCACTGGTGTTGGCCACATCAGACGACCGGGGCTCTCTCGTTGTCCCTGTTGCTGCGGTCGACAGTTCAGGGCAACTAGCTGGAGGGTCGGTGTTGCGTTGCGTACTGGAGCTAATTGGTGGAGCAATTGGCTGGCTGGCGGAAGTCATGCCACAGGTTGCGGCTGATAGATTCCTGCACCTCAACTTCGCCCTTGGCGCACAGTTCGTACATTTTCTACTGTTCTTGACACAAACACATGATTTGCATGTCCCAGAAGGACCGCATGTGCAACATTTAGCCATACTACTGTGGCATAAGGAAGCTGGAGGTGCAAATGCAGCGGGTGATAATGCAAAATTGCTAGAATCGGTAACAATTGCCAGTTGATAACTGATGTAGAAAAAACAACACCAGAGCAATGCAAAGGTGCGACGGGGAAACACTAAGCCAACGAGGTGAAGAAAACACGGCACTGGTGCTGCGCCCAAGGTGCATACCAAAATGAACTTACGGGAGAGGTTGTGAATGCAATAGAATGCTACCCAGACAGTGAGGATGTGAACACCCGAAAGAAAAAGGTTAGCCCAGCAGCGCATGCAGAGTGCCAGGCAAAAGGTGCTAACACTGCAGCAGTCCCTCAAACAGGTGGGAAACTTCAAATCAAAAGAGCTAACAGCAAGGAACACAACACAACCCAACAAAGCGAATAATAAAAAGCAACGTACCATGAACAGTCCTCCAGAATATTCACCAAGCTTCCTCATCAGCCAGAGCTCCTAAATCACCAACCGTCCTCCACCAGCGCAACTCGCAACTACCACTACTACTACTACTACTACTACTACTACTACTACTACTAGTCAAAATCTTTATTTGAAAGAACCCGAAGTTATAAATATGGAAAAGGAACAAAAACGAAAAAGAGATTCAAAGCAAAACAATGATGAAGGCAATTCAAAATCAATAATCAGAGAAGGTAGCGAGAAAACAAGAAAAGAACACAATTGTAACTCCAACTCCAAAGCACGAAACAGGCATTACACTGAAGAGGGCATTCGTACTACTACTACTACTACTACTACTACTACTACTACTACTACTGACCAAACCACTTTTACGGGCAAAAAATACCATGGTAAGCACACAAGTGATGGAAAAGAGTGAGTAAGAACGAAAGAGAGAAAGAAAGAGAGAATGCACTAGTATGTCAAGAGAAGTAATCAATTGTTAAGGTCTTTGAGCTATTGTTATATTGTCCAGATTGACGCATGGACACTGAATCTCAGCCGGCAGCCTGTCGACACTGCACCAACAACGACGAGCGGACGCGACGCTGGTAGGATGATCGGCAACCGCGAAAGCAGGTTATTGCCCACCGTACGAGGCAGAATGCCAGCCGAACACGCAATGCACTGACGATGCTTGAATACCGGATGTCTTTATTGCGCTCCGCGAGCCGACCGGCAAGTGTCGCCAGGAATCGTGAGCACTCCGGCCCCGCCATCCCATTCGTGGCGAACACAAGAGGGGTGAAAGAGCCTCTCTCGACTTCAGTGACCCTGGCACCGTACTGCTGCTTCTTTTGCCGTTCATGGGCCCTGAGTTGGTTAAGGACTTCTGGACCAGACAGCACAGACGCCTTAGGGTGGGTTACCCTAACATCAAAATAAGCGTCTTGCTGCCTTGTCCAGAAGCCCCGGGCACGAATGTCCAGCCGAGCCTCATCAGTCCGGTTAGCCGTCGCATAGGGCAGATCCTCGCCAGACAGCGGCCGGAGACGTGGCTCTGTCTCGACATCGCGAACAGCTTCGGAGAGCGTCTCCGCCAGGATGTCACGCACATTATCGTGCCGGGCAGATGGATACCCGCCGGCGGGGCAGGTTAGCAAATGGTCCATCGTGGAGGCATCACCACAGACACAAGTGGACGGTAGCCCAGGGAGCTGCAGACCATACCGTAGAGCAAGTGCATCACGGAAGTCACTGGCATTCAAGACGGTGCCGTGCGCCAGACGAGGCTCCGCCGTAAGCCAGGAAGACACACCGGCAGAGCCGGCAACGTCCATCAAAAGCTGCTGTGTGGCGGATAGATGATCCTGCAGACCGGCCAAAGATGCTTTGCCAGCCCGACGCCTTGATTGTACAGCAGCCCGCCGTGCGCCTTCCGCCTCCTGGAGCGCCTCCGCCATCTCCCGTAGTACTACTACTACTACTACTACTACTACTACTACTACTACTACTACTACTACTACTACTATTGACAGCTGCCAGAAATGGCCACGCCCCTCCCCGAAGGGAGGTACTATCAGAGAGGTTAGGGAAGAGGTAGGCAGTGCTTCAAATGGCGCTCCAGGTCCTGTCGCCTCCGAAACTGGCGTCGATTACAGACTCGGCAATGATGTTTAAGGTGCTGGCGATCAGTCACTGTAGGGCGATTCGGGCGGGGTCCACAGCAATGGCGCTTGAGGCCAGCAGTAGACTTAAAAGTACGCTGGCAGGCTGTACATACCGGGACCTCGGCAACAGGAGGAGCATCACTAGGCGGTCAGTCGCCACAGTTGTCACTCTCTTGGCACTTATGCACTGCAAGCCTACCCCTGCTCCCTTGCACACACACACACACACACACACACACACACACACACACCACACACCACACACACACACACACACACACACACACACACACACACCGCACCGCACCACACACACACACACACACACACACACACACACACACACACACACACACACACACACACACACACACACACACACACACCTGTACTTGCTCACTGCCAAAACTGGTCACGTGGGTCTCCGCCGGGAGAGGGGAGAGAGACTCAAAAGGAATCTTGGAAAGATGACTCAACTGGACATTGAACCGCCCAACGGCCGACACCCCCTAATATCCCCAAACTATGGGTGGACTTGAAAATGATTCCACTTACGGGCTCAGCACGCCTCAGTAAGTGGGCGAGGAAAAGGTACAGAAAAAAGGATTAACAGCATCAGGGTATCCGCCCCAGGATCCAACTGCAGTTACCCCTGCTCCCGGTGAAGGTAATACTTGCTACTAGTGTGGGTGGCTAAATCACAGTGGATCTGATATAAGTAAGCTTCACTAGCAAGAGTTCTCTAGCCAGAAGTAATATCAAGAGTCCATGACCCCCGAGTGTGCAACGCCATATAAATGTCTGTCACGACTCGTTTTCAACATTACGTCATTTTCATGTAGCTGCGCGTGCAGGCCGCGACATTCGCTACATGAAAATGACGTAATGTTGAAAACGAGTCGTGACAAGACCCTATCGCGCGTTGCACACTCTGGGGGTTATGGACTCTTGGCGCTATGTATACTTCTACTTCCTCCGGAAACAAAAACTTCGTGACTTTTTACATGCCTTTTCAAGGAGTTACTGTGCTCAACAGAAGTGTTCTTTTGGAAGAGAAACACTTCAACACATTCAATCGACATCTACAATATATCTACAGGATCGATTAGTGGGAGTAGAGTCTCAGTTTGGGTCGCCATCGCTCGACTCATCACGGCTGAAACCGTTCCAAGTGGCAGGTCGATAGACGCGATGTCGTATGTCGCAGAGAAGCTTCTCTGCGTTCCTGATCGTCTTTACTGTTACCTGAATGCCTTCTCCAACATCTCGGCGGAGACCACGGTAGCGCTGCAGCATTGGTACTCATTACCGCCTCCGCTCTCGCTCGAGGACAAACACAGGCAGAGCCAAATATTTCAAATTTTCCGAGGGATATCATAGTCGTACCAGCACTTCCCGACTGCCCCGATCAGATCTCGCCTGTTCTCCTTTGGGACCAAGGACACATCGTCGAGGCTGAGGTCTGGGCTCTGCAGTGGCTGAACGTTGACTTCTATTTTGAACTTGTTCATCTTGCTCTGCTGCGCGAAGGGACGATTGTCACATCTCTACATTTTATGGTTTTGACATTGTGCCGACCTGTTCGCATGCCGACAGCTATTTCGGGGATGGCGAAGATTTCTAAACCCTAGCTGCTATTGCTATTCATTTTCCACTCTTCTTGCTCCTCGGTGCCGTTGTCCTGCTCTGTCAAGCTCTGAACTAAAACATAGCAACGACGAGCAGTGAGCGCAGTTCTTTTCTTCCCATTGCGCCTGGTGGACGAAAATGAAAAACATGTTTTGCTTTGCTTTGTTTGCAACGTCGACACCCTTGCTCTGCGACGACTGTCGGCTCTCCAGAATATGAATTATGCTTTCCTACTATTCCGAAATGTCATGTCAGCTTTCCAGGCTGACATAATCAGAGAGAAAGAGCGAAATAACAGCAGCGAAAAGTAGTGAAAAAATCACGAAGTTTTTGTTTCCGGAGGAAGTAATTGAAAGTATGAACCCTGAAACCAACAAAGGTGGCAGGTACAACATCACATCTTCAAACAGCCGAGCCCGTTGGCAACAGACCCAACACTATCTGGCATAAGTGCATCCACCAACCGAACTAGCTGGCACACACACACCTCAGACCTGAGACATACATACATACATACATACATACACACACACACACCTTTGACCTTTGACCTTTGACGCCCATCGCCGGAGGCGATGATAGCAATGCTACGGCAGAAGCCATAGCAACTTGTGCTGGGATTACACCATTCAACAGCTTGCGAGGCTGAAGAATTGACCGTCACTATTCAGCCTGGTCTACACCATACAGCTATTTGGAGTGACATTTTCTGGCCAGTGAATCCCTTTTTTGGTCTTTTTCATTTTTTTTTTTTTTTCACACACACACACACACACACGACTGCGAATCCGGCAGAACATCCTTCGCTACTGCTTGAAGGCAACCCTGAAGAACGCGAGCAAAGACCTTGCTGACCGTATCCAGGAGGCTGATGCCATGCCAGTTATCACACACGCATGCACACACACACACACACACACACACACACACACACACCCTGAGTGTGGGGGGGGGGGGCTATATATGTCTATGATACACCCACATCTGATATACATGCTGGACTATAGTGCATTTGCCAATTCCTGGCCCATAGGTTTTTCATAGTCTCACTTCTTTCTTATTCAAGATGGTGAAGTCGACACATCATTGTGACAGACTGCATTGACACAATACAAGTGATAATTATTATTGTTGTCAATTATCGTGCAACACATGGTTCCGCTGCTGTTCCTCGGCTCGAGATCGCCCGCACGCGCGCTATACCGGGTGCCTCTCCAAGCTGCTCGATCCCGGCCCATCGTGGAGAGTTCGTCAAGATGGTACACATACATGACTTTGTAGTGTATCAGGGGGCCGGGATTGGTAAATGCACTGGAGATTACTCACATGCAGTCAGTTTAATTAACTATTCACAGCATGATTGTGTTTAACTGTGTGCTTTGTGATCATTGATCACTGCACCTGATTGTAGGGGAGGCTGCTCAGCAGCTCATCAACAGTCGTGTTTTCTGTGCATTTGACTTACGCCGTTTTTGTTTTCCTTTTCCATCATCTTTTTGTTTGCAGGATAGCAGTCAGGGTCGGCAGTCTGCTGAAGACTTGGTGGGCAACGAAGACGTCCTGGACAAAGCTGAAGCAACTGCTGATAAGATGGAGCAGCAGCAGCCGAAGATTACCCGGAGGCGTAGCTCTAAAGCCTCGCCGGGCCATTCCACCGTGACGTCACCACGCAAGAAAAGCACCGAGCCACGGGACAACGCCAAGGTAACCTCCAGTCCTGGGCACGTCCACGGTAGTACATCGAGCGTTCGTCTACACCCTGCTGCTGGTAGCAATGGTACCTCCACGGCTAGAGTGGACTTGTCGGAGCGTGTACGTCAGACCTCTATCACCCTTGTGACAGGCGACTTAGCCAATGCCGTCGGCTCGCTAGTGTGTGGCCGTCTTTCTCCGCCTGGTCCTTGTAGCAAGCCTAACGATGTGCATGTAGCAACGCAGGCGCCCAGCACTGCACCAGTGCCTGCTCCGAACGGCACTGCGTAATGTGCTGTTGTAGGATTATGATGACGACGACGACGACGACGATGTGCTGCTCATGTTCTGTAAGCAAGTGTGACGATGTGGTTTGCCACACATGTGCAATGCTGCCCACCGACACCACAACATACACTTCCGGGCACCTGCCTGAGGAGGTAGCCAGGTGTGGCTGCTGCTTCTTCTTCTGGATCGTCTGCCTGGCCTATTCACATGTTCCAAGTGTTGGTTACTGCATCCATTACCATGGTTACCTCTGCCAGTGTGGCCGTCACTATGGTTACTTTTGCCACTGTGGCCGTCACTATGGTTACCTCTGGTCCCTACGCGGTCCCTACAGCCGTCACTATGGTTACCTCGTTACTTGCACAGCTGTGTTGGCATAGAGCTGGACGCTGCCAGTTTTCTTCTTGTGCTTGTTGCATGCTGCGGCACTCTACCAGTGCATATTGTGTACAGTGCTAGCAGAACAAGTTGTTGTTGTGAAGAGGCAACCAGCAACCTTGCGCCGCTCACTGTGCTATGGATTCAGGCTTACTGATACGCTTATTTCAGGTGATCATCGGCTTCTGCCTGGCTAACACCTACAGCTGATGTTGGTAGGATTGTGTGTATGTGCGCGTGCGTGTGTGTGTGTGTGTGTGTGTGTGTGTGTGTGTGTGTGCGTACATGTGAGTATAGGTGTGTGTGTGTGTTTGCGCGCGCGCGCGCGCGCGCGTGTGTGTGGTACATGATGTGAGTGAGTGTGCAGGGTACATGGTGCATGTGTGTGTACGTCTCTCTGTCTTGTTCCCCTTTACTCCTGTATTAAGTTTCCGTGATCTTAGTCGTTACAAATGCTCCAATTCCAACTGCTGGCTGATTGTGTTGATGTTGTGCCCATGTGCTGCCAGACACTACCTTAGTTACCACTAACTTCAAATTTTAATCCCAAAATATACCATCAATATTCAAGTGCCCAAGACCTATTGTGCCGCATCTCTATTAGCTCCTTTATCCGTTCCGCGAAATAATCGCATCAGGCTGTCTTGTGTTCCTTGCCCGTAGCCTTGTCTGTCTACCAATCCCGTGCGATAATGCAGGGACGGAATACAGTCTGCATTCTACTGCTTCAGCCCTGCTGCTGCTGTTGCTGCAGTGGTGTGTAGCTGCTTTAGGCTGCCTTGTTTTGAATATGCATGTAGGCAAAATGTGCCATTATTAGCAATATTCCCCTCCTGTTTAGGCTTCATTGTTTTCCCATGCCCCCCCCCCCCCCCGTGGCGCGTATTGATTTTTCGTTGTGCTCAATCTGCAGTGCTTTGTTTGTGGTACCTTAGCATGGCGTGATCCGTTCGTGTCAATTCCCTTACTCCATGCGGTCGATTGCACATCATAGCTTGTGTGACTGGCTTCTGCTTCTGCTGCTGCTACCAACTACTACTAGTAGTACTGTCATCGTCTAGTGCTTCACTCAATGACGTTCTGAGTAATCTGAAGGTCCATATCCATGCATGCCCAGTGCTGCAGGACCAACAAGTCCAGACTGGTGTTTCTTGTGTGCATGTGCACGTACGTGCAGGGGGGGGGGGGGGGGGGGGGGGTGTTTCGAGTTACTGTGAAACCGGAAAGTCTAACGAGTTACAAACGTTTGAAGGACCAATTTTTTCGTTATTATTTTGAAGAAACGTTATCGCGAACCCGGTTTGAGATGTCTGTGTAAAGATGCGCATACGGATGGATGACCAGGTACTAGGTACTAGGTAGCCATCGTTATCATGGTTATGCCAAAATTACAAAAGACGTTTAAAAAACGTTTTGGTCGGTAAGCTTTCCGGTTTTACAGTACATGTACTGGTGGTATATGTATGTTGTTTGTTTATGCCCGACTGGCGACAGGTAACAATGGTTGTAACACCGGACTCAAGACCTCTACTCATCATATCAGGTGTTCTGTTACAAGTGCCACTTCACATGACAGGGAGGTATTTTACGACTCCCCGGTACTCGACTGGACATGATTGTTGCACTGATTTTTTTGCACTGGTACAAGCTACGGGTAGCTGCTATACTATAGATACTATTATGATAGCGTTACTACACCAAGTCCAACGGGACTAAGAATAGTAAGGTGCTGCATGCCTGTATGCCGTCTTCGTGATACAGGAAACAAGAAGGCCTACTAAACAAGAAGGTCATTACTAAGCGTACAAGTGTAAGGCTAAGGTCCGGATCATGTAGATCTACATCGACATGCCTTTTCTTGATGACACATGCCAAACCGTTGAAACGTGGCCAAACTGCTCATTGCCCAGCTTTTACTCTTTTAGCCAGGAGGTAAGAGCAACATGAAACATTACACTTCTGACTGTCGACGATGTCAGACGTCAGCCTAGCCCTGCGCTCAGGGGCACCTGGTGTGCCTTTTGGCAGCCTCGTGGTCGCTAAACGGATTTATTTTGACTACAAACACGCTCTGTACAAATCAGCAAGTGCACAGACAGCAGGTCGAGTCGACCACCACACTACACACTCTACAGCCAAGTATGTTTTGAAGTAAAAGTTACTTTTCCCCGCGACTCGCTGCTCCAGAATCCCCCTACTCCAGCTGGCCGCCCCGCGCCACACAGTTGTGGCTAGGCTGTGCCCAGTGCCCAGTGCCCAGTGCACACAGCACAGTCAGTAGTGCAGTGACCGGCTGAGAAGAGAGCCTAGAAACTCAGAAAGGCACACATCCTGCGCTGCATGCATGCTTGCATCCTACGAACACGGGCAAGTCAGCATGGCAACTGACTTACAATGACTGTGATCATGTGACGCATTTGGGCCAAAATGGGCCTGTCGCTGCACAGGGCACCACCTGCATGCCTACTGCAGCCTAGTAATGTAGTATAATCTAGACTCAGTCCTGTCAGTGTGGCTACACTGCACTGACTGGGCACTGACACCGCATCTACCAGCCACACTGCAGCATTCACTGATTCACATAGACGTCACTTGTGCAGTGAGTGCCAGTGACCTCCTGCTATGCGGCCGGGCCCGCATTCTTTGAGCTTTGCAGACGGTTTGCACATACAAGTAACATTGTACATGATTGTATTTGTATGTGCAAGCAATCCGAGTCAAAACTCAAAAGTAACTTTTTCCTGAACACAGTGAATGCGTGTAAGGTGTGTTGCTCAATACGACAATAGGTAGGTTGGTAGCGAGAATGAGTCGCAGCCATGGATCCACGAGTTCTTCAGTATTCTCCGCTTCGCCGCAGCCACAGCAGCAGCTACCGCGGCGCTCACCGACACCGACGAAGCCAGTGGCACAGCAGCAGCAACAACAGCAGCAGGCACAGCAGCAACTCCATTCTGCTATGATACCTACTCGCTCGATGGAGGCTGTACTGACACCGCTGCAAGACCAGGTACACGATACATGTTTTGGAGGACCAGTGCGGGTGTGTGTGTGCTTGTGTGTTAACTGGAAACACTACCAATGGTTACACCTCCCGCTGTGTGGCACAACTGAGAAATGAAATTGTCGTGCGTTAGTTTGGCACTAAGTCACTTTTGACTTCATTGGCCCTGTACATGTGTGCGGTACGTATCAGCGTGCGTCCTCGTTTCCTGCATACACCGGACGTGCTAAATGAATGATCTTCCGGCGAGAGCTCAGAAACTTCACCTGTTGACAGTGCACAGCCACAGCGTTTATTATACTCAGTGTTCCAGGTGAATGCCTGCAGCAGTTGTTGGTGTGTATGTTAGGCTGAAACAGTGTGCAAACTGCAAAGCAACACGTATTAGTTCATCACAGTCAGTATGACACCAGCTGACCTGTTGCAGTGTTGGATCCACTCATTCAAATAATTTAATTCTGGAGACTGGACAGCACACACATCCACAGTATTCTGTAGATGCAGTCAACACAGATACTAGTAGTCCTGCACTTCTGGCTGCAGTGAACACTGACAAACATTCCACCCGCCAAGGCCGTTGTGTCAGATGTATAGCTATTCCAAACGCATTCCTGTTTGCGCCCTGCACTATTATCATCATACCATTATAATACCAGCAGTCGCCTACTGTGACCTAGTGACTAGTCCTAACCAACCAGCCACTACAGCATGGCTGTACCTCTAGCTCTCACTCCTATGATTCTCCGGTTTATCACCATACTGGCACAGCATAGCGCCATGCCCTCTTTCAAAATGAAGGCGCCGCTGTAGAGTGTACGAATCGTGCACTCGTGTTGCCCCATACTGTAAATACTGGTCCACGCTGTGTCGCTCCCTGGCTGGTTGTCCAGCTAGGGGTGGGAATTAGATCAAGGGAGTCATGTGTGATCCTATGTACAACTACACAAGAGATCAGACTTGCCGTGCTGGATTGTGCACACTTTCATCCACATGCATGCCCATGCACATGCCCATGCACATGCACATGCATGGTCGTGCTGACACGTAGTATTGTACGTACAGGAGTACATGCGCCAGTTCAACGAAAACATCGTACTTTGACGCACACGCTAACGTCACTTCGCAGGTAGAAGCTATAGAAGCTCAGGGGGTGGGAATGGAACAACGGGCGGTACTTTGCGGTACTCGCGGGATGCGGCTGCCCCCTTTTCAATTTCAAGCTGGGTGCAATCCTGGTTCTTAAAAGTCACAACATTACCCAGCAACGATGCATGGAGGTGGTTAGTGCTTTGCTGTCGGGCGGCGGCGGTGTCATTGTTACCATGTGTCAAGCTAGAGGTTCAGTTTTATAGTGAGAAGTGCAGCATACCCCCCTCCCCAATTGCCGGCGTTAATTCTCATCCTTTCGTAGGAGGGAGAGGGATTTAGGGCGTGCTGTGATGACGTCCAGCCTCTCCTTCTTCCTCCCTCTCCGCCTCTGCACAAAGTGCAGAACGGTTTTTTCTTGACCGGTGTGTGTGTTTGCGTGTGTGTGTTCGTATATATGCATGTTTGTGTACGTGTGTGTGCGTGCGTGTGTGTACATGTGTGTTGGTGTGTTTCAGGTTAGGGTCTTCACATCCCTACCCAGCGTTCTGGTAGTGGACACGGGCAAGCGGCAGAGTCTTGTGGCGGACGCGCAGCACATCCTGTCCGTGCTGTCCAAGCTGCAGCGTGCCGTCCCGCAGATCCCAGTGGACAACGACGTTGGCCTGACGGCCGGGGTGCGTCATCGCATCGGTATCAACTACGACTCAGCCATGGAGCATGCCGAGGAGCTAGTCACGTGTTTGCGACAGCCTGGCCCCGGCACTGCCGGTAACTCGATTGCCGGTAAGTGACCGGAATGCATACACTGCGGCACAGTGCGTGGAGTGCACGTGACCTGCTGCAAGCGACCATGCAGTGCATCAGCTGGTGAATGCTATGTGTGTGTGTGTGTGTGTCCATGCATGCATGTGTGTGTGTGTGTGTGTGTGTGTGTGTATGTGTGTGTGCAATACTGCAGGACAGGTACAGTGCCTTGAGAGACAACAGGGCCATACCCTGCATACTGCCCCCCCCCCCCCATTCACTGTAGGATCGGGGAGTGGACTTTGTGTGTGATCACAGTAATCAGGTCTTCTCCGTATGCGTGTATGTCCATGTGTGCATGTGCTGTGTGTGTGCACGTGTGTGTGTATGTGCACGTGTGTGTGTATGTGCACGTGTGTTTCTGTCCTAGTGGACCCAGCTGCCCGGGCATCTCAGGCGCTGCTCACGTCCGTTACCTGTGCACTGTACGAGTATGACCAGACAATCGTGAATCGGATAGAGATGTCTGGACAACAGGTCAGTTGCCTGGCCAGATGGCACATGCACAGCACTGCCCGGCACACAGCACTGCCCAGCACACAGCACTGCCCAGCACACAGCACTGCCCGGCACACAGCACTGCCCACACAGCACTGCCCACACAGCACTGCCCAGCACACAGCACTGCCCAGCACACAGCACTGCCCGGCACACAGCACTGCCCACACAGCACTGCCCACACAGCACTGCCCAGCACACAGCACTGCCCACACAGCACTGCCCGGCACACAGCACTGTGCGGGCAGTACTGCCCAGTCCGAGTCCAGGGCGGTACTGCCCAGCACACAGCACTGTGCGGGCAGTGCTGTGTGCTGGGCAGTACTGCCCAGTCCGAGTCCAGGGCGGTACTGCCCAGTCCGAGTCCAGGGCGGTACTGCCCAGTCCGAGTCCAGGGCGGTACTGCCCAGTCCGAGTCCAGGGCAGTTCTGCCCAGTCCGAGTCCAGGGCGGTACTGCCCGCACAGTACTGCCCACACAGTACTGGGCGATCTGCATGAGTCCATCGCCCTACCAATCCAGCACTGGTGAATTCGGTTTAGTCTTGGTGTATGTTGCATGATGATGGCCCATACGTGCAGCAGCATGTCTGCACACTACACAGTACACGGCAATAGAGGTTGGCGACAGGTTTGGGCAACATTTCATTTTACTTTCATGGTTGTCTTCGAATTAGATGAATGTGCTATATAGGGCTTGAAAGTGCTACGTCACAGCCAGCCCGGAGTCCTTACAACTCTGACTTTCGGATCCACTTTGAACTTTGATCCAGTGATGGCATGCCCGGATCCATACATCCATACACGTCACACAGTGATTTCTTTCACAGCGGCAGTGTGACACATGCACCGGTGGTGACTGGACTGGGCCCACCCATTCATCGGTGGTCCGCTCGTATACAGGAAAGCATCACACCTCAGTGTGTGCAACAGGAGAGGTCTACCCACCACATCCCGTACTTCGCTATGGGCAGAGTGGATCCCAAAGTCGATATTTGCCGTTAGATTTTGACTTTACGTCAACACTTTTAAGTCCTTTGAAGGCATCCTGCCAATTAAGAAATTGGGGTTACGCGGGTTTTACGACTGTTCCATTGGTCCAAAGGCCATGGATGTTGCTAATTTGCTGAAATTCCAAATGGCCCTGAATAGCTCTAGGAATGGATATCATTATGGGGATCCCGTACTTTATCGCAGATTCGGAATTAGCATCCCATTCTCTGCTACCAACTCCTGTTAATTAATCTACCAAATGTGGCGAGCTGTTACGAAGATGAAACTTTGGTGAAAAGTGACCATAATGCTGTTTGGTTTGGGCTGACACTGTGCTGTGGTTGATGTCATGGTGGAGATTAGCGAGCAACCGTCCCTTGCATTGGTGGAACACACAGGTACATGATTGCACTGAAGTATTCCCATGCGGCCATTGTCATTTTTCAACCTTCTCCTGCACTAGATCGCTCGTCTCGGAGAGGAGCTATCGTCTTTGCTAATGACCTCGACGGTGCCTTCTGATCGGCTGCAAGACGTGTTGAAATCGCTGAGCGAGACTGTGGTGGTATTCGCGCAGTTGACAGAAGCTCGCTGCAAGGTAGGTGGGGGTCTGCACGAGGAATACACGTTTCGGCTAGGAAACAGCGGTGACGATACATACACCAGTGCTGCCACGTGACTACTCGTCTGTACCAGCTGATCATGACTCTAAGTAGACTATTTTGATTTCTGTGGTCCCGATCGATGAGTGATCAGGTTTGTTGTGTATGTGCACTGGTGCATGGGTCGAACTGCTGTAAACTAACATAAGGGGGTACAGTCGAATGTCACTCATCCGACCACTTCGGGAATCAGGCATGTTGGATAACTGATATCATTTTTTATGTGCATATATGGCTGGATTTCACTGATTTATGTACATTGTACACAATACCCAAATATATTCATGCATATTCATGAATTGCTCCATGTACACATACATGTTAGCATACTTGACCACATCTACTTCAAGTAAATGCATATTACACCATATAATATACAAAAACAAAAAAATTAGAATTTTACTGTTGAGAGTCATAAAATTACCACTCCCAGGCTTTTTGGATAACCGACGTGCTCGGATAACTGGCGACCGGATAAGTGACATTCGACTGTATGTCGAATACATTCTTGGTCATTTTCTATCTATGTTGCTTCTTCATGCGCCCAGGACCTGAAAGATCCCTGTCAGAAAAGTGACATGGAGGCATCTCGCATCACCATGGAGCACTGCTTCCGTACTCTGATGTCGTCTATCAAGGTACTCTACTCAGTGTACAGTACAGCTACTGTTCATGCTCAGTGTGGTGTGTGCGTGTGTGTGTGTTTGCGCGTGCGTGCGTGCGTGCGTGTGTGTGTGCTTTGCATCTGTCAGTGCAGTGCCCAGTTTGTCTTCCTCTCATTTTCTCTCTCTCTCTTTCTCTCCCTCCCTCTTTCCCTCCCTCCCTTCTTCCCTCCCTCCTTCCCTCCCTCCCTTCCTTATCTCTCTTTCTCTCTCTCTCTCTCTCTCTCTCTCTCTCTCTCTCTCTCTCTCTCTCTCTCTCTCTCTCTCTCTCTATCTCTCTCTCTCTCTCTCTCTCTCTCTCTCTCTCTCTCTCTCTCTCTCTCTCTCTCTCTCTCTCTCCTCTGAAGTGACACATTTTCTCTACAGCCACTGAGTCACATTGCCCCAGGTCACTTTGTCTAGCTACTGGTGGAGTTCCCATCACGGTACTACCAGCATCATCTTTCTGATACGCGTGCATGTGTGTATGTATGTGCTGGGGCTTTGGTATAGGTTATGTTGCAGCATACGAGCCTGTCAATATGCCGCATGAACTGCCTGGCTGTCAACGACAACTTCATGGATACAGCAGCGCTGATGAAGCTTGCCGCCGGGGTGCCGTATGACCGGTCGACCTGGCGGAAAACGACGCCGCTGGCACAGGGCTTTGAAGACTTGGAGGTATGGTGGGAGCTGTAGTCTGTTCTATGTGTTAGCATGTGCAGTGTTGTGTAGTGCTTGGTAGAAGATGGCTCGGCTGCTTGTACGCCTACCGTGATAGGACGAGAATACATGGCCACTCGGACACACTGAGAAACAAACGTGCAATGTCGATGTTGGCTCTCCAGCCGTACGAAACAAACTCCCAGCCTGTGTTGCAAGTTGCAACTGATGCACTGGGGTAAGTTAGCATTATCATATTGACATATTCGGAGTTGCAGGTCACAGAGTAGAGGCGGCACTGCCTCATTGCACAGCGGGTGACACCGAATGCCGTTGACACTGGGGCAAAACACAAAGCTGTTCCCGGCACAGCCGCCGTTAGTGTGTTACCAGAACGTATAATCTACAGTGACTCTACACCCATCTGGATTCATGACAACCGCTAACGCCATCTCAGCGGCATGCAGTCTTGACACTGAAGACGGGGCAACAGGGGTAGTTTGTGTGCAGCCTGTGCTGCTCAAACTCTGAATCGCTGAACCGCACATTGAGCGGACCATAGTGATGTCGGCCAAGTTCCGTTTTTACTCAGCTGTAGCGATGACTCAGTGACCAGCATCTTAAGTTAACTCGTTAGTGCCAGCATGCATCATATCATCGCGTCATGCATGCACCGCCGCAATGCGTCCAGCATACCGGGGTGGGTGTGAGTAAGTTGAATCATGCAGTGTACAGTGACGTTATCGATTGTGACTAGGGTGGCCAGAACTACTAGCATTACTTGAAGGGGGGGGGGGGGGGCAGCACGATACTATGTCGCTTTGCTTACAACCTCGCAGCATACGTTACGCATACAACATAACCGGACCTCGCGGTCCACATACCGGTGCATGATTTTGTGTACAAACTGGTCGAAATATGTACTAAAAGCTTCGTCGTATCCGTTTGCACGTGGCTTGCAGAAGCTTGAATCAGGGAGTTGTACAAACAAATGAGGTTCTTGACCTGCTGTATGCATGCGGGTGGCGCTCTGTTGCATGCACTTGTCATTCTTCTCGCTTGTTTTACATATTGTGCACGCTAGTTGTTCTGCATAGGACCCGTATACATGTATGTACGATGCCGCCCATCTTGATGTGCCACATGCATATAGAGTATGTGTGTTCAGTTATCCGGTTCCCTCGCCTATCTGGATATTTTTGTGGAAAACGGATGTGTGCAGTTAAGCGAGGTCTGACTGTACCGGTTATGATGATAAAATAATATTTTAAAAAATTCACGGTTTGCACCAGACTCGGCTAGAGGCCGAGTTTTCCACATCTGTAGAAACTTTATGATGATAGCAGCTTCAAAATTCAAAACTGACAAAAAGCAAAAGTATCTTTTTCACTCAAACTAGACTGGTTATAAGATCAGTCGGCAATATATCGCCTATTGTGATCAAATTCTCACTTCAAAAACCACTAAATTAATTCAAGGCACACTTTTTGGATCGGTTATAGTGACTTTAAACGATCCAAAACGAATTGATAGTACCAACAGGAAGCCCTGGGAAACGGAGCTTGTGTAAATGCTGTGTAGCACCAGTAATGTGGTCCTACCGTAGATGCAGGTTGTTGTATCACACTATGTTTGTGCTTTACAAGTCTTGGTATGGTATTTAGTATTTACTCAATGTACGATGGAAGTCTGTTTGTGCATGTCATCATTACTAGGTGTAAAGTTATCACTTAAGTTACGTACCGGCCTATCCAATCGCATATACAGTGCAGTACTGTGCCGATTATCTTAACCCCTCGCTGCATAGGCTGTCTCCAGGAGGTTCGGGTGACAAGAATGTTCGGATAAGGGAGCAGTCACACATTTATGATCTAAAGCATGCATATTTTCGCATGTTTTCATCTTTTTTTTTATTCTCTCTGGCAGGATAACAGGCACTAGGCGTACTCCAGCTCCTAAAAATGCCGGACACTATCGTTATACATTTGGACTCCAACCTGTCGTAATACATCTTGTGCTTCGCTTGTTTGGCGCTCCGATTGGGGAAAATCAGCAAAACCCTCGAAAAAACTGCTATTTTTTATAGTTATTTAGTTCCAGACTGACCTGGCGATCCGGTTAATCAATCATTTGGATAGTTGACGTCCGGATAATCGGCGTCCTACTGTAGTTATATAAATCGCCTACTGTGATCAAATCACACTTTTTCAAACACCAACGTTTAAACCGATCTCCGCCTGTACTACACAGGGGTTTAACTGTTGTCAGCTGACGAGCTGAGAGAGGGACGCCATGGGCAGAAGTTGGAAGAAAAAAGAGTTAAAAAAGAAAGAAAAACAGTTCAGAACAAAAATAGCTACTAACTTTACTAAGTTTATGTAAAAGTGGGGAGGCTTCCTGCAGTTTCATAAATTGCAGTTAAGAGTAGAGCCCACACGCTCTCTTCCATTCACCTGTGAACCTGATGAAGGCAATTTGCCGAAACTTTGGAATAATTATTGTGAAATGAGTTGAACTATTGCAGTGTTATGCCATGGGGCCAAGGTTGTGGAAAAGTTGCGTTAATGGAAGAGAGCGTGTGGGCTAGGCATGGGAGGGTAATGCTAGTTATTTGCTGCGATAATGCTAAAGGTAATGCTCATAATATGAGGATATAATGCCACTTATAATGCTCACACTACTCCATAATGCCAGTTTGAAAGTTGGAAAAGTCGATTTAAGAAGGCCGTCTTGGATGAAGGCCAAAGCGTAGAAGAAAAAAACTAAAACAGCAGTGAGCATGTTGTCTGAAACAATCCACTGAGAAGGTTGATGTGGAACGTCAAGTCTCCGGACGAAGCCGGACGGGTTCAGATGCACGATTTTTGGAACTGGACCTAGCCAGCTTCATGCATGACACCGTTGTCGTTATGCTTGTAATGCCATTTTTGCATGCGAAATGGTGTTATAATGCCACCTGGAAAAAAGGGACTATAATGCCAGACATAATGGATTAATGCTAGCATTACCCGCCCGGCATGCCTAGTGTGGCCGGCTCTACTCTTTTAAACTGTTTACTATATGTCAGTTTATGGTATCAAGAAGACATCCAGGAGCGATCACAGAATACAAGACTGACGTTACGAGAACTCTAAAACAACTCCCCTAGAATAGAGAGGGTCGGAACCGGGTCTAACACCCATACGGTTCAGATGGTCGCAACCGACCGGGGCTCTACCAACCGTGGCTCTACCAACCGTGGCTCTACCAACCGTGGATGGTTGTAGAAAGGTCACTGTTTCCGAATACGGTGTCCTCCACCTTGCTGTGTCTGTCAACCACGTGATTGTACAGTCGGAGGGCTGTATCAAAATGCCACCGTGTTCTCTCACCCCTCTCCGTGTCTTCCCCTACCTGGCAGGCCCCGGCCCATGCGCAAGGCTAGGCCAAAGGACAGCTTGTAGTAAAATACCGGTATTTTACTACTCCCCGGTCGCCTGTGCGAAGTGCGCAGCAGCGCCGGGTTTGGTCGGCGCGGCGAGTAGCGCGCGGCGGGCTGTTCGTGCAGACTAGACGTAGATCTACGCTTGATGTGTGTGGCGCAGCATTGCGCAGGAGCGCACATAGCAGATCGATCCGCGATCGATGCGCGATCGATGCGTGGGCAGCTCTGTGCTGTGGACCGTGAACTGAGCCAAGATGGCGTTGGATACGTAGACTGCATGCTGCATGTATGAGCATAGTACAGTACTGTATGCCAGATATTTGAACAAAGCTTTTGCTGAGTTTGGACAGTGTGGACTTGGGAAGCAGAAAAGCTACAGTGAGCAAGAGAAGACCTACATATTTCGCTCTTCAGTCACCAGCTGGAATTGCCGAATTGATTTTGTGTATGGCTGTACATTTTGAATTGTAAAATGGATCCCAAACTTGCTTCGATTGATTCCATGACTGGAGATTCTTGCAAGGAATGGTGGCAAGTTCCTTACATCGCCCAGTTTTGTTACGTACTCAAACCGGCCTTCCACTTTCCTGATTTCATCGTAGAAGATTTGGAGGAGGCTCTATGCAAGCCTGCTGAGCAAGGATCACCTGAGTGGAAATTAATCTGCGAGATTCACGTCCGAATGTTACGCGGCATTTTGCCGAACCGTGGCGTGAATGTGGAGAATTGGCAAGATCATTTGAGGAAGCTGATGAGAGGAAAAACCAAGCGTTCTAAAGTTCTATCAACTCCTGAAGATACTACCAATGAGAATTCTTCTGACAGCACCGAGAACACGAACGGAGAGCAGTCCGATACAGCCGACAGTCCAGCTACCGAGGAGAATGGCAGTGAAGAACGAGCTACCACCACTGACAATGAAGTGTGGAATCCGCTGGAAGAGAACACTGACTATCGTGAGATTGCCACTCGCGACAAGGTTGCGATTCTCTTTCTACTCAGTGAGATGCGTCTGGAGGCATCGGATTGCCACGACGCCCTCAAAGGTTGGGACGGCGACTACTTGCGTTTGCAGCCCATTGGCAATGACAAGCATGGTCACAGATATTGGTTTATGGACAGTGGGATGCGACTGTACAAAGAACTCGATCCCAAACTTGAGTTGCCTGCTGCCGAGGAGGAGAAGCCGGTGAAAAAGGTGAAAGTCAAAGCCAAAGCCAAAGGCAAGCGTGGCCGCGGCAGACCAAAAGCAAAGAAGTCATCGTCCTCCACATCATCACCTGTTGATAAGAGCTACGCGCGCAGCAAACGAAGCAGCTTTCGTAGCGCTATAAGCAGAATCAGCCACCAGCCTGAGAGCGAGTCTGATAGCGACAGTGATGAGCAGGAGGAGGAAAGCAAGGAAGAGCCGTTTCCCCCGCTGATGTCGTTGACGACGTCTCTAATCGGTGATTGGGCTGTTGTGGCTGATTCGCAAGAGGAGTGGGAAGAGCTGACGGAGAAGTTTGTGCGCAGCCGCAACGCAGACGAGCGACAGCTCGGTAAGTTTATTCAGTCTCAGCTACTGGAGGAGGTGACAAAGAAGCGAACACTGCGCGAGAAGCAGCTGCGTAAGAAACAACTACTGGAGAGCATGCCACGCCGTGCATCAGACCGCATCACCATCATGAAAATAAGCCGAGAAGAGGAGGAAAAACACGCCGTGCAGCGTCGAGAAATGGCCGAATCTGAGAGGCGCCAAGCAGAGGAAGAGAGGCTAAGGCGCATTTCTGAGGACAGGCGTGAGCAGCGTGCAAAGCGATTGCAAGCGCGTGCTGAGACGGCCTCTGCTCAGGGACTATCTCCACCCAGCGAGAATCGGCAAGGTCCGCCGTACGGCATGAATGAAGAGAAATATGATGCAATGTATGCCGTATTGGAGGGTCTCCGAAAGTCTACGCACTCCTGGGTGTTTGAGGAGCCCGTCACGGACAAGATTGCACCGAATTACTCTTTGGTGGTCAAGCAACCAATGTCACTTACTACCGTGGAGGGTAAACTGGATGACTACAGCTACAAGCATCCGAGCGAGTTTATCGAAGACCTGCGCATCATGTGTGCGAACTGTCGCCTTTACAATGGTCCCAAGAGTCCCTACTACAAGTCGGCTGATCTAATAGAGGGCAGTGTGAAGCGCTACTCTTTGAAGCACTTTCCTCGCATTGAATGGGGCGATCCTCCAATTCTACCTCCCAGCGACCCCTTGCCGACTATTCCCAAGCCGCAGAAGCGTAAATCTCTGCCCGACGACGACGTGGACCCAGATTGCCCTCCATACACCAAAGTGAAAACTCCGCGTGCTGGACCGTTCAAACACCCCAAGACGGAAGCTTCGTCATCAGAATTTCTCAATACACACCTTAGCCGCCATCATCCTGTTGCCGGGCATGGTAACAGTTTTGTTCAACCTGACCAACACCAACCGGCGTTTGCACAGCATCAGCTGATGACTGGTGCTCCCATGAATCACCAGCCTCCGAACGTCAGGCCCAGCGTCCATCCTGGTGCCGGTCTTGGCGCCTGGGGACAGGTTATGACGCAACCAGCATATGGTAACGTGGTACAGCGCATGCCACACCAGCCAGTCATGCCCGGTGTACCTGTACCTAGAGCGCCGGTGAACAGCACCATGGTGGCCCGCCACCCTGGCGCCATGAGTGGTGGGGCCGTGCGCCAATCGGTCCCTGTCGTCAATGGTCATGTTGCCAGGCATGGCGGCGGTAGCTCTCCTGTGCGGCCTATTGTTACTGCCCAGCACAAGCCGGGCAATCTACGTATGGACTCTCCGTCCACACAACCGGACTCGTCTCACCGTGTAAACCATGCTGGCATGGTAAGTTCAAACGGCCCCTCTCCACTTGGTGGTGCTCCAGCACGCCCACGCGCCTACTCACCGGGTAGTAATCCAGCACCCAGTGCATCTGCTGGAAATCACCGCCTGGCGTCGTTTTCTTCCGCCGGCGCATCACACTCAGCGGTCAGCAGCTATCAGCATGCATCACGGCCACTCAGTTCCGGTCCTGTACCGCGAGCACCCGTGGCAGCTAGCAGTCTGCATTCCATGTCTCGACCGCTATCTGCTGCCGTCGCTCACAGGCCTATTCTACCGCACCCAGCGTCCGTGCCAGTGCACCGTCCATCTATGCCATCGGCCACCGCTGTCAGTAGACCGGAGTGTATCAGGCCGATCCCTGGCTCTGATGCTAGCTCATCGGGAGCTGTTGTGCAACAGAGGCCCACTTCTATGGCTAGCCATGCACCCACTGGTGCTGCTGGTGCTACTGCCGCTACTCACGATCACAACAATGGCGGCGTATCTTCAGCAAGTACTAGTCCCGGAGCACAGCCTGTTTCTGCTGCTGCTCCTGCAAGTACCGTTCCCAGTTCCATCTCGACGACGCCACCGCTGCATGCTCAACAGATAGCAGAATCAGCCAGCAGTGCAGCAAGCTCGGCCAGTTCTGCCATTCACCAACCCATGCCATCATCGGCGCCGCTGCAGCAGCAGCTGACAAGTAGACCTTCTGAGCAGCCGCCAAGCACCGTTTCAGAGCCACGTGTTTCCTGCAATGCTACAGCTGCCGGCGTACTTGGCGACACACCGGCTTCAATCAGCACTGCACCGGTAACAAGTAATGTACTAGTACATAATTCCGTGTCCAATGCTCTCACCACTACTATTGCCGTACCATCAGCTGTTGGCATGTCATCTGCAGCTTCTGCAGCAGCAGGCGCCGACAACTCTGCGACAGCGACTCCCTCAAGACCGAGCTCGGTTACTGGTGTTTTTCCTGAAAGAGATAGTTTTGCATGTTCCGGCGGCACGGATGCTCTTGATCAGTTGGCAGCAGTCAGTGCGCAGGCCTCACCTGTACACCAGCCCGCAATGCTGCATCCCGGTGCTAACAGCACTAACAGCACTAGTGACGATGCATTCAGTGTGAGCGACGCCGTCAAGTCAGCTTGTCTCACTGCCCAAGAGAACGCTAACGCTGACATTGGCGGTGCAGGCAGTAACTCCACAGCCGCTTGTCCTGCAGCAGTGCCGTCAGGAGACGCTGCCTGTGCTGTGAAGGGACCCTCTGCTACTTCCTGTATCGTGTCCAGCGCCTGTTGATGACTGCTTCACGGTTTGTTTTGCTACGTGCATGCCTGTGTTTTCTTTAGTCTCTTCTTTGCTGTTCTGTCTGCACCCATACTGGTAATGCAATCGTCTGCTCTGTGATATGACATACTTCTACAGTTGATAGTATTCTTCACGCCGCGTATGGTGTTCTTAATTTATTCTTTCAGCTGCCGCAGTCAGCCTTTGATCTTTTCGTTATGTTCATCTTGTCACACGGTGTGTTTGTTGAGCTGATGCCTAACATTGGCAGCAGAAGAGGCTCTATCTATTCTTGTTCTCTCTCGACACTACTGGTCTGCGGGTGTTTTCTGTGCCTGCTGCTGTTTTCTGTTTGTTTTTAAATATGGCTGGTGTTTATTGCTGCACATGTACACTGCTACTAGGCTAATAGCGTGCTTCCAACGTGTGCCTTTGATCTGTCAATTTTCTCCTCACGTGGCGCGGAGCTTTTGAACTTATCGCTGTCTTTTGTTGAGTGATGTTGAAAAGACGTACAAAACGTGTGCTTTGCTGGCTGGTGCCTGTGGTGGGTATTGATCAGCTACAGTACAATGTAGAGTTGTGCATGACCAACTCATCTGTGATCTTGCATGAACTGACGGGGGATTACGCTGCGTGGGGCTCAGGGGAGAGTTGAGAGCTTTTAACATTATCTTCTTACATGGCATGTGAGGGTTACCAGCGCCAACGTGAATCCTCCCGGCTTTCCTACTGTTTGTGTACTCAGCTCAGCATGCCCAGAGCAAAATCTTTGGAAGGTCAACAGTTAGACCTTTCGACTCTTGACCCCCGTAAGATATCAAATTAATGAAACATGCCCTTTGCCGTTATGGTGGTCAAGAGCTTCCCCTTGAACACACCCCTCGGGCAAGATTCAGCGGTCATGACCTCCAGCACCTGCTTGGATACATCAGGGGTGTCGGAACTGGTGCAGTCAAAATACCACCAAAAATTTAGTCTTGTGATTTTTTGACGCAATAAAATATGGTCTATTTGGGCCCAATCTTCCCCAAAGAATATTCCCAGGGGATCCCCCCTCTTTATGGCCGCACCAATGTGGAATAATGGAATACATTCGGACGCCCCTGCCTATCATTACTCCTCACAGACACACACACACACACACAAGAATGACAGACAGAGACCCATGCACTGGTGCTATTCAATCCTCTTGGTGTGGAGCTCGTAGTATACAGCTGGGTGCCGAAGAACAGTGGGATCAGAGTCGTGACTAACCGGCATTGAATAGGCCATTCGTATTCTTTACATACTGCTGTCTGATGGTCACTGAAATGCGTGAAATTTGAAGTTATAGCTACACAGCCATTCACCCGATCGGCCTTGTTTGTACTAGTGACTATGTAGTTACCCACCCGATCGGCCTTGTTTGTACTAGTGACTATGTAGTTACCCACCCGATCGGCCTTGTTTGTACTAGTGACTATGTAGTTACCCACCCGATCGGCCTTGTTTGTACTAGTGACTATGTAGTTAGGTCACTGCATATACCTCCCGGTATGACTGTTATGTACATTGCGTAAAGTGAATAAGAACCTTTTTCCGCACACAGTGCTCAACATACTACCTACGCCATACATGCGTGCAGGAGCAGTGACGTCATTTCCAATCAGGAGAAGTTGTCACGGAATCACAGCCACTCTGTTCCCTGCGGGGACGCAGGACACAAAGGACAAGTACTAGCTTGCTACATTATTAATATTGACATGACGGAAAAACAAGGACAACCGACTCCCATGGGACGAACAAGAAGACTGACGAAAGGACTGTCGACTACAACATCGCGCATGCTCATATCACACATGCTCGCGACTAGACAAAGAAAGTTTTGGGAATGCCATCGCACAGGAAACCAAAACATCGCGTCTCATAACCAAGTGGGAAACACCCAGCAGCACACCAGTATAATAATATCTCAAGAGTACTAGTACATACAGGCATGGTGGTGGCCTGGCACATGCCAAACTTCCTAAGCTGGTTGTGTTTCTCAACGCACTTACTTACTAGTACATCATCTTATGCAGGTGGTAAATTAACACCTCAAGATCGATGTGCATGTGCACTCATGTGTATGTGTATGTGTGTATGCTCAAATGTATGTATGTATGTATGTATGTATGTATGTATGCGTGTGTGTGTGCGTGTGTGTGTGTGTGTGTGTGTGTGTGTGTGTGTGTGTGTGTGTGTGTGTGTGTGTGTGTGTGTGCGTTTGCATTATTTAGGAGTTACTTCGAGAGGCAGGCAATCACCTGAGCATAGAGAGCAAAAAGGAGCAGTTTGGCAAAGAACTGTGCACCCAGCTGGACGCTATCATTCTCCATGCTAAGCAGATTGCTGAATCTCCGCGTACTGGCGACCGTGCTGGCGATCGACTACTGCATAGCTGTGATGACGCTGTGGGCCATCTATCTACACTATTGCAACTGGCTTCTGAAGATGAGGTACCGTAGTCCATGCATGCAGCGTGTCTGTCTGGCTGGCTGGCTGGCTGGCTGGCTGGCTGGCTGGCTGGCTGGCTGGCTATCCGGCTGGTAGTGTCTGCCTGCCTTCGTGTCTGTAGCTCTCACACAGAATATTATGTACACACATGTGCGTGCACGCACACATACCCACTCACACGTACATGCACGTGCCCGCACACACACGCACACACACACACACACACACACACACACACACACACACACACACACACACACACACACACACACACACACACACACACATGCACACACGTGGGTTCCTTCCAATAACGTACCCGTATCGAAATCTTCTCTTCTCTGATCTATACATGCAGGATAATACACTGAATGGGATCGTTGATGAAGCAGCAGATAATACATTCTCCAGTGCAGCATCAGCGTCCGCATCAGCAGCACCGCTATCGCGTACTGGATCACGTCGCAGCAGTAGTACCCGTGGTGGTCGACTTTCTTTTGCCAGCTCAAATGGAAGTGGAATTATGCCGCCTCTCACCGTCAGCGAAGCAGCCGAAGCACTGTCAGAAGCTGTTGTCAACCTTCGCAAACTAGTAAGTCAACCATAGCTAGTTCAAGATAAGCTTCATCAGGACTTGTAGTCAGCAGCTCTCTGCTGCATGTAGCATGAACGAACTAGATGAAGCGGCAAGCAGCAGCATTCGGCCAAGTACAGATTGTTCATCAACCATCACACACCATAACTGCATGAACGACTTACGAGATGCGTAATTTGAGATGTTGCTGTGTTTTATTAGTTATTTCCAGAGTCGAAAACTGCTTCAGTGTGTGTTGAGATTATGTCATGCCTGTTGTAATGTCGTTGCTGTCAATCAGTGACAGCTGTAGTGTTATTCTGGTTATTAGGGGAATGGTTAAAAGGAAAGGAGCTGGGCACAGAGTTTTCTCAGTGTTGGGATGACATGCGAGGCAGCCTGTGTACGAGTTGAGCCTCTTGTCCTTTGTGCCGTTATGTGTTGTTGGTGCTGCTGCTGTTGTTATGTGTTTTGAATTCCTTATTCTGACGATAGCACCATCGCCAATAAGAGCGTTGTTGGCGCTGTTGTTATGTGTTGGCGGTGCTGTTGTTATGTGTTGCTGGTACTGCTGCTGTTGCTGCCGCCTTCGCTATTGCCGTCATTGTCGTCTTCGTGTAGACGCACATGGCCCTGTCACAACACACTGCCGCTGCTCTAGCTCAGATGCATCGTGACAGATCACTAGTCGACTACTTGCACGAGAATGCCGCTGTTCGCAACAACGCCAAAACCACCGAATACTCCAGCCAACTTCTACGGCAAGTGGAAAGGTTTGAAGAGGTAAGGGAAGTGGTCATGCTTTTTTAAGTTTCCCAATTTCCCAATTCCCCGCTTCTGGTCTTTGATGCCAGCTCCACATCTTCTCAGTATGTGTGGTTATCTTTGTCTTTACTCCTTAGGTAGGCTCTTTGAAAACATAATTCGCTGATGCCATCTTCATTTGCTCCGTCGATTAATACTACTACTAGGCTCTTTGAAGCCCATACAAAATATTGACGGTCGTCCTACGATGTTACAGTAGGAACATTTACTTGAAGTACAGGTGCGCTCACTGAAATCCGACCCAAAGTGCAAAGCTGGCACCCTCAGCTTCCACGGCCCTTGACGCCCTGGAAGTGGAATGAATGCAGCTGGACGTACACATGTACGCATACAATGATGTAATCGGAACTGGTCCAGGGCGTCAGCTTTGCACTTTGGGTCGGATTTCAGTGAGCACAACTGTAGTATACATATGCCGGGCTATGCCTTCCCACTACCAATTGCTGCAATGTAGCAGGTATTGAAGTTTGGCACGGCTCTTGTTGTTTGGTTTCCTCACATTCTGTTGCAGGTTGTTACAGCCGTGTGCAGCATATCTACTGATCTTGCTAACGTGTTGCGGGCCAAGAGGTCACTGTCTGAACTGCGCATTCTGTGCCCTCAGGTAGGCATAGCGACATGTCTTTGCCAATTTGCATGTGTGTGTGTGTGATGGGGAGGGGAGGGGAGGGAGGGGGTGGGGTGGTGGGCTGCTGCTGCTGTGTGGGTAGGTGTGTGTATGGGGTCAATGGATGGTTGGAGTGAAGCACACACACCTTTCACATTTGACCTTTGACCTTTGATACCCCTCGCTGGAAACGATGATAATGGTGCTATAGCAAATATAGCAAAGTCCATAGAAACTTGTGCTGGGATAGCACCATTCGGCAGCTTGCAAGGTTAAAGAATTGACCACCATTATTCCGCTTGGTCTACACACAGCTTCTGGAAGCGCTGTCCAGAGAGCCTAACACGGTTTTGATTCTTTTGAAGCACCTTTTCCGGCACCCGCAAAGTTAGTTGTTATATGCATGGGCCTGTACGTGTATTGATTGTGTTGTTGTACATGTGTGTCATGCTAGGCTGTGGCTGCGGCTCACGCTTTGTTTCAATTCCCAGCAAGTAAAGCAACACGTGCCAACATGATGTCATTCGAGCATGCCTGGCACGTGGAAGTCGACCAGCTCATGTCTGCTCTCAGCTGTCTTGGACCAACGGAGAATGGTATGTGTGATGACGAAACACCGGTGTAGGTTATTGCCTCTTGGAATTTGTCATTTTGCATTGTGTTGCCTACTGCCATGGCTGGCTGTCACCCCCTCCCTCCGTATTGGCCTCTATTCCCTGGCCACGGGAAAGTGAAATATTCAAAACACTCTGATGTTGATCTGTCATCATAGTAACTGGTTTGGGGAATCCTGGCTGTGTGTAGCAGCATTCTTTCTCCTCTTTGACCATAGTGCCCTGTACTCAGGCAGCAACAGAGCATTGATGTGGCCCGTGATGATTTTATGTCATAACCCGGGTGGCGGAAATAATGACCAGCACTGCTGGGCTGGGCTTCAAGCGGTCCATGCAGCAACGAGGTGGGAATGTAAACAGTTTCTCTGTGTCTTGCATGCGTCCCTTCCTACAGTCAAGCAGGAATCACAGCTATTGGACCGCAGTAAGTCAGCAAGTATGCACGCGCTGAGTGGGCCGCGTCTGTCCAGCGCCTCGATGCATCGGACAAGCTCCATCAACAGCTTTGCCAACTTCAAACTACGCCTTCAGCAGAGAAAGGTAGGGTGCCTCCCCTAGCCGGGCCATGCCGCACACTGCCCTTCACAAACGGTTGTCATTCAATCTTTGGAGTTGTTGCTTTGGTGACCTTTCTGGCTGAAAGCTGCTTGATGATCGCTTCAAGTATATCCATCATCGGATGCGTGAATGTGTATATCTACCTTTAGCAGAGGAACGTTGATAAGTTTTCTGATTGCAAACAGTTGAGACAGGACTTGGATTTTGTTGATGGCAGTGTAGCAGCATTGGCAATCATGTCTGCGTTACCCGATCAGCTGAGCAGAATGTGCAGCTGTGTATGCCAGTGATGTGTATGCCAGTGATGTGTATGCCAGTGCTGTGTATGCCAGTCAGGATGTGTAACAGTCATGTAACGTTATGATCCAAAGTTCTGTTTTAGGGTGTGAAGCGGTGCCAGTAACCAGGGTTAAGTTTAAACCAACCTCCGGAGGTCGGAGGCTTCCAGAGAGTGATGCGAGTATTTTTGCATGTACACGTTGCATGGATTTCTGATTTCTGTGTGCTTCACTGATGGAGAGGCTGATGTGCGTCATGTGCGTGTGTGTGCCTACCACACACTTCTATTTATATGTATATGTATATGTATATGCCTCCTGACCATGACGGTGTGTTTAGGGCAGCGACCAGCTGAAAGGACGCCTGTACGCGTCGCAGCCTGACGTTCACTTTTCCAGCGCAGACCTCTAATCCGATAATCACCTCATACAGTACTAACTCAGGTACAGGTAGAAGTGCATGTGCCGTTAGCGTAGAACATTCACCACCCGTCCAGGCTGTTTTAGGGAGACGCCATGGGCGAAGTGGAACATAAAGCAATGTGGGTTTCGCTCCCAACCGCCTGTTCCAGTTCTACCTTTGGCAGGGCTGATGTATGCATGCTTGCGTATTGTATGGCTTGACGCACACTTGGGGTCGTTAGGCCATGGCCGTGACCTCGATCGCGCGTGTTGCATAGATCACGGATCACACAGAACTGCTGAATCCGGGGTCGAAGTGCACATTGTTTCGGCTACTACGGTCTCGTGTTGTCTCCCTAAAAGCCTGGTAATCCCCTTTGCCCACCTAACCTGATAATAACTGATCAAGCATCTCTCATTGGTCTTAATTAACAGGCAGTGACAGTGAAGTCTATACCTTGTCAAGAGCTGTCAGCCTGTGTTTTGCTCAGTGGCTAAGCTTACCGTGTGCCTGAAGCTATTGACCACACACTATCCAGTGCTCCATGGCACAGAAGTACAATCATTGCACTATGCTCTACAAACCACCACTTGCTGATCTGCTAAAGACTAAAGAGTGATTGCTACATAAGTTGTTGTGCCCACTAAAAACGTTTAAAAAAGCATAAGTATCTGATTATCAGTCCAACACAATCCCTTCTCTCTAACATCCTCCAGACTAATGTTTAATTTGTTTTACACCGTAAATCCCATGCTAGTATCTATTGTTCCCAGGGCAAGGTAATGTCTACTTTGTACAGGTTAAGCTGTACGTGTTGTGCCAGTCCCAGTTCCCTTGGTAACCTAGCATAACCCATCCGGGGGTCTCTTTATGTAGTGATATTTGGCTCTGCTCCCTCAGTGGTGGGTGAGGATGATCTGTGTAATGACTACTTTGAAGTATGTGTGTAATCGGTCCTATTCTCTGTGGCTATGGTGTCTTCTTGCTTGCAGTCAACAGCTATGGCGTCCGGATCCAGATCTGGTTCAGAGCATGTGGTAGAAGTGTAGCATCTCGTCTGTAGGCCTCTGCCTAGGCCATGGCACACTGTGTGACCATGACTCCTCAGGATGATGTCATGATGAGTCACCATGTGTGCATGATCAATTAGAATGGCATCATCATGACACACAGTCAGTCAGTGTGCATGACTCGTCATTGTGTATAGGCAGTCCGGCACTAGTGTAGCTATTCAATATCTGCCATTCAAGTAAACACAGCACACGCATCTGCTGGATTGTGCTCCATGCTGGCAATGGTGTGAACTCCAGTGGAGAGACTGGCCTGTGAGTCAGCGAGTGCAACGCTAGTATGTGTGTGTGTGTGTGTGTGTGTGTGTGTGTGTGTGTGTGTTTCATTGCGGTTGTTAATGCTCCCCTGACTTTTGAGTATTGCGTTCTCGATGTGCACTTCATCGGCTGCTGACTTTTGCCCTGCAGAGCACTTCGCAGCTTGTGCATGCGTGTGTTTGCTGTTTCTCCACGTTAGTCGTTAGCGGCCCTGCACATGGGGCACACGTGTGCATGACGTACAGATTGTGTTGCATGGACCAATACCATACAGTCTACATGTACATGCGTATGCTACACTATATGTAGACTGCCGCTGGCTACTATAGTACTAACACTATCACTGACCTTGCTAACTAGCTACTGCACTGCACTGCCCTGTCCCTTATTGTACTGGTAGTGTGCTGTTAACGCTGACAGCTCTCCACAGTCACTATGGTATTCACTCTCTGCTCTGCACTAGCTGCTACTGTCTTCTACTGCACTGCACTGCCTTGCACTGGCTGTACCGTGCTTTCACTCGATGCTTGCGTCACTAGTGATCTGTGTTATGTGTACAGTACATGCATTATGGCGTGACTGGTGCAATGCTTGCTGCAGCTGTAACAGTTATAAGCCGGCTTGCTCTCACGGTAACTTTCGGTGATGGGTATATCTTCTATATAAATACTGCTTTTCATCATGACAATAGGCTTATGCTGTTTCTTGACATGCTGCATTCAGTGTAGGTTTTAAATTGCAGGTTTTTTTTAGCAGTAAACACCATGCAAGCAGCACACTATTGCAGCAATGTAATACCACTGATGAAGGCGGGCAGTACACTGTAGAGTGTAGTTGATACTTGATAGTTCCCCACCTTTGCTGCATATGGCACAATTCCATGCGGCGTAGTGCTATCGCCCGGATAATACATGGAATATCGAATAACACAATCACGTACACTACTGTACTGTATGGATGATGTATGCCACGGTCACATGACTTCTGTTCCTGCCAGGCTGTTATTGTGCGAATTAGGGGTGAAACGAGTATCTATTTTTTGACCAATCGATCACTCATTCATAATATTCGATCGAGTATCCGATTATTTCGAGTATTTTATCAAAATTCAGAAGCGCTAAATTTGTGAGTTATTGACCAATTCGGAAGAAATTATCTGTGAACATAGAACAAAAGTCGCCAACATCTTGTACAGAGTGTAAAGTAACGATTTTCATCATACTTTCATATCTCATAAGTCATAACGAACGTTACTTGCCGTGGTGATCGCATCGTCCAAGTCATAAAATACTGACTCAAAGGCATGCAAATACATGCATACCCGTGGACGAGCGGTACAACAAAAGCTTTTGAAAAATAAAATGCCAATACTAAAAAAAATTTTAAAAAACGATCGAGTGCAAAATTTCGAATACTCGCTCGTTTGAAATTTTCGAACGAATACTCGAATATTCGAACTAATCGTTTCACCCCTCGTGCGAATGCATGCGTACTGCGCATAGTGGGTGAGACAAAGAGGGCATAATAACCAGCGGTGATGTACATGACTGTACTCTTGATGAGACAAGGCATATACCTGGCCCTGTAGATAGAGGGTAGTCGGGTGCATTGTCCGTATTGCCCAAGTATTGATCACCCGGTCATCAGACCATGGAGGTAGCGTGGGTAGGGCAATGTCATCCAAGGTTGTCATGTCAGCTTTGTGCACCTGCCAAATAGATGCTCAATTAAACAATCAACCTTTCTCCCCATGCCGGCTGGAAAATGCGGGTCCGCGGGAGTTTTTTTCCTCTCCGGGGAAAACACCATTACAAGAACATAGCTAGGATTAGAAGAGGTGGCCTCATAAATAACTCTACACAAAGAAACTTGAACAATCACCGTCAAAAGATCAAAAATTAATAGTTTTTACGAGACAAATTTGAAGCTCTAAAGGCACAATAGGATGCCCACAGCGTCATGGGAACAACTGGAAACCAGTCCAGCGTAGCTAATTGTCCGAGCATTTTCAACCGGTTTAAAACAAAGTAGTTACTAGGGCGCTGTCTTCAACCATCACCGGCAATGTTATCACTAGTATGATCATGCTCTGCCAAGACACGCTCCTCGTATGACTTGAGCACAGCAATGAACGGCGTGAAGAGAGCTAGCAGCAGGGCTGTGATGTAGAACAGCCAATCAAAGCTGACCAATGATGTCATCGACACTGCGAACAGCGGCGCTATGAAGTAGGAGATCAGCATCAGAAAGACTTGAAGGAAGCGAAGCTCACCGAAATGTGAGCTACCTCGGTCGTTAAGAATGCTAGCAAGAACAGAGAATAAGTTAATTTCTACTTCACCACTAGCAAAACCAACTATGGAGAGCGGTAAGACGATTGCTGAGACGTGAGATGTGGTTGAATCCATGATTGTAAATACTACGAAAGCGACACTTAGCAATAAGGTCGAGAACACCAAGGCCCGCCATCGCCGAACAGTCGCAGATGGCTGTGCAAAGCACCTCATCAGTAGCACGAACAAGAAGAGGATATTGCGCGTACTGAGAAGAACAGCGGTTACAGCGGCAATTGTGGTCGGTGCAAAGCCACGTATCCACAGCGGACTGATTATGGCGGTTTGCACAGACGATGCTATTACAAGGAAATACGCCAGGGACAAGATAATCGCCAGCGGGGTCTTGAGAATACGGACTAGAGCAGCGAGGTTGGGCATGAACGGTCTTGTATCTATGCTGTACTTGCCCAGCTCATGCCGTGCTAAGCTCACCACACCTGCACCCACCGCTGCCAGGCTGGCCGTAATGCAGAATGTTATTTGCCAGCCGCGCACCACGCCAGACAGTGTCGCCAAGCCACTCAGCAGCATCCCAAACACCTGGCCAGCCTCGAACAACACAACCGTCATCAGCAGCATGGACAGGCGCTGGTTCTCATCGTTAGTTGCCGTGCCGACCGCGTTGACCACCGCCATGCTGCCGCTACTGCTGGCGAGGCCGTTGACCGTGCGCGCCAGCAACATGACGCCTAAGCGTTGTCCACCCTGGACTAGTGATGCACACGCACTCGCCAAGCTAGACCCTGTCCAGCACACAAACGTCACAGTGAGCATGGACAAGCCTCCGTACTGGCGGTCCAGCTGAGCCAGCCACATGGCTGGCACCAAGAATAGAACAGCCACTAGCGGACTGCAGGCAAATAGCGAGCCGTACTTAAGTTTATCCAGCATGTCGTCCGATTCGTACTGTAGAAAGTCCACAGCTACTGGAACTGCTACAGATGCCATTGTGCCGTTCATAAAAGCTGTCATTGCGACCGCTATGGCCATCCATCGTCTCACTAGTGCACTATCCGGCGACGCCAGTAGCGGCGACTGAAGCGCTTGAAGAGGCAACTCAAGCCGCTTGAAGCGCGTACCGTCGATCAAATCTTGCTCTGCATTGAACGTCAGCGGATCGATTTTGCCACGAGCAGCTTTCGACATGACTACCTCCGGACTGGTATCTCTGATCATCTCCTGCCGTCCAGAGTGCGCTCATGACGAAGACAGCATGCTCTTCACAACATAAACACGCGATGTTCCAATAATATTCCTAGGCATTATCCTCCAGGAAGAAGCATGACCATCGGTCCAATGCACAGGCTCAAGTAATTAGTTAGTTCACCACTAGGCCCGTCACCAGCCACAGCAGCTCCAGTTGACTATCCGCACTGCACTGTGCTGGGAATAAATATTTCCAGCATTTCCGGAAGGCGAAGCGCTTTCAGGTCGATGTGTGCAGGCCAGAGTCCAGGGAACTGAAATGCACGAAAAAAGTACACTGTCAGGGCCAGGGCTTTTTCTTGGGGCACGCCAGCAGTCAGCACTGCAGCAGTCGCTTGTCCACATGGCCATGGAAGACGCGAAGCTGTGTCCATCCCATTCCCTGATCCATGTCACCATGTCACATGTGTTCAAGTGGCCGTCATTTTTTTGTACTCGATCGTAGTTCTGTTCGCCTCGGCGTCACCATGGTTACGCTACTCAGATCGCAGCCGGGGGGGGGGGGGGAGGAGGTACAGGTCCTCTCACAACTACAAATACAATGTCAATGACAAAGTAGTACAATGTATTACTACTTGAAGTAGTACTAGTAGTAGTAAACAAAGGTTGCTCTGAACCAACGCCAGGACGGCAGGAGAGAATGGATAGTAGGACTACTCAAGTTATACTAGGACTTGAGTAGGAGAACTAGAAGTAGTAGTACCAAGACTGGGGTTCATACCCCCCCCCCCCCTCCCCGTTATCATCGGAACTCTTGCCTTCTTCTTGGTATGAACTCTTGCTAGTATAGTATACTAGTAGCAAGAGTATAATCAAGTTACATGTATAAGCTCCCTGGGAGCTTATTTAGTCTTGCTAGTATATTATGTAGTAGGAGGCTAGGAGTAGGAACACAGCTGAGCTGTACAACCATAATCATAACCAAAACCGCCACAGCGCACCAGGGCCACCAAGCAGTCTTGGGTCAGCTCGCCCAGTGAGCCCCCTCTACCCGATGTGGCGCTGTCGGCTATCCCAAAACGTCCACCACCGTCGTCTGCCATTCTAACCCTGAGCAGGCACAACACTGCTTGCAGCCGCACAAACGACAACATACGGCCGCGGTTCTTGGACCAGGTCAGGCAGGCATGCAGTGGTAACACATTGTATGAGGTTTTGACTGGTCAGGCAGGATGGTGCTGGTGGAGGTGGACATCTTGTGCTGGCTCGTACACCAGAAACACAGTCAGCCAGAGAAAAAGTTTCTGGTAGCTGCCCGGCTCAGCCGCGGGGCGGGGTGTCTACGCAACATCCTTTACAGCAGAGGTCACGTCGCGGCCTTGACTGCAGTGCTGTCGTGCCTCAACGCCATTGTGGATCGAGCCGGCAGCTGTGACCTTGTCGTCGTCGCCGACAGCCGGGCTCAGTCTGGTTGACGCAGTTCAGGCAGATCCCTGCCATCCCGGCTTGCACTGACTCGCTTCTGCAGGCTGCTCACTGTTGGCACTCACCACCCAATTGGTGTGGGTGAGTAGCCACTGTGGCCTCCTGTATAACGACCGCGCTGACCGCCGCTTGCCAACGCTGGCACGGCCACGCAGCAGGATGTGCCTCTCCGGGCCCCATCCAGGCCGGGGGCCGCCAAAACCTGCATCCATAAGGAGACAGGGTATCACTTGAACCTCCTCTTCTGGACTGCCGCAAACTTGGCGCCGACCTCACGAGGAAGAACCGGCCGTCATTTTAAAAACCTGCTCCTGTCCGGTCACTGTCCACTCCTGAAGCAATACCCTCTCCACAACATATCGGCTGAGGCCCTGATTCGCCACATTGCCACCTATGCCATCTGGAGGATGAACTCAGTGGTGCCGACCACCACAGTGATCTTCGCTGCATCAGCAGAAGCCTCAACAGAGCCAGGGTGGATTTTGGGGCGTCCACCACCGCATCGTCCGCCATTACAGACATGCCAGAAATGGTCGTGCGGTTCTACAATTTCAGGAACTTACATGTGTCTACATGTACTAGTAACCGTCCGAGTAACAGTGCACAGCACACTAACTGAGTAACGGTAGCTAACTTGAAGCCTCTATGACTACCTGTAAGGCTGTATCCCCATCACACTGGTATGCACACCTAGTACCTACATGCCATGCAGTAAAGTATAACACTTTGAAATATGCTGTTTATCCACCTCAGCAGGAACCTTGGGCTTTGCTTCCATGTCCTACTACCGTACTGGCAATATATGTTGCCGCGTAACGCGTAACGCAGGGGGGTGCGGCGTAACGCGCGACCAGGCTAGTGCGACAAATTTTCGTTGAGTTCGTAACGCGCGTCCGGCGGGGTGCGGCGATCTTTTCATTGCAGTTTGCACTGCAAAAAAAGGCTGAAAACTGTGAAAGCACGTGTACCGCGTGGTGAAAAGTAGTTTTTGGAGGAAGCGCTCTTCCCCTATGTCACTTTCCTTTTGATGATCTTTTTGTGAACAGATCACTCTGATAGTTAAAATATACAGTCTTCTATTGATATCGTTGTCGCCGTTTGCCGTCGGGTTTGTAACAGTTGGATAGCAACTGAATCTCTGTGCCTTCAATGTGGATGAAAAGAAAAAATGATGCGGCAAAAGCAAAAAAATGATGCGGCAATAGCAAAAAAGTGATGCGGCAATAGCAAAAAAAGGACTGCGGCAATATAGAAACCTGTGTAACGGCTCCTGTGCGACTTTGCATGTAACGCCCTGCGTGCGGCAAACATGTGCCAATGTAACGCTTCATGGCCTCACTGCGGCAACATATATTGCCAGTACGGTACTAGTAGTACTAGTACTTATTATACCAACAAAATCTTTTTGTTTTGTTTGGTTTTTCACAATTTGTTCCGATTGTATTTATTTTACTTCGGTGGCTCAACAGTACAATGTGCTGCTACAAAGAGGGTAAAACCGAAGAAGAAGAGTCATAACCAGGGAGTCGTGAAAATACGAGTCTCTGGTCATACTCATACTACTAATAGAGCGCGAAATATAGCCCTGATCATAATCGGATCTGCTGAAAAAGGACACTGACTGTCTGAGTCTGAGTTTATACTGGCTCATTACAGTTAGGGATTCCAGTCAAAATTTCAAATTCATAATTCAAGCTAGCTTGTTCTTGGACAATGTCACCGAGGAAATGAGAAATACTATGGTACCAATTTTATCAAAATCGGTCCAGGCATTCGAAAGTTATAGCCATTTTTCTACAGCGAAATGGGTGAATTTTTCTCTGGCGATCAAATGGGAAATCGGCTCAAAACATGGTCAAACTACTGCATAGCCACCACCTAGCTACATACATTTTCACACGAATCAGATGAAATTTTGTCACAGGTTACCACTGGTTACAGCCGGCCTCTTATCCTTGCCTTGAGCGGATGATATATGCACGCTTCGATTCGGCGAACCTACCCCTCTTCTTCACACCTCTTTGGCCGACAAGGACCTCAAGTCACCAGCACGGCTTTGGCCATTGCCGACAAGGACGGCAAGTCACAAACACGCCAATGTTGATGTTGCCGATGCCGTCTTCTGCAGAGCTTGCAAGTTGCGAACTAAATCCAGAAGACGCTGTCGATGGGAGCTGGGATCAGGCTGATCATGGTGAGAGATCGATACTGCATCAGCTCCAACACCAACCAGTTCGATCGGTAATGACGGCAGCTCACTGTTCTCCGCCAGCGCACGAGTCGTAAATCCAAGCCGCCGCCTGTTCTCCTTGTTCCTCGCAAACAGGAGATAGTACAGAATCGTGTACTACGTCGTGCTCACTAGGCACAGCGCAATCCTGGTCTTCGTGCTGCTTGATACTCGCGATCAGCTGACTGCGCTGGGGGTAACACCTAGTTTCTAGTGTAGATCTACTCTTCTTCCTCGCACTTGAAAAAATCGCCATGTCGGAGGTACTTTTAGTAGGGAGTTCAGGCAAAAAAATCAAATTCAGAATTCCCAGGAAAATTCTGTTGGAAATCGAATAAGCACGTCTTTCAAGAGCACACAGAAAATTTCATGTGAAAATCTCAAAGCAAACCTGAGATACAGTCATTTCAATTGTGGTGCCAATCATCATAGAATTGTGTTGAATTGTATGTAAACGTGTATAGCACGCACGGCACAAACTGACAAACATGACCCAGGGGAAGTTGACCAGGGGACATAGTGACAAAAACAAAAAGTTCGCTGAAAAGAGCCCAAATGACAGGCCTATATGATAAGCAATAATGTACAAACATTTCTATGTACAACAACTACCTGACGGCACGTCGCCGTGTATTGTTTCCATGGCAACCCCTAGCAACATTGCAGAAACGCAACGAAACATATCAATGATGACAATATGGAGTGAAAACGTTGCACAAGCGTGGTAAAACAAAAATGGAATGTAGGTTAACAGTGTTAACGGGAAATTCTAGCATTGTTACCATAGCAACGGAACAGGAAAAAAGTGAAGAGAACAGTTGGAAGAGGGGAAGACACAAAAAAGACAATAAAAACAGTCAACACAATAACCACAAACTTGTCTTGACCATGTCTTTGACCATGTCTTTGGACAATAAAATTATTCATTTTCAACGCGGAGCCGTTTTGCTGTTGGCTCCAGCTCGCAATCTACATTGTCAGCCGAGGTGGTGGTGTTGGCGGCTGGCTCTGACGAAGCTGCTCGCTGACTGTCCACATCAGCCGGACTGGTGGTGTAAGTGGTTGGCTCCAGGGGAGTTGCGTGCTGACTGCCTGCAACATGAGCCGAGCTGCTGGTGTGGCCGGTTGGGTCAAGCGGAGTTGCTTCCTGACCGGGTGCAGCAGCACCTGAGCTGGCAGTGTTCGATACATTCAGTAGCTCGCAGAGATGGCTGATCAGTGTTTGAACAGGATGTTGTTTTCCACCCTTAGACATGGCAAAGAGATCTCCTGATGCCTTCTGATTCAGGACAACTTTCCGGAACTGCAGCTGCGCTTTCAAAGCCGCCTTCTTTGCTGCAATGGTGCTCAGGAGTGCAACCTTTTCGTCAACTTCTTGTCTGGATGTCCACAGACCATAGCGCTCAACATCTTTCGTCAAAGCTTCTTTCCTCTTCAGCTCCTTCTCCCTCTTCTCTGCAATCTCCTTTGCTTTGTCACGAAGTCGCTGAACGCAGTACTCATGGATTTCCTTCTGGCGCTTCCTGAAGGCTTCCTGCATAGCTGGAGCTGTCTGCCGTGCCATTTGGAGGATTTCGGCTTGTTCCTGGGCAGGTTTACTGGTCAGCCATTCTGCGGTTTTGTTATTAGAAAACATAATCATCCCCTCCAACGCGATAGTTCTTGAATTGGGCTTTTCTCGGATAAGTCGATCCAGTTGCGCGAAATCACGTTCAGAAACGACATTGGTGTTGCTGACAGAGGCAGTTTGCACTCTGGTTGCCTCGTCAGGTTTATGGAACGCACCGCCTGGCAGATGATCGGAGAGTAGGTTAGATGTATACCGAGCATACACGGTGCATAACATCTGCAAAATCTCAACAGTGGTAGTGTCACTCGGACTGGGCTGCAGCAGGTAAGTGAGCACGGGGTCGGTGAGGGAAACTGAAGCATCTGTGAACGGCCGAGCGGTGCCGTCGAGGAGGTCCGCAGAATCATTCGTCCAGTACTCAAATTTCTTCTGGAGCTGACTGTAGACGTTGGACATGTCAGAGATGGAGATTGATTTGCTTTCCAAAGCCTTCCACAATGGCATTATGACGAGCTTGGAGAGAATTCCAAGGGCTCTTGCACCAGATAACAATTCTGGGATTGCAAGGTCAGCCTTGACAGCACGGAGGAGTTGGTTGGGGTCCGCCTGAACATCCTGCAGGAACGTTGTCATGAGCTCGTGAAGGTAATACACTCCAGCACCATTGAAGTAGCAAACATAGCTGCGGTTGCCTCTCTGCTCTGCCAAAGGCACCACTCCCCCCATGTCAGTCACATAACTACGAAAGGCATGCATGCACCCAGCCTGCTCATTCCCATGTTTCTGAAACGCATTTGCAGCATTGCGAAGTAATCTGAAGACCCGAGACCCGTCTGTATCATACACACCATGCAAAGTATGTGCACCAAATGGCTGATCACCAAAATGCATGTCCTCCCATTTCCTCATTGCAATCTGTGATTGGTCGGCCAAGCCAACAATGAAATGCATTCCACAAAAGAAATTATTCATGTTGGAAAATGAACTTTGCTGCTCATTGCTCAATGTCTCCCAGCTAGCAACAACATCAGGCAAAATCTTCTCTCGATAGTCATGTAACAACTCATTGAACTTTCTTTGTACAACACACCGGTCACTCATCGTGTTCTTGATGTTCGCTACAATCTTATTGCCAGTTTCACAAGACTCGCCAACACCCTTGCACGAATCCTGAAGGTCGGACAAAACCTCCTTGAACTTATCAAGGATGTGCTCTGACGTGCCATTTTTCATATCTACCATACCCACACTAAAAACTTGATTTTCAGTGGCAATTTGGTAGGTACCATACTTCTGACCAAACTTACTCGTGCCATCAGTGTGCAAGGTTGTATTTTCTGCCTGAGAAAGTACTTCAGCTGCATGCTGTGAACTAACTGATTTTAGCTGCACCAGCATCCCAGACAAAGTTCCTACACTAGGGAGTCTGTCTACTTTCTTGCTGACTAGGTTATGAAGTACACAATCAATGACCGATTTCACATTCCATATGCCCACATTCAATGCCAACAACTCCATACAACACTTGACTACTTCTGGGAGGTACGCATTGCCAGAAAATGTTGTAATCATGGAGCCACTACATTCTTCATGCAGCTGTGAACCTAAGTCATCAACCTCCAACTCCAACTGCTTAATTCTGCCGTCAGCTCTGGACAACAACAAAGACTTCTCCTGCAGTTCACGCTCTAGTTCCCTTCTGGAAGTATCTAAATCACCCGCACGCTTCTGCCAATAATACACTTTATGCTGCGTGTTAACTAGCTTCCTCTTCAGCTCATCTACCATAGGCATGTCATCCTCACTGCCCTGTTCATCCTGTTCATCATACTCATCTTCAACCATATCAGCCTCTACTGAACTAGCTACCTTAGCCTCCAGTGATCTGATTGTCTCATCTCGACGTCCCAATTTCTTTTTAACATTTCGTAGCTTCCCTTGCCCAACCTTCATTTTCTCCTTTAAAGATCCCACTAATTCCTCCTGTGCCTTAGCTTCTCTCTGCACCTGGAAAACCTCTGCTGCCAAAGGCTCAGTTGTTGTACCAACTTCAGTGCTGGAGGTGCTTTCCCTATCACGCTCACCTGACTCCGACTGGCCGGATGATGGAGAGGGTAGTATAAAGGGCTCAGCCAGTAGGACAGCAATCTGATCGCTGGCTTTGTCCTTCAGCAGCCTTGCTCGACGTTGCTGCAGAGAACGGACTCTAGAGGCAAACGTGCCAACAGCAATATCTTTGGTACTGGAACCTATCAGAGAACCAGTCCATTTCAACATATCGTTGAACGAAAACTTCGAGGCATTTTTGAATGTAAGTAGCTCCAGAACGACATCGTTGGTGACAGGAAAATCACTCGTCTTCAAACAGGTAAGAGCTTCGTCTGATTTCAACGCATTTCTCAGTTTGCTTGAATAAATACCAAGCCTCCGACATGCAGGTCCAGGGCTATTCTCCTCCTCATCGGCCATGAAGAATTCAAATATTCAAATTCTCGCTGTAGAGAAATACAGAGCAGACAAATATTCCTTACCGCCTGGAACCGCTGCAAACTAGATGAAGAAAGACGATCGTTCTTACCTAATTTTGGGACGAGGAACACGATGGAAGAATCACCGTCCGTCAACGCTCAAAGGAACAACATCAAAATCGCGTTCAAAGTTTTACGGCAAGACGTGGGAAGTCCCATCTCACGACTGTGACCTCGAGTGAGACACCAAACGAAAGCTAAAAATCTCCTCTGTCAAATGGCTGTCATCTCCTTCTTCAACAAACTACAAGTCTAAAAAAAATCAATATTTCCACGTGGCACATTTTTGTGCCATGCTCACGTCATAAATGCATGCATGACGCGTGACGAAGATTTTTCACCGTGCTGTCACGTGACTGAACTCCCTAGTTTTAGTCCTACTCGGCGCACTCAAATTTTGTTGCGCTGCTCTACCTTGCTTGAGAAAAACACCGGCATGGGTGATTCCGAAAGGTTTTTGGGTGCTGAAGCTGAAAATCGGTTTAAGAATCCCCTAAGATGCCATTTTGGACTTGAAAATCGCCTTCAATTTCTTCTTTGACTGATCGCAATGGCCTAATTTCGCCGCACGGCGATCAAAAACCCCACATTGGACAGCTGAAAACCTCAGGAAGCCACTGGTGACTTCAAAAATCCTCCAGAACTTACGATATCCCAGCGCACTGGCCTAGAATGAGCCGTCATCGCGCGACCAAACTTTTGTGTGTAGCGCGTGGAGAAAGTCCTCGAACCCAGTCGGCCAGATCCTGGAACCCCTATTACAGTCATGTAGCTGAAAAAATGGAGTGTTCGCGTCACAATCTCGGAACTGGCTCCGCAAGGGCGCTACGTCTTTTTTGACGGTTGGCGGGGAATTTCAAAAAACCGCTGGGATCAGGTGACTGATTTTGCCGTTTGAATAGAGCTTCGAGAAGAAGTGCACTGTAAAGCGTTGGTGCTGTGTGGCGATGTCCGTTTTCTGGAGCACGTTGTCCTTTTTTGAAATGTGAAGAGAAGCCAGTGCTCACAGTACAGTTTGTGGAGAGACAAGCAAATCACCACAGTCAGCAAGCCAAGTGTTGTTTCCTTCAAGTTTTGTTTTGTGCGCCTTTGCTCAGACTGTGCTAAGATTTGCGTCCTGAGGGACAGTTGGCAGCCAGTCGAATTGTGAATGTAAGGTCGTAGAGTTTGACAGCATTCGAGCGAAGTTCATGAAGTACTAGTAGTCTTCTGAGCCATGGATTTCGGAAGTTTAGAGACACTGAAGCGTCCTCAGTTGCAGCAGCTCTGCAAAAAGTTTGGCTTGAAGGCGACCGGGAAGGTACGATCATGAAGATGTGTCAATGTGGGTTCAGTCCATTAATCCAATCCATGCACTCTAGTAGTCTTGTATTGTGCAATGTCACTCAGTTGCTTATCAAATAAATATGTCAGCTATGATTAGTATCATCAACTCAGTGTCTGAGATCACTCATGTTGCCGCCGTACAAGACAATGCTGTTGACCTGCACATGGAGTATGTCAAGGGGTAGCCTACAAAAGAAGAGAAAATACTCAACGAGCAGCATGGATCATGCGGCTTGCAATTATTCTAAACATGAATGAGACAGCATTGAAAACAATACACATTACATCTGTACTGAGTAATGTAACATTTCACTGGACTATATCTCGTACATTGTACATCATGGCTGGACACCACGTATGGACTCCACGTATGGACTCCACGTATGGACTCCACGTTGTACATGCAGCACGTAGAATCTAGTACTATACACAGCTCGAAGCGCGGCTCGTGTGGACTGAATCGATCGAGTACAGTTTGTAATACTCGATCGATCTGGTGCAACATGCTGCATGCACTGGCCCACACACGTGCCTTGCGCGGTGTAGATCTACGCGGCCTGGGCCTAGCTAGCTGGGTTGGATGATCATGACATGGGAAACACTGCACTTGCACCGGACGGCGTTGTGCACCGCTGTTTTTTTGGCATTTTCACTATAGGTGGTGTGAAAATATCTTTGATAATGATGGAAGCACCAACAAAATGGTGTCCAGGGAAAACGGTCCAAATCAAGGGAATTGAGGCAGGTTGTCCAGGGGACTCGAGCCTTCAGGTTGGCATGTATGGTCTTATCTAATAGATATTAGGATTGCCTATCCAACAAGTCGGACGGTTGCTGCCAACATGCTTCACTTCCAACTAACTAACTTAGTATACACAATGTACTTCATGTAGATGTACTTTTTCTGCTCCATCTTTACACTGTATTTGCATATGTCTGGTCATGTGTGTGTGTGTACGTGTGTGTGTGCGTGTGTGTGAGTGGTACATTGTGTGTGTGTGTGTGTGTGTGTGTGTGTGTGTGTGTGTATGTTCCTGCAGAATACAGTGCTGGTTGCAGCGCTGCAAAAGCATATTTCTGGGCTGTAAGTACGGGGCCACCGCTTGCTTTCATTCTTTCAATTTCTTTGCAATGCGTCTTGAGATTCACGTGATGGGCCCTTTTTCGCCTTTCCGTCAGTTTCGGAAGCTATACTCTCGATCTCCTTGCTTACCACAATCATGACAATGCCATCGAGTACATAATTATCATGTCCACCAGCAGCACATCACTCTCTCTCTGTAACATTGTCCTGGCCAGGTGAAGTACTGAGTGATAGCTAAGTACTAGCGGAGTGTGTGCTTCCACTGACCCGAATGTACCAGTTCTAACTTCTAACCATCACTCTAACTTACTGTGTTTACTGTTGGGCTTCAGTGTCAAGTCACCGTTGTCATCACCAGCCAAGTCTCCGGGCAAGGAACCGGAAGTTGCCACTCCCAAGCAGAAGAGCCCTGCTCCGTCCCCGGTAGTATCACCGAGCCATGCGTCTCCCTCCCCTCCTCGCCCCGGCAAGGCAGTAGCGGCCACCAAGCGCGGTGGCGGCAGGAGAGGGCGGCAGCCGAAAGGGAGGAAGCCGCCGCGGTCGGTTTCCACGTCTCCGTGCTACGCTGACGATGTGAAGGATTCAGTGTCAGAAGATGTCCCGGCCGACCATGCTGCTGCTGCGATGGAGGTGGTGGTGAAACGCCGGGTGCGAGGTCGAAAGGCACGGAAACCATCTGCCGGTGCTGATGATGCTGACAGTACTAGTCACAGTCCGTCTGCTGCAGGTAAGATCACTCACAGTGCTTGCTGCTGTGTTATAGCAGTGCAGTGGCTGTCTGGGAAGTCCCCTCTTATCATTTGCAAGCACAGACCCCAGCACAGACCCCAACACAGGTCCCAACACAGACCCCAGCACAGGTCCCAGCACATGATTCAGGATCTGGACGGCTTACACAAGTATGTTGAGTGATATGTACGGTAATACGTGTGCTCATTTCTCAAATATACAAGTACACCGTGCCGAGCCCATCACCTACGATCTAATAGAACTATCCTACCCACGATAGTGTGCTAAGCGACACCCTGGTACGGTATAGACACGATGTGATGATGTCATCACCTCTGATGTTCTGGATATAATGACATCATCACAAGTACTGTTTTGTCACGATACAAAACAGGAACGATGATGTTAAGAGTTACGTCACTTACGTGCAACCTCTATAGGTATGTGAGATGATTTGACATTTCTTGTCCTGCCCGTGTTGTTGTTGTTGTTGATGATGTTGTTGCATGTGCAGCTTTGGCAGGAGTGCAGTCAACTAAGCGTCGTCGCTCTGAAGTCGGGTCCAGTCCTCAGCCAACTCCGAAGCGAAGTCGGACGGTTACTGCCACATCGCCTGCCGCTACTCTTACAACATCTCCCTCTTCGCCAAGTAAGGGTGTATCCGTTGTCGTCACCAAGTACTCAAAGACAACGTCACCTAGATCCGGCACAAAGGTGAAAGCTGCGGGTACGAGATCTCGAGGCTCATCTGGGTCTAGTGCTGGCCAGCGCACAACACCTTCGTCATCAAGACAAGCTACTCCGGTCACCAGCCCATCTCTATCAGCAGCTGTTGCCGCCGTGTCGAAGTCTAAGCGTGCCTCGTCGTCGCCACTGAAATCTCCCGTTGTGAGTCTGACTCGTAGCACACGCACACCTCCAACAAGTGCTGGCAAAGTTACCATGTCCACAAATACCGGCAGTGGGCGTAAGCGTTCATCAGCTACGAAGAACTCCGGGCAGAAGAGATCGGCCAGCAAACGAGGCAAACAAGCCAGATCCAGTGCAGCGTCACCTGTTCAGTTCTCCGCCACCAGTGCTGATTCCCTGTCACCACCGTCGGGGAGATCGTCTCGTCGAAGTACATTCACTGTCACGCCGTCCCCACCACCACAACCACCGTCGACATCTGCAACCGGTCCCTCTGCTGCAAGGACATCGACTGGGAAACGTTCCCGCTCCGGGTCTCGGGCGGGCAGTTTATCGGCCAAGTCACATGACCAGTCATCAGCCTCATCAGTCGCATCTCCTCCAACTTGGCAGTCACCGGGTGTGTCCATGGACGCCATGAAGGCCTCCATCCTTGCGGATCTCGATCAAAAAGTGGCATCCAAGCTGCCGCCGGCACCGGTCGACACTAAGATCCCTCGCATCGGCTCTTTGACGTCCATAACAGGTGTGTTGATTGGGTTCGGTCGTCAGCATTGTGCCCCGTCAAAGTCACATGACTACCCGTTCTTGCACCATGTCATGCGTGGCTTGTGCGTGTGAAGTTGTGAACTAAACTTTACAGACTCGTAGTGCAAGATGACTGGAAGAGTGCAATAGAAAAATAAATAAATCGTGGTTGTCAAGGTTACCAAGCTATACTCTGTATTGCTCTGCAGTAAATGAGTAATACCAGTACTCTGGCATACCACCACTGTGCTGTGCAGGTAGCACATTGTCAGTGGTAGTCTCTCTTGCCTGACTAGTTATGTATTACAGAGAGCATTGGGTATTGCAGATTATTTATTTTTTGTGCCAGTTCACCACAGTCTAGAGCTGTCCTCGCAGGCTCAGTGGTTGGGGCATTACGCGGCAGTGATGCGGGCAGTGCGCTATCACCAATGCAACTCCCGAGTGCACTGCAGAGGATAGCCGCAGAGCTTTCGTACAAGCAGCTGTCTAGTTTCTTTGGTCTATGCAATGATGTCATGACGATGTCGTGCACATGAATAACATGTTTATCAAGATCCTCTAACTCTATATGCTGTGTACTGCAGGTGGTGGGAAAGGCAAGCCAGTGTCTGGGAAGGACTGGGACAAGATTCACAACAAGAACTTCCAGAGGTATGTGCACTCGGTTTACTGCAAAGAAAAAGCTGACTGTTGCAATTACAATGACTTGATTACACTGTTAAAACCCCCAGAATTTGGGTAGCACCAACAGCAGCAGCTGTCCATGTCCTTGTACTGTCTGTACTGGCATTTATTGGCTATGACTGTGACCGCCATACTGTTAACCGCCCAATATTCGCGTCACTAAATTTTCGCGATTTCCTAGAACCAGCAAGTTTGCGATGGCAAAAGTTCGCGAAACAACGGGGCCACCTACATACACCCACTGTTGAAGCTTGATTTCACGCTGGTTAATATTCGCGTTACGCTCTTCTCGCGAAAATAGCGAACATTAGTCCGTCGCGAATATTAGGCAGTTTACAGTATCAGTACGACTCGTATGGTGTACATGGGTGAAGGACCCTGTGCCCAATCTCTTAGCACTTGACTCATTTTGAAACCAATGCACTTTGTGTGTTTATGGCTGCCTCTCAGGATGAAGTCCATTGAGGATGACTTGCGCTCTCGCCAGGTATGTAATCAATACCTGCTCTCTTTGTGGGTATGCCTGCTCTCTTTGTGCGTATGCCTGCTCCCTTTGTGGGTATGCCTGCTCTCTTTGTGAGTATGCCTGCTCTCTTTGTGAGTATGCCTGCTCTCTTTGTGAGTATGCTTGCTCCCTTTGTGGGTATGCCTGCTCCCTTTGTGAGTATCGTGAGATGCAGCACCGGCGGTGTACCTGTGATGCTCAATACCACCAAGGCCAGGGTGGAGAGACCATAATGCATTACTTTCTGTTGATTCCACTGTCTATACTAGTAGTCATGTACGTATGTGTGCATGTATGCTTGAAACTCACCATGACAACCAACTATAAATCTTAGATCATCGTTCCACTTGCTCCATAAAGTGTAGCGTGTTTTCTGCGTGACCGCTACTCGCAATAAACCCAGCTATAGCTTATGGATGAAGTAGTGCATCATGACATATTCATGAGGCATATCAATACGATCGGTGGTGATGTTCTTAGTCGTCTGAAGTTTTGTCCTGTACACAATGTGTTGATGTGTTTGTACTAATATGTACCTTTGCGCATGCTGGTGGCCTGCGACGGTGGCAACGCCAGCAGCCTCCGAGACTTCAGTAAGAGCCGCTGTGTGACTTGTAGTGCTCATCAATGTGCATGTGTGTGTGTGTGCACGTGTGTGCATGTGTGTGTGTGTGTGTACCGGTATTTGTGCAATGCGGTGCTTCAGGCTCGCCGAGAAAAACTGACAGCTAGTGGGAAAGGAAGCACCTTGTCTGCGCGCAAACCAGCTCCTAAGCCCAAGACCGACTCCAAGAGCATACCGATCTTCAAAATGCCCGACAGCAAAAAGAAGATAAGCTTTACTTTTGGCGGAAAGGCACCAACTGTGGTGAAAGCGGCTGTTAGCAAAGCAGCTACCACCAAGGCAGCCTTGGTGAATGTCTTCACTGGAACGTCATTACGTGGTTCAGCTGCTGCTGCGGCTAGCAATCGCAACACACCGCGAAGGGCAATTGGCACTACTTCCGCCGCCGCCACCGCTGGCAAGAGCAGTTCAGCAACCAACAGCAAAACAGCCAAAAGTAGCTCAGACGCCCCCACCGACACCACCAAAAACAGTTTGACACGGGCATCCATGTCGTCAAGCCGAGCTTCATTAGCTCCTGCCTGCACACCGATGAAGCCTGATGACCGGTCCAAGTCCAATGGTAATTGCACCCACAGTCACACACACACACACACACAAACGCACACACACACGACGACGACAACAACATGTCTGTATGTATCCTAAAGTTATTCCGCCGCAAGTCTGGTTTCTAATCTGACTGTACATAAGAATGTGTTTTATTTTGCGCTGTTCTAAGGGAAGGAGCATGTCTGCTAGTCAGCATATCCCCTTAATCAATGAAGTAGTTTGCAGGAAGCCTTCCCTATCTTACGGATATACGAACAGACATACGAATGGAGTTGTGGATAGGAACAGCGAAATACAAACGCAACCAGTACACAGCCGTCCGCATGACATTTGCCGGCCTCCATTGTAAGAGCAAGCACTGTCGAATCTAGATCCTGAGTAAGCTTTGGTGGATGGCTGTGTGGTGGCTTCCTCCTGTTATTCTGCATTTATACCGTGATTGTTGTCTATATGTGTGTGTGTGTGTGTGTGTGTGTGTGTGTGTGTGTGTGTGTGTGTGTGTGTGTGTGTGTGTGTGTGTGTGTGTGTATGTGTGCTTTGTGCTTTGTGCTTTGTGCATTCATCAGTTAAGTCTGCACGGCGCTTCTCGTTCGCATCACCTGGATTCAAATCGCCCGCCGCCCCGAAGCCAAAGTTTGACTTGAAGGCCAGCTTACAGCGCCAGCTATCCTACAAACCCTATGCTGGTAAGAGCTGGAGAAGCCATTCAATACAACAGCTGGGTGTGGGTGTGAATCTGTGTGTGTGGGTGTGGGTGTGAATCTGTGGCTGTGTGTGTGTGTGAATCGGCGGCTGTGTGTGTGTGGGTGTCTATATCTGCATGTGTGCCTGTGTGTTGGAAGGGGGGGGGGGGGGTATTCTCTGTCACTAGGCCATTGTAGCTAAAAGCAATGCAACGGAACAGAATGTACGGATACTTGTCTTCTTGAGCAGTTTGCCCATTACCGGGCTGACTACATGTATATCTCCGCACACATGATGTCAGCCATGTATATTCTCTAATCTACCTTTCTGTCCTCTGTGTGTGTGTGTGTGTATGTGTGTGTGTGTGTGTTTGTGTGTGTGTGTATGTTTGTGTGTGTGTGTGTGTTTGTGTGTGTGTGTGTGTGTGTATGTGTGTTTGTGTGTACGTGCATGTGTACGTGCATGTGTACGTGAGTGTGTGTGTGTTTGTGTGTGTGTGGGTGGATGTATGTGTGTGTGTTACTTGTAGGTCCATTGAAGAAGAAAGCAGAAGATGGTGTCAAGCCATCAACATCTGTCAGCCACCTCAAGTCGCCGAGTGTGAAGGTGTTCAGAGAGAAAGGTCAGTGGCCCCGCTCTTTTTCATGTTTGCAATGAGAATCTACTTGTTGGACTCAATAGGCAGTCGGGAGCCCAGTATCGAGTCTGAATCCTATAAACAGTCAGATTTGGGCTACTTCGGTATATTACAAGCATAAGGACCTGCTATGATTGGTCTATAATGATGTTGATGGTGAAACTGTAAGCAGTGGATTCCTACGCCATGGACGATGCATTTGAGTCGAGACCCTGAATGAACGCAGCTGCTAGGCAGACCCTCATGACGTCAGATTGCTGTGGAAAACTACATGTACGTAACTGTCCAATGAAAGCACATTGGTTGAAAACTCAGGATGGGATAGCAATGAACTAGAGCATTTCTAAAGCAGTCCCAGCACAGTCGTAATCAGGGATTTTCCCCGAAAGGCAATCATCAGCTGGACAGTGGTGTGAATATGCAGATGTGCTGGCTTGCTGCAAGGTTTATGTTGTTGACTGGCTGCTATTGAACATGGACACATGTTTTGGCCATTACTGTATCATTGCTGTCGCCTGGCATGCATACAACTGTCCCACTGTCGCCTTGCATACATACAACTGTCTCAATGTTGTCTCTGCTGTGTAGGGTCACCAGCGAAGGAGTTTAAAAGACCACCTGTTCGCGACCACAGGTTAGTAAGGGGTCGTCGCAAAAGTTTTCTGTCGTCCCTGAAACGAACATCGTTCATTTCGTACTCGGACCCCCTCCTCTCCCTCTGAAACGAACACAGCTTGCTAGGCTGGATGACGAAAATTGCATGTATGTACATGTCATATGTACAGTGTCGGTCGACTTGCGATTTTGGCTCGCACCCCCCCCCCCCCCCCCAAACAAATCATGTTCGTTTCAGGGACGACAAAAAACTTTTGCGACCCCTAACTTCTTAATGTCTTGTGTGACTTTCCGCTCTATGCCACTGCCATAGCTCTCTAGTCTACTGTACTATGATTGCTCTGTGCTGTATGAGATGTTGATGTAGCCATGACCAACAACACACTATGTACTAGTAGCCCTCAATAGCAACTAGCTGCATGCTACTGAAGTGCTGGCCTAGTGATACCAGTGGGCATTGCTGACTGTGCACTTGACTACAGCATGAATCCCTAATACACACGTGTTGCATCGCATAAGTTACTTTGTGCATGGCAATTATACGTGTCGTGTGATCATTTGGGTCGCGCCAGTTGCAGCTGTGGTGGCCGAATGGTCACCGTATCCACATGAATTTGTTGAGCGATCCTTGGTGGCAATTCTGGCTGTTATTTTGACTTTTGTGTGGTCCAGGTGAATAGGGCTTGAAAGTGCTACGTCACAGCATAGCAACAATTTCAAAAATTCAAAAACTGGATCCACTTGGATCCAGTTTTTGTATGGATCCAAGCACATTTCAAGCGGTCTTACCCACAGCATGGTGATGTAGCCAGTGAAACTGACTGATTTGGCTACTGGGGGCGGGGTTACAACTGGTGGCGAAATAAAAGTCACACCTGCATGCGACATGAGTGGGTTGCTATGCACCCACATACATAGGCAATAGCAAAGTCACACCTTTGTGGATCCAAAAATCGAAATCTGATGTCAACTTACTACTCCCTGGCCGTTTTGACGTCATCACTTTCAAGCCCTATATGTCTTACAGTAGTAGATTTCCAGGTACCTGGTGGTTGTGTATGTACAAAAAACTGGTCATTGTCTGCTTTTCCACTCCCGGTGTGCAGAGCGGAAAGCCGTCAGAAGCTGCAGCAGCGTATGAAGTCCCAGCGTGGCAGTCTAGCAATGGCCAACAGAGGTCTGGCCACGTAGGCATCTGCAGGTACGCCGAGCGTTGTATGCTGGCATCAGTCAGTGTAACCACTGTAACAAATCCCCAAGTCCCCTATTGCCCCCCTCCCCCCCCCCCCCCCCCCCTTACCTTTTTCTAGTCTAACAGAAATCTTGAGACTGTCTTTGATCTCTGCCACCACTACTGCTGCTGCTGCTGCTTCTGCTTCTGCTGCCACCGCTGCTGCTGGAATGTGAGCAGTGTCTGGTGTCCGCTTTGAGTTTAGCTTCTGCAATCGTCTGGACTCTTGCCAAGACAGGGAACACCAGTGTGTGTGTGTGTGTGTGTGTGTGTGTGTTTGTGTGTGGTGTGTGTGTGTGTGTGTGTGTGTGCTCTAGCATCGCTATTCTTAGTACTGACAAACGTAACATGACAAGAGAGCGTACACACTCTCAATGGCTTTTTTTCTCTTACTCCGCTGCTGACATTATATTTGCACATGTTTCTATTACTGCACGACGCCATCGCCACAGCGTTAAATATGTACTGGTAAAACATGATTCTCTCGCAACTTCATTTTGGTCTTATCTACCATTCTACCGTATCCTACCGTCCGCAACCGAATATACCTCTGCATGAAAGCGTCCGAAAATAGAAAATAAATTAAAAACAAGATGGCGCCCACTGACTGACAATCTTCATGAAACTGCATACAACGTAGCACCCGCATACCGCACATTTCACGTCCACTTGCTATCTTTGATTACCTGACGCTGGCTGCTCATCTTTTTTTCTGCTTCTTTATTTGGCACACGTGACGTTGCAGTTAGCTATTAATCTTCTACTTAGTTCTAGTCCTGCTGCAGCCTGGCCTAGTTCCTGTAGGTCTTCAGTCTTCATAGGTTTGTTCCAGTTGTATCACTCTGTTGATTTCATCATGACGGTGATATATTATGACGTTATGTTGGAAACTAACTTGTGCTGCTTCCGGCCGGCGTGTGCATCTAGTGGTGATGACATCATCAGCAATATCGGGTGATGTCATGCATTTTCCTTTCCCTGCTTCTCCAGTGTGCCACGCACATGGCTCTTGTATTTCAAGAATGGAAATTACGTGTGTGTGTGTGCATTTGTGTGTTCTGGGATGAGTCATAATCTGTTCTGACCTGGCTCCTTTGTGCTGTCGTTGGTCTGGCTGTGTGTAATCAGCCTGACCTGGCTCCTTTGTGCTGTCGTTGGTCTGGCTGTGTGTAATCAGCCCTCCACTGCACTACAGATTCTACTATGGGCATGGGCTGGTGTGAGCAGAGTCCTGTCCTAGCTGTACACCCAGTTCATGTAGACAATGATTATGTCATGATGCAGCCGGTCAGGGTGGCAGCCGTGCTGTAGCACTGGATGTACTTGTTATACTGACTTCACCTTTTTTTTAGGGGCCGTCGCCGCTTACGCATCCGCACAAAAACAAAACGCAGACTTTCTGAGACCTCCCCTCCAAATCGTACACACAATCAGTCATCGTGAACTCATTACAATACCCGTCCAGCATGACTTTGTACAGCATGTTTAAAAAAAGGTCCGCCCTGTGAGCGAACGAATCGCTGTAGTACCGTTCTCTCTCTCTCTTTCTCTCCAAATACAATGGACCATGACTGCATAAATGAGAAGTGTATGCAGCCATCGGGCCAGTAGCAGAGTGTACCATGGTGTATAGGCTACTAGTACATGACATTGTACTACAAAGATGGCCACATGATCATGACACACACACACACACACACATGCAATCACTGAGTGGTATGTCATTATGTGAAGAGAGAAGAGAAGGGAATCATTCTTCATCACTTGGGAAGCCTGAAGGGAGTTGTGTGCTCATCAGTCGTGTCACTGTCTATGTAATTGTTTACCACTAGCGTGCTTCCGTATTGCCAGCCTACGACCGCTACGTTCAGCTTGCCTCATGCTCAGCAGCACGGCGTTGTGATGAAGCCGGGGTCATGTAGACTGACCAAGTGAAGATCACCACACTATTGAGTATTGTACCCGAGGCTGTGGCGGCAACCTGTAATCATTGCTCAGCCCGGCGGTGGTGCTGCATCAGCCTACTGAGCCTAGCCCAGCAACTACCTTTTGATTGTCCATTGTCCAACCGTATTCAGACTGCAGAGTCGGACTGTCTTGTACAATGTCATGTCGTTGTAGTCGCACATGTGCACTTTCCACAATAGTTTCTACACGTAGATGTGCAGTTTGTTTCACTAGCAGTAAGAGGACAGTCATAAACAGAACAGAAGTCATAACCATGATAACCCCAAGAGAATAGTCATAATAATACTACACATACATAGACAGCAGCAGCCTTGCTAGCGTCAGTTTTAGCACTACCGCATGCTAGCGGTACATGCTGTCATGCACTAACGATCTGTGTACACATTCCGGGAAAATCTCCACATGATTCGGCCTTTCCCCGTGGACTGAGCGCATGCAGTTTCCCATTGATATTCGTAGGGTCTACTCCCCGGCCAGGCTTTACTTTCGTCGCGCTCTCTTTGTCACTTTGTGAGTTTGTCAGTCATGCAAGCCTGTCTCAAAGTCAAACAGTGTCTGATGTTCTGATCTGGTGCGCTGAATCGGTGAGAGCTGCTGACCGTGATATCCGGGTGCGTGCGATGACTCACCCCGTGCTGATCATGCATACGTACCCCCCCCGTAGATCTACCCTAGCCCTGGCCCTGCATGCTAGCGCCGCTAGCACGCGTGCTCCAAGGCGTTAGTGCAACATGTAGATCATTAGCGAGGCGCGCACAAACAACTGACAAACCATAGCAGAAGATGTACACGTAAACCGCTTGTGCGTGCACGATGATCGATATTGCAAGGCCAGGAAATGTGCCCAAGATCCAACTACAGTTTGGCAACGTTAGTCGCAAGGAGAAATAGGTTGGTGGCACAGTGTGGCTTTGAATCTGGCCGGTAGGTTCCCCACTGTCTGTTGCCGGGCTGGTGCGTGGTCATGGCGGAGGTGTGCCTTGGCCTACGCGTCGTGCGTGGGCCAAGCTGGAACTGGACCGCTCAGGACGGTGGCGAAGGTGGTGTTGGTACGGTGGTGGAGATTGGTGGATTACCGGACAGTGGCAGTCCACTGGGCACGGTAGTTGTGCTCTGGGACACGGGCAACAAAACCAACTATCGATGTGGCTACGAGAACAAGTTCGACTTGAGAGTGCTCGATACCAATTGTGCAGGTACACGCTAGCTACCATCAATGATCAGCAATCTGATGAAACTTTTGGTTTCTAGACTAAATTGCTTTTTGTCAATAAGGTTTTAAAAAACTCTTTACGGGAGATACGTGAATCAACTCTGCGTGTTCGGAGAATCCTTTCCGTCGAATGGACATACAGCAGTACACTGTACAATCATATTACTGTTCCAAATATGCACAAATCGTATGTATGGTTGTGCTGAAGATGTGATTATGCTGAATGGCTGTAATATACACGTTCTCACAGATTTTCTGCAGTTTTGTATACATACACTGTACACACTGCTCGGAATGCATTCTGGCATGGAAGGCATACCTGTTCCGTATTTTTCTGGTTAAAAGTCGACCCCGGTTAAAGGTCGATCCACCCAATACTTGGGGCCTCAATTTACCGGCTCAATATCAATAACAATTAATGGTTGACATAACCGGAAACATCTGGTAGCACGGAGTATAGTCAATTAGAGACACTGTGACCACACTGACTGTACACTGAGTATGACGGGGAGCCGCTGAATGTTTGCATTACATGACCTACTCTCTCCCTAGCCATGTTACTGAAGTAGATGGTTGACATAACATTAGTGAGGGCGGTGCGCATTTCCACTCCTTTCTCCAGCCGATGCCTATGCCTTCCCACTCGAAGTGAGGCGCCTGGTCCTGCACTGGGTGTGTGTTTGGCCGTGTAGAAAGCATCTTTATCCCAATGCTAATCTCGTAGCCTACGTATGTAGAGCATTGAGTAGCACCTCAATACACTGCTTCTTCTGTGATCGTAGAATCGATTGCACTGCATTCCGAATCCGAATTTTCTCCATAGCACCATAGGCAAAAAAACTAAAGTGAAAAAGAATTATCATTTGTTGCCGCTGGTGGTGGGTTGCTGCTGCTGCTGTGGCTGCTACTGCTACTGCTGTTGCTACTGCTGCTGCTACTGCTGTTGCTGCTGCTGTTACTGCTGCTGCTACTGCTGTTGCTGCTGCTACTGCTGTTGCTGCTGCTGTTACTGCTGCTGCTGCTGTGGCTGCTACTGCTACTGCTGTTGCTGCTGCTGCTGGTGTTGCTGCTGCTCTCCTGACTGCTGCTGCTGTGTCTACTCTTGTGTCTAGTTGGATCACATCACTTTGGTGTGATGTGCGATGGCTGTAGCAGTCACAGCTTGTTTGGCATTCGCTGGAAATGTCGGGACTGTCCGGATTACGATCTGTGCAGCGAGTGTTACCACAGCGACAAGCACAACCTCTCGCACCGCTTCTGGATGATACCGTTCCCCGGCGCGCACAGGTAGGATTACAGGGTAGGGTGGCAAGGTGTGTGTGTGTGCGTGTGTATGTGTGTATGTGTGTGTGTGTGTATGTGTGTGTGTGTGTGTGTATGTGTGTGTGTATGTGTGTGTGTGTGTGTGTATGTGTGTATGTGTGTGTATGTGTGTGTGTGTGTGTGTGTGTGTGTGTATGTGTGTGTGTGTGTGTGTGTGTGTGTGTGTGTGCATGTGTGTGTGCATGGGTGTGTGTGTGTGTGTGTGTGTGTGTGTGTGTGTGTGTGTGTGTGTGCATGGGTGTGTGTGTTCCGCGGAGCCCCAGTTGACTATATTGTGGCAGAGAGGAAATCCAAGGTACGAAGTGTGACTCGGTGCCTGTGTCCATGGCCATTTCTGTGTCCACACGTCTGTGCATTCAAGTTTTGAATTTTTCCCCTACATTTACATGGTCCTGTTTGAGTAACACACTTCCAGCTGTCTTGTAATGAACTACAAGTTTTCATTATTGTGTATTAGGTAGGCCGGCCTACTGCCTACACTGCCTGCATGTGCATGTAGACTGTTTCTCCTTACCCTAGAACCGCCAGCACTACCGCTAGCATTACCTGGTGTATTAGACGGTATCTGTTTGTGTACACGCATGACTGTATTATTGCTCTGGTGCTGCTGCTGTTGGTGCCTCTATACTGCGACAGCTTCTCCCACTACTGATGCAGTCGCCGCTACTGCTTCTATTGCTGTTGGTGTTTCTCAGGAAAGAAATAGAACAGCGACAAGGTGCAATGAGGTTGACCTGCAAGGGAATTTTCCCCGGTGCAAAGGTAACACGCGGCCTGGACTGGAGATGGGCTACACAAGATGGTAAGGTGGTTTATCCCACTGCATAGCCATGTACAGGTGCTGTAGTACGGTATTTTGTGCATGTCATGTGTACGTGGTGTTGGTGCATGCGTGTGTTGCCAGTGTGGCGTGAAAAGCAGTCTTCGTCTTGAGTTCGTCTTGTCTAGTTGTGTTCCGTGGTCTTCTGGTTAGTCCAGTCTTACAAACACGTAGTCTCGTCCATTGTCTGAGTGTGGAGGCAGCAAGGGACTGGGAGTAGGAATAAGAAAAATTAGAAAATCCTCAGACAACATTGGTGGCAGCGGTGGGATTCGAACCCACGCCTCCGGAAAGACTGGAGTCTCCTTATGCTGCATGTACATGTAGCAGGTGTTAGCTGTGATACTCACGGTGCTCAATCCTGCAGCATACCTGCAGCATACCTGCAGCATACCTGCAGCATACCTGGCAGCTACAGGTACATACAGCACAAGCACACGCCATCGTAACTATCACCTGTGACTGGCAACATCATAGTGTGAATCCAGGCCTGGCCGAAGAGCAGCCAGTCCGCCCATGCCACTGATCTGCCGGGTTCATAGAGCTCTCCTGCAGTTGACAGTTTTGATTCTCTCCGACTCATATTCTCGATGGCGTCTCCGAATGCGCACGGTGATAGTTGGTTATGATAACTACTTGTATTACCTGTTGTGTAATGTACCGTTGTCTTTGTTGCTGCTGTGACATGTGCAGGACAACAGGGTGTTGTGGGTACGGTGGAGAAGCTCTGCAACTGTCAGGCGGTGACACACGTGAGTATACTCTCTACATGACCTGCTGCTGCTGCTGCTGCTGCTGCTGCTGCTGCTGCTGCTGCTGCTGTTATGCTTGCATTAGTTGCATTGCGACATTGCTGCATTGCTTTCCCGCCTGCGTGGCTCTTGCTGCTGCTTGAGGGCTCTCCCACACTCCGGCAATGTCAATCAGCTCCTTAGCCCGCTTCAGCTTCTGTTGCACAAGTACATGTAACGTTATGTTGCCTGGGTGTCTAGCTGCTAGGCGTATCATGGAGTCATCAGTGACTCATCACTGGTTCTTGTGACGGATTCAAATTGCTTTGTGTGGTACTAGTAGATACGGACTTTGGTGGAAGTGCCAATGTCATCATGTGTTTGACAGATTGAACCCAACGCACTGCTAACAGTGCCCCTACCCACTCCATGCATGACACTACTCTCGACAGGCATGCTCAACTACTGAGTATCCGTCCTTCCTTGCCCGACTGCATTGTCACTGTGTTATAGCCCTGTCGTTTCTGTGCTTTCATGGCGTGCCGTGTCGGCTGTGATCCTGCAGAGAAGCGCTGCTCATGTTGCGTGGCCCAACGGACAGCGTAATGTCTATCGAGCTGGACACATCGGCAAGGTAAGAACGTGGCGAGAAAAAAAGGAGCAGAGGATGGCTTGACCCTTGGACTGTTGGTTTATGGACACATTGGCAGTATGCAGGGTAAGAAAGAGGCTGGGAGAAAGAAAAAAGAGAAAAAAAGGAAAAAAGCTAGCAGAGGATGGTTTCGATCCATCGACCTCTGGGTTATGGGCCCAGCACGCTTCCGCTGCGCCACTCTGCTCCACACATGATCTCTAGGAGCTGACAGCTGCAAGACACTCTGATTAGTTGCCGAGATGTTTGAATGGCACTGGACAACGGATGTCTGGGGAAGGAGAGTCCATCCACACTGTCACTGTGTAGCTAAGTTTGGAGGAACTACAAAATAATTTCTTTACTACAAGTTCCAGCATGCGTGATAATGTGTCTCATTGACATTGTCAACATACTTCATCTTCCCATGATTGACAGGACCACACACACCATCCCGGGCCATGTCTCCAGCCAGAGTCCAACAGCATTTATTTTCAAAAGTGTACTTGGTACGAATTATTGTGATCATTACCCTACCCACACCATCCTCAAAGCAAGTGGTCTCTTCGCTGCAAATTGCTAATTTCAAGTCTCCATCAAATTGTGATCATGCGATGCATGATGAGTGTTAGCTCACCCTGGCGTTCATGAACAGTAAAAAGTATGAATGATGTTGCACTCTCTCTCTGTTGACGTTGGCCTGGTGTTTGTGTGTGTGTGTGTGT